TGCATGCGTCCACGACACATACACCGTTTTACGTGAATGGCTTGCGCCATCCGCGTGTACCCACCTTACTAGAGTGTAACTCTGGTTTAAGGGGGGGAGGGACTCGCGCGAGCAAAAACCGAATTGGTTCACGCTCATCACGCTCTGACGAAGAAGTCATTGCGTTTGATGCCGATATCGATAACATCGATATCGAAGAAGATGATACCAGTGAGAGTGCGGAAGCCCTCACTGGAGACAATGATCCCAGTGAGAGTGCGGAAGCCCTCACTGAAGAAAAGGTTGTTGTTGCTGCAGTGCGCTCACAGCACACTGAAGCTAACGAGTCATCAGATGAGTTCATACTGGCTCGTGAAACGGTAGTCCGTTTTGTGAAAGACTCCATCGCCGAAGCGGTGGATAAGCAAAAGCAAAACGCTGACAAGAATGGAAGGGCAAACACTCTTTTATTTAGTAAAGGTGACTTAGTCCTACTGTCTACGGTTAATCTACCAAAGCATGTAGTGACTAACTTGGACAGCAGTAAACTACTACCCAAGTACATCGGCCCATTTCGTGTATTGCACCGCCTAGGCAATGCATACACGATCGAGTTACCACGTAAGATGCGAAAGCATCCCACGTTTTACGTTGGTCGGATTAAGCCGTACCATCAGTACGCTGCTTCTTCCGATGAAGAACTCCCTTGCGCTCAAGCATCTCGCAGAGAGCCTTGAGCTCCCGATGGTGGGCATCAACAAGGGTCTGAAGAGCAGTTATCTCAGCCCGAGACCGATCAACAATCCCACGAGCTACTCTTAGCTCGTCACGAAGAGATGTCAGAGATCTCTCGTTCTCGAGCTGAGCAAAGGCAAACTCAGCTCGATGCTTCGAGGCAGTGTCCGCCATTTGGAGACGCCTATTCTGCTCATGCTCGAGATCGTCGCGTAACCCTTGCGTTACGCGATTAAAGAAGCTCTCGGGAACACACCGATCCACATGATCGTGTGGAGAGCGTCTTTCCTCCTCCTCCACTTCCATTAGAGGACTCTCGCGGTGGCCAGCGCTATCTAGTTGAGCAGCTGTTGAACCACCGCGACGTGAACGGACGTCGGACGAGTTATCTTGTCCGGTGGCGCGGCTATCCCCCGTCCTGGGATACTTGGGAGCCCCGCTCCCAACTGATGATCGACGTACTGGGTCTGGTTGAGCAGTACGACGCGGCACATCCTGTGCCGCAGAAGGACCGCCGAAGAAAGTCTTCTTGGAACGGTCGTAAAGGGATTCCAGGTTGTCAATCCCTTTGTACATCTCACTAGAGATACGTACGCGCCACCACGGGCTATTAGGGAGGTAAGCCTCCTTAGGTGCTCGTGCAGAGTTGTTCACACAACATGGGCACGGGTCTCCCCAAGAGAGGCAGGGTAATCCTTTCTCCCTTGACAGACGATGCAGCTTGTAGCGTGCACCTGTCGGGGTTCGCTTTTCAAACTTGTCACGAGCTTTGATAAGTTTGTCGTTCCAAGCGTCACGACCTACATCCTCGAGGTTATGGATGTAGGCGTTCCACGCCTGAAGTAGTGAGGGACCATCACGCTTGTGATTCCCACTGTACCGTCGATGCCTAAAGAAAGCATCGATGAAGAATTCAGGTTCAGCGCGATAGGTTTTCGCGCTGGGGTCAAGGTGATGGATCCTTGACGAATCGAACAATCGTGTTCGATAACGATCACTCGTCGTCGCCGACAAGTGATCCATGACGGATTTCGGAGGCATCCATGCCTTCTTTTCTGGAGCGAGACGCAAGACATTGCGGTCCCGCTCTTCCTGCGACGTGCCGACAGAAGTACTGGCACCTCGCTGTGAAGTGCTGTCCATAGGAGAACCGACACCACTGTTAGCGCCCGAGTCTCGCGACCTCGAGCGCCTTCGCTTCGGCGATGGCTCATCTGATTCATCAGATGAACCAAAGATGCTGCGACGCAAAGCATCGTCCATGCCACGCTTGGCAGGCGGCTTGGATTCAATTGCCGTCGATACGGATCCGTCATCCGTATCAGGAGAGTACGAGACACCGAGCTCGTACTCTGTGAAGACACGAGTGTCTTCATGACCAGCGCCTGCATCACCAGGTGACACAGGCTGAGTCGCTTCAGCAACCGATGGGACATCAGTTGCTGTTGTTTCTGCTTCGGCGTCCGCACAGAGACGTGCAGACGCGCTCTCGGCGGCCTTGCTCGCGCATCGCATGGGCTTGTTAACCATGCGATGAAATGTTGGAAAGTGGACGCGGACCAACAAGTGCAAACCCTGTCCCAAATGATTTGGGACGAGTATCCATTTAGTCAATCAGTCACTAAAGTGACTGATGGTTAAGGGGGGGGGTGATGTAACGGGGTGAATCGTTACATAACAATTTATAAGAAATTGTTAATAGAATATAACTATAAGAGCTATATTCTCAGAATATTGTCATAAGGACAAATATTCTGCAGCACTTACGAGCAGTTCCTAATTGGTTGATATAGGCCATTATATCAACCAACGAAGACGCGCCACGACAGACGCACGCAATGAGTGGTGAGCAGATATTTGATTTACACATTTGTATTTAGACATAGTTAGATGAAGATAAATAGTGATTTATTGCAGACATTAACTATTATAAATACAGTTCTACTTTTTACTTTAACCAAGTACTCGCTTCTTCTTACCGTCTTCCTCTGCACGTACGAGTGTACGTGAAGTTACGAGGCACCGCCTTATTCTGTCATCAGAATAAGTAGCTTGTACTGTCACCAGTACAAGCTTCAGGGTGCCCCGTTACATAAGCGCTCTTTGATGTGAAGGGTACTTGCACGTTGATCGCTTTGTGTCACGAAGTACGTTTTACCACTTTGGATGGATCGTGGTTTAGAGTGAGATGTAGTAAAAGAGAACCACAACGACGACGCTGTAGCACGGCGCAAGATTGGGCACTTGCTAATCGACCATCGTTTTTGTTTTGGATTGTGTGATGAAATGTCGACAATTGAGTGAAAGAACGTATTACACGACATCTAACGCTATTATGCCGAAAGTCAAAAAAGAAAATCGAAGTGCAAACTATCTGAAGTTGTGTCGTGTACAAGGTCGGAAATTCGGAAAAGAAACGTAAAACGCGCTGATTTCACCCATAATCACTTTTATAGTAGAGAATATGGAATTTAGGCTCGGTTCAGATTTTCCTTAAGTACGGTTCAGACTAACCCATCAAGCAAGGGCTTTCCCAAAATTTCACGGTTCAGTCAAGCCAGTCTTCCTTCCCGTTCAGGGGCGGACACGTCGAAGGAATCCGCACCTTTGGGGAGCCGAAGCAATCTAGGACATGTCTTGAGCAAGCTGCACTCGCAGTTCCGTTTGTGGGGGCAGTGGATCGACGGGTCGCGCAAGCGGCCAGGAAGGGGAAGGTTACGGAACAGAGGCGTACCCAGCGCCACGTGGTACCGCTGCGGCGGTCACACAGTCCAAGTCCTGGGGGTCGCGCCAGCGGCCAAGAAGGGACCCGCCATCGCAGATGGAGAGTCTCTAGGGAATAAGTTACAATGAGTAGGCGTTCCTCACGCCTCGTGGTCACTTCGGTGGCTACACTCTACGTTGATGGGCCGCGCAAGCCGCAGACGGAGGCCCATTGTCGCGAAATGATCGGCTTCTAAGGGATAAATTACGGCGGGTGGGCGCTCCCCCTGCCATCGTCATCGCCTCGGCGATTGCGACATCCAGCTCGGACGGTCGCTTTAGCAGCCACAATGGAGTCTGTCGCTGATTTTAGTGGCATTCTCCCGGCGTGTAACGTAACTTGGGTACTCACGCTATAGGTCGGTTGGCCGCGCTAAGCGGTCACCAATTCAGGTAGGCACCCCTTTGGACGTCTTGATATCTTCCGCTGCATAGGGCAGCGTTGCACTGAGAGCGCTTGAAAGATAGGCTCGAATCTGACTTGGGTTGGGTGTCTCTAACGTTTGCTACACTCGCCCCCGGCTCTTTGGAGCTTCCACGTTGTAGATCCGGTTTTGAATCACACTCCTAAAAACTCTAGTCGTTGGTTAAATGTAAGTATCATGGACGTACTTAAACAAACCACGTCGGTTACCGCGAGCAAGCATCCCACCTAAGACTGCTGGTCGAAGGAGGGGCGGCGGCGATGATTGGCTTGACGCCGGAAAATGAAAAATTCTCCACATTGAACTTTCCCGGTCGTCGATCCTTCGAGAGTACAACTTTCAATCTTGAGATTTGAGCTAGGGCGTTTGTGCGGATTTTAGTGGAATTGACCTTAGGCTGGAGGTGTGAGCTGGCAAAGGCTAGATGAACGGTCATTATCGTTCTTGCGACCAGCCTACAACACACCGATCGCACCATGCGCTTCTTCAGCACTGTTCTTCTCGCCGTTGGCATTCTCAGTGTGCAGTCAGCTCAAATTCCTACTGAACCTCCCCCTCCCAAACCATCTGACGCCCCGCCTCACCGTGCTCCCTAAGTGTCTCTGGTCAGCAGCCAGACTGAAGTCAATGAACGGGCGCCAGGGATGATGGTGACAATGGCCGGAAGGCTAGCTGCTGTGTGATGCCGTCGCTTTTCTCCTGTACTGAACAATATCGAAGGTGATCAGCAGCTACCGTCGGTCAACAGGATTCGTTGTTCTCTTCTGTTCAAGTTGCTTCTCAAGACGCGTTGTCATGAATTCAAGATGCTGATTAGTTTGTTGGCAGTATCGGTCTTAATCAATAAGAAGATGTTGCAACCTGCTAATTCTGTGATTTACTGCTGGCTCTTCCGTAGTTCTCACACAGAAAAACAAACAACGCTGCATCTCAAACGGGTGCCTACGTTTAGCGAAGTTCATTTCTTGGCAGCGATCGTAAACTACTTACTGCTGCAAGTTGCCTTGCCGCCGTACCTTCATAGACTGAACAGCGGTTTGTGTGGTCGCATCGTACTGTCGCCCACAATTGCTATATTCGGAGGCCCAAGGTCGAGTCATGCTCGCTCACGGCGACCGCGTGTCCATCTTGGTCGCTCGCAAAACGTTCGAACTCAATGGTGGCATTGCTTGCTTGGCACTGAAGGTCGTCATTGTGCTGTAAGTTGCTGTCGTCTGACAGGGCCGTAAAAATGGGTGTGTTTACAGCACAACAAGATGACGTAATAAGCGGACTTAGACTGCTTCTTATTAACGAATAGGCAGCGCATCTGACGCAGTCAAACTAAAGAATCACGTCGATGGGCTGTAAAAGTCGCTTGTTGATGGACTTTTGTCATGGATCTCTAGCTCTTGATGCTGGTCTGGAACTGCGGGTCCACCTTTCGTAGAGTATCATCGCCGGCATGGTGGAGTGCGTCCATTATATGGGAGCCTAACAATTTCACTATTATCTTAAAAAGGAAAGAGAGCGCTCGAAGTCTTTTATATTCGATCGAAATGGTCCTTACATAGTTGTGCACTAGAGAGAGAGGCGGATAGTCTACTGCACGTGATCAAAGTGCACAAGTCTTTTCTGAGTTAACGCGCGTAAACAAGGCGGGTGCCGAACGATACGGTGGATCTGCGAAACTCACCAGTTGTCGTGATGCTATTGACGCTGAGTATTTAGTCACTCATTGGATTGTTTGATACGACTTCCTTCCACCGTCGTGTGTACCCTTTTGCGCTTCCGGCGGATGACTCACGTCATTACATTAGTCCACAAAGTTTGAACTGTCACGCACTTCCTCCGACAACTCTGTCCTCCGCTCATGAACGACTCGATTTCTCTGCACCCATCGTGTTGACACCTTGACTGAGACACCTTTATGCTCTCGATTCCTTATCGGATGATACCCGCCGTTACGTTATCTTTAAAAGCTTGCTGTTATCGCCGCCCGATATTCAAGTATAGCTGGCGATCTTATCGTCAAACAGTAAACGCAGCTTTCTCTGTATTGCATGGCTCTCACGTCCGCCCCGATCATGACCTATAAACGTCTGCTATTATCTTTCAATGTGATTTTGACCACCATACTAACGACTGAAATGTTAGATACGACCAAATACAGTACAGCTGGTATCTTAGAGTTCACAAAGTCACGCTCGACGTTGATTTCCATCAGTGGACAGTAGTAAAAAAGGACCATTGCATAAGACGCTTGTGTTTGCGTCCCAGACTTTCTCATGTCATGTTAGCACAGAAGGTTTTGGTTGCGTGGGATCGAGTTTGGGCCATGCGCTCGTTCGAGTAGTCAGCCTCCATTCATATATGAAGTCCTAGCGACTGGTTTGTGTCTAACTTACGAATTGTGAGACAGAGGCAAGTGGTTCTGGTGGCGTCTATCATCTACAATACTTGCTGCTTGAAATCAACACTCTTGCATCAAAAATTGCATATAGTATGCTTTGCCTTTACTTGTGCATCGAACCCATACTGTTCATCTACTTGCTTCCATGAATGCCCTCGAAATACACGTTACAAAATGTTTTTACATGATGTACCTTCTGCAACAACAACAAATTGGCTTTATCTAGGTATTGTTTCTTCAGAAGTAGGCTCAATGAACGTTTGTTTGTTTAACGTTGTTCAAAGCGGGCAATGCATCTTAGCACGTATCCTGTATTGGGGTAATTACGAGTTGCTTAGGGTCCGCTTTTAAGAGGTACACAGAGGTCCATGATTACTCACATCTACCCGTGCTGTTGAAAGATCAGCTCCATGAAACCCGGGCAGGGAAGTGTTTGTTTTTACATTGGCACTACCGTCTGCAATTCCGTACTCCCGTCTTGGTGGAAACGGATATATATTACATAATCACATGTGCTTAAGATCTCGAGAGACGCGATCATTGTAAAGTCCTCCGGCACCTACACTCCAGTGGACCGTTTGTGCACATTCAACTGTGACATACAGTGAGGTGAAGAGCAGCCGAAGCACATCAACAGACTTCAAGATCACATGAAGTCTTCTCGTCGTGAAAGGTGCAACCGTGAAAAGGATGCCGACGAGTCTACTGATCGGGATCGGGAAGGGCTAGATTGCAGCCACTGAAAAAGCAATAATCAGCGGGCGATGCAGCAACCCGAGAAATCGCATGATTCTGTCCAATTAAGTGATTCGCACGCGACTGCTGGACTCAGATGGCCACTAATTTGGCAGTACCTTGACACCAGTTACACGAAACTTGCAAACGCCTGACGATAATGTCTTCGGAAGAGGCTAGTAGAAGTCAAGCTGCATCGGAAAAGGACCATAACGAATCCGGCTAACACAAGTTAAAATTAAATGTTATAAAATAAATGTAAGCTACTCATTAGTTCAAATTGATGAGTAAGATTTGACCACTGTAACTTTAGATTACCAGTTTATTTGCTAAGAGGTGTGAAGGTGAGCCGCATCGTTATCGCATGGATTATGTAATTAGAACGATACACATCACGCAAAGATGAATGGGTTTGGTGAGCTTGGTGCAACGCAAAATTTGGTGGGTGCAATCAGTGATTGCCGATCAATACCCTCTCCCATCCTATTATCGCTCTCGGTATTTTGATCTTCATCGTCGAATGTCCTCATTTTTGCCTTCTTTTGTTGCTACCTTTGTCGTCGCGCTCAGTGTATTCATTTTCGTCATCTTTTTAGTAGTCGTTCACGTCCGATCACCACCCGCGGCACCATCTGGTCTCCATTTTGTCATCGCAAAAACCCTTTTAATCACACAAAAATCGTTTGTGTAAGTACATCCACATGTTTGTCGTTACCCCTTCATACGTTAGTTACAATACCTCTCGGATAATTCACTGTTCGACGAAATGATCTGACGAAACGATAGAGTACCTTTCTTCGAAGCGTGGATCAAGGATGTTCTGCTATTTCACAATGTAAACAAAGGGCATCAATTTGGCGTGGTAGTAGAAATTTAAAGCTCCAAAAGCTTCGTAAGAGATAGAAGAATATGAGTAACAGTGCAATTATTTTGTTCCCGAACTCTAAAATGATGACGGTGGCGTGAGAAACGCCTCCATTATAGTATCTCGTCATTCATGTCCGAATGCGCATACACTCGGGTTGGGACTGTGCGACCGCTGAAGAAGTAACGCGTGACGAGGGTGACGCCGCTGTTCTTGGTAGCTAATCCCAATTAGGCAGTTGTGTGGTCCCATGATCTGACGTATGCGTATACTGTAGTAGTGACGCGTAGTACCGGGTCGCCGCCGATCGTAGTCTTCCTTGAATGTCCGATCAGTGGTCCCTTAGCCTGGCACCTGCGTCTACCGGGGCAGTGACACGAGGCGCGAAGTCGCCGCACCTCGCCGTGCCTACTCCCGCGCAACATTGGGCGGCATGAGAAGTATGCCCAAGGCAGACTGTTAGGAGCGCAGTACGATTTACTAACCAAATAAACATTACGATGTATTTTTTGTAATCTCTTCCTCTTTGTAACGGGGCAGTCCGTTACATGAAATTGACACCAAACGGTGCCAATCGGAATATTGCCTAGCATGACAATATCCTACCGATATTATCCGAGATGTAAAATGTCGAAGGAATACTATCCCCTTTTGATAATATTCATGCGCTGCTCCAAGATTCGTTGATTAAAGACATATCAACCATAGATTACCACCAATCGCTGCTAGACGTGCGCAATGAGTGGTGAGCAGGTTGTCGTCATGCGACGACGTAGTATAAGATAATTAAAAAAAGACTGAAGTTTATTGATACCTTAAGTATATTGAACACAGTTATCTTTTTACCTGTACTTGACCGAGTCGTTCAAGTAGACTAGCTTCCTCTGCACATACTAGTGTACGTGAAGTTTCGCGGCACCCCAAACAAAGGGTGCTCCGTTACACCTGGTAGCACTTCGTAGTCCGTCCAACGATAACTAAGTGTCCGTCCAACATGGACATGTTGGACATAGACGATGAATGCGTTCACGTCACAAGTGAAGGCTGCTCCCACCTGAGTGACTCAGAATGGGAGGTAGTCGGCCGCATGAGTGTGCTCATGGGCGAACCCGCCATCAGTGGTATTTTGGAGTCGCTGAGCAGAGACCAGCAACATGCTGCTATTTAAAAGTTCCTACAAGGGGAACTTGCCGTCGAACGACATAAGATAGCTTTGCTACAGCAGCACGGCTCTCATCAGTCGATGGGCGGGCCGACGCACACGCGTCGACCCGAAACCTTGAAGATTAATGTCTCAAGGTACAAGGGAATCGATAAAGGTTCCCTTTTGAGATGGTTCGTCGAGCTAGACGATGCCATCAGGGCCCGTCAGATCAAAGGTGACGAGATGCAAGTCACCTTCGTCCTGTCCAATTTGACAGGACGAGCAAAGACTTGGGCCTTAGGGCTCAAGCTTCACAACCCAAACGTGTTTGAGTCGTTAGAAATCTTGAAGTCTCGGCTCAAAGAGACGTTTGAGCCGCCGAGAGCCGAGTTCAAAGCATGCTCTGCACTCCTGATGCTCAAGCAAGGTAAGCGTGATGTGCATGCTTACGCACAGCACCTGCGCTACCTTGCGAGTAGCGTCACGGAAAACCCTGTTGATGAGCACACGCTCATCAACGTGTTCATCTACGGCCTTGTGGATGAGCCGGTGGAGACCTACATGTTCCGAGAGGACTTTCATACGCTGGAACAGGCGATAGCGTATGCGGAACAAGAAGACTTCAGCCTGAGACAGTCTTAGTCTAACTTGTCCAACTATCGTCCGACGAGGCGACAGGAAACAGGAGGTTCCGAACTAATGGACCTCTGTTACATCGAGAGCGAGAACTCTCACTCTTTGAGTCACAAGCGAACGGCAAGATGTTATCGCTGTTAAAAGATTGGATAAAACGCTCATGAGTGTAGTGTCTCAAGCACTGCAACACGTCCAAAGACAGGACGTGATGTCCGCCGTCGGCCAAGAAAAGGTCCAAGGCGTGGGTTCGACCATGTCGCCAAGTCGCGAAAGCATGTCGGGCCGTAAAAAATGGACACGGTCAGTAGGGGCGGATCACCCTGCTGATCCAGCAACGTCAAGACAATTTGCAGGACTCATGACGAAGATTGCTCCCGACACGCAGTCTCTGTGTGTTACTGCCTTTAGTGATGAGGAGTCTCATCACTTTAAAGATCGTAGTGACAAGTGGAATGTCACTTCGCGCCCTAATTGACTGTGGTGCGTCAAAAAGTTTTATTCGGCGCCAGTCACTAGAAGATAGTAGGCTCAACTATGTTGAGCGAGAGTTCCATCCAACGAGGATGACGGTGTGCCTTGATACAGGCGCATCCGTAACAGTGAACAAACGTGTAGTGGGAATCAACTACACGCTGGAAGGAAAGCAGTACGATGATGACATCATCGCATTAGATTTGGATGACAAATTTGATGTCATCCTCGGTATTCCATGGCTTGGAAAGTACCAGCCATGGATCAGCTGGCAGCATCGATACGTGAAGGTGCCTGCCGTTTGTTCATCAGACGGAAATCCGATGAACGTCTTGGGGCGTCCACTAGCGTGTGGATGTAATACGAGTGAGCGCGATGGCCTCACTTGTGGTACGGTCGTTAGTACGATTGCACAAGATCACAGTGTAGAAGACCACTGCACTGTAAAACCAGCTTCCGGCACCTGTGTAGAGACACAGGCTGCGCCGAAGGTTCACCACTCGAAGAGATAGAGTAAACTGGAACACGGATGCACACCAAGAAGGGTGCATCCGAGAACAGAGATGAGTTTTGTTCGGGATGAACAACACGTTGAAGCGAGATCGACTACCAGAAAGTCGATCGTAGAGCAAGACTGATCGACTAAAAGAGAGTCGATCGAAGAGGACGTGACCGTGATAGTACCCGTAACGGAAGAAAATTTCGGCTTCCTGAGAGCAATAAATCCCGAGAGAGTTATGTTGAGGGTGTGGATCCCCAACCACCTGCGGATGTGTTTTCCCATGAAATCACCAAGATAGTGAATGCCTTGGTGAATGACGGATCAAGTGCAAGCGCTTATACACTTGATCTGGTGACGCCCCGAAGTCATCTTTGAAGGTGGTCAAGTTCCCAACGCTAGAATCTAAAAGATCCTTGCGAGATCTGCGTAGTGACAAGATCTAGCAGATCTGCGTACTCGTCACATAAGACGAGTACGTCGCCGATATTCGGTCGGCACAAGTGTTTGCTGAGAACGAATGCGTTTTCAGTAGTTCATCTATGGACGAGAGTGTCCTCGATGAGAAGACCCGGATTGAGCGATACACGTCTCAATCTTGCGAGTCTTTGAAGACAAATCCTTTGTACAAGGATTTGGTCGAATTCAACGATGTTTTCCCTGAGTCTGTGCCATGCGAGCTGCCCAAAGACAAAGGCACTCGGCAGGAGATCGAACTGAAAGCTGGTTCGGAAATACTGTATCATAAAACAGTGGCCGTTGCCTCATGAACAGGTCACAGCGATCGACAGATTCTACGCCGATCGCTTAGCGGCTGGTCATGTGAGAGAATCAACATCCCGAAACAGCTCTCCGACCTTATGTGTTCGAAAGGTCACAGGAGGGTGGCGGACAGTGCACGCGTTTAACAAATTGAATGCTGCAACGGTACCGGCTCAAAAACGCCGATCCCAAGGAAGGACGTCATCATAGATGGTATGGCAAAAAGTACCATCTTTTCGTCCATGGATTTGATGGATGGATTCTATCAGATCCTCATGCGTGAACGGGACATCTTTTTACATAGCAGTAAGCACCCCCAGTGGTATGCTCTGGGAGTGGCAAGTTATGCTACGGAGCCCAAGTAACACCCCTGCAACGTTTTATAGATGTGTTACGAATCTGTTGCGATCGGTGCGCGACTTTGCACCGAGTTTCTTCGACGATGTCTTCGTCCATAGCCAGAATATGGATGAAAAGACGGACGAGGAGGTTCATAAAATCCGATTTCGGAAGGTTCGTACGCTATTGCGAGAGCATAAGTTGTTCGCGAACCTCAAATACATTCGCAGCGAACAAAATACCACTTCTTGGGTGCATCGTGGGTAAAAACGGTGTACGCCCTGATCAGGAAAAGATCAAGGCGATTAGCGACTGTCATGTGCCAGTCGACGTCAAGGGACGTCGAAAGCTCCTTGGCTTGGCGGCGTACTTGCACAAGTACTCGCGCAACTACGCCGAGATGACTATACATCTCTCTCGTCTGTTACACAAAAACGAGAGGTGGTAATGGAGCGCTGAAAGTCAGCACTCTTTTGAAGGTATCAAGAAAAGCTTGATACAATCGCTTGTGTTGGCGATAGCAGACCAGGACAGACCATTCCATGTGGTCTGTGACGCCAGCGATTTTGCGATCGGCTGCGCGTTAATGCAGTAAGACTCAGACGGCATTGAGCGCGTCTTTAGGTATCAATCGCGTTAGCTGCAAGCAGCTGAGCAAAATTATCCGGTTCATGACAAGGAACTCCTTGCCATGAAATATGCACTGGCCAAGTTTCGGGTAAATCTCTTAGGATATAGGTTCATCAGCTTTTATACCGACCATGCGTCGTTACGCACGGTCGTCAACAGTCCACACCTCTTGCAACGAATGGCGAGGTGGCTGTCTTTCTTAGCGGAGTACAACTTCTCCGTCGAGTATTAACCAGGACGACTTAATGCCGTCGCTGATGCTCTTTCGCGTCGGCCCGATTTTGAGCCGACCGATTAACCCAACAGTAGGGGTGATCCTACTGTCGCGACACTAACAGTGAGTGTTCCGTCGTCGAATCTGCTCGATGACGTGCGAAAAGCACACACAGAAGACGAGTCTATTCTGCGGTTGATGGATTACGTAGCCAACCCGTGTAATCAAGCTTTGAAAAGCTTGTCGTTTCAATACCGCTCTTCAGCCGAACGGTATTCTGTCCGTGATGGACTGCTGTACTATACAGCAGTCAACGGCGGCACACCTCGTGTCATCGTTCCGGATCATAATGATTTGCGATCGCGCATCATGCATGAGTGTCACGATGCCCCAACAAGTGGACATCGCGGTAGAGAAAAGACTTACCTCATGGTGAGTCGTGACTTCTACTGGCCCCGCCAGTCTGAGTTTGTGCGGAAATACATTCGCGCTTGCAAAGTTTGTCAACGGGTGAAGCCTAGTCCTTCATCCCGTGCACCCTTGCAGCCTCTAAGAATTCCGCCAGAGTGTTGGCAGTCCGTATTGATGGACTTCTTCTTTGGGTTTCCCAAAGACGTTCACAAGAATACTGGTTTTTTAGTGTTTGTTTGTTGATCGGTTCAGCAAGATGGTGCATCGTGTTGCTGTATCGGAGTCAATCACAGCCCAGGGATGTGCGCGTGTCTTCATCGATACTATCTTCCGACTTCACGGGTTACCCCGTGAACTCGTGTCTGATAGGGACCCCCGCTTCACAGCGGAGATCTGGTAATCCGTGTTCCGTTCACTTGGAACACGTTTGACGATGTCGACTTCTGACCATCCAGAAACAGATGGTCAGACATAAAGGGCCAACCGCTTCCTCGAAGAGATACTTCGAGGGTATGTCCACTCGTTTACGAGTTGGAGTGAGTTCTTGCTGATGGCGGAATTTGCCATCAACAACTCGGTGCATGCGTCGACAACTCATACACCGTTCTTCGTGAATGGCCTACGCCATCCACGTTTACCCGCCTTCTTAAAGTGTGACTCCAGTTTAACGAGGGGGGTTGAATTGTTCGAACAAAAACCGATCTTGTTCTTGCTCATCACCCGTCGACAATGGTGTCGACGTGATAGATGCCGATGTCGATGGGATCGATGTCGATGATGACAATGACGACGACGCTGGCATATTCAGCATCGCCAATGACTGCCACAGTGAGGACGATGACACCCTCACTGGTGAAGACAACGTTCTTTCAGCAGTGCACACAAAGCGCACTGCTGTTGACAAGGATGAGTCAGCAGAGGAATTGCTGCTGAATCGCGAATCGGTTGTCCGCTTCGTTCAAGACTCTACTGCAGATGCACTAGACAGACAGAAAAGAAACGCAGACAAACATGGAAGATCAATTGTTCTTCCATTTAATATACGAGACCTAGCTTTACTGTCCACAATAAACTTACCGAAGCACGCAGTGACAAACGTGGGCAGCAGTAAATTACTGCCCAGGTACATTGGTCCATTTCGTGTGTTGCGCCGAATGGGCAACGCATACACGATTGAACTGCCCCGTAAGATGCGTACGCATCCTACGGTTTACGTTGTTCGTCTCCGCCCGCACTATCAGTACGAGCCCGTTTCGAGATGTGAAGAACACCTCCACGGTCGAGAGCCGAGACCACCTTCGAGTGGCCCCGTTTCAACGAGCCAGTCTGGTCGACTAGCAAAGCGACCTGTTCACGCAGCTCATCGATATCTCGACGAGCAGCAGCTAGATCATCACGAAGAGAACGAGTTGAACGTTCGTTCTCAAGTTACGCGAACGCAAAAGCGTCACGATCGTCCGAACGATCGTGCTTTAGGGAATTGTAATTACCCCTTACAAGATCCTCAAGTCTTTAACGTCGAGATCGTTCATGACCCGGGTCATCTTGCAACTGTTCCTTTCGACGGTTCAGCTCTTGAACATCATGCTGATCCGACCCTCGAGCCGTATCAGGTGTTCCCGCCACTACCACATCTTTTGGTGGACTCAGGCAGTGGTCAACGCCTTCTGGTGAAGTGTTTCATGGACCACCGCGACGTGAATGGTTACGGATGAGTTACCTCGTCCGCTGGCGTGGCTATCCACCGGCGTGGGACAGCTGGGAGCCTCGTGCCCAGCTGATTGTTGATGTCCTTGGTCTCGTCGAGCAGTACGACGAGACCCACCCGCTTCATTTGAAGAAGGGCCGTCGGAAAATGACCTCCTCGAACGCGAGTACAGGGATTGCAAGGTGTAAGTCCCTTCGGCCATCTCGGAAGAGATGCGCGCCCTCCAGTAGGGTCCTTTAGGGAGGAAGGTCTCCCTAGGCGCACGGTTCGAGTTGTCCAGGCAGCCAGGACACGAAACACCCCACGAGAGACAGGGTAATCCTGTCTCTATCGACAGCCGGTGCAACTTGTATCGCACCCCGACTGGGTTGCGTTTCTCAAACCTGATGCGAGCTGCATCAAGTTTACCGAGTCAGGCCTCACGGCCAATGCGCCAGGTGTTGGGGATGAGGACATTCCATCCCTGCACCAAGGCTTTGAAGAAAGCAACGGTGAAGAACTCTTCCTCAGCACGGATAGTTTCCGTGCTGGAATCAGGAGGGAAAATCTTCCTGCAATCGAACAACGGGATTCGATCCCGTTCGGTAGTCGTGCCGGTCAACCGGTCCAACTCTCTGGATGGCAGCATCCATGGAGACTCCACTTGATGAGCGTAGCGCAGGACATTTCGGTCCCTGGCCTCTTGATTGGTGCCAGCATGAGCACTGGCTCCAGTGTTACCCCGATCCCTCGAGTTGCTTCGCTCGTGGTGATGCATAGGTGCATCACCATCATCACCACGCGTCCTATCGCTGGATGGACTTGCGTGAGGCGGAGACTTATCAGAGTAATCACTCGATCCAAAGATCTCGGGTATGATACCGCCACGTTGACCAGAGCCAGTCAGCCTGGCTTTTGCAGCGTCCGCCCCAAGTGATCCCGAGGCGTGAGGAGTCTCCTTCTATTCGATGCATCATCCGACTCGCCAGAATAGATGAGCTCTATCTCAGACTCGTCTGGATTACGATTCGAGGTACCCGCTGCAGACGCAACGGATGTACCTGTCGCACGTGGTGACTCACCACGTGGAGGATTCACGACAACAGGCGACGAATCGCCTGCTGCTGAGGCGTGAGAGGCACTTTCCGCGGCCGCACGCATGCGTGCAGCCGCTCTTCTTGCTGCAGCAGCAGCAGCTCGCGTGGTTTTGGAAACCATGCGTTGGATTGGCAAATGAATGGAATTTGACCAACAAGTGCTCCCTTTCCCAGGGTGATCCAACAGTGGTCATCTTGTCTCAATTAATTCTATCCAATCAACGGGTGATTGATGGTTAAGGGGGGGTGATGTAACGGGGTAGCCCGTTACATGAAATTGACACCAAACGGTGTCAATAGAGACATTGTCCAGTATGATAATATTCTACTGATATGATGTCAGATGGAGGACTGTACTGCTATTTTGTACTCGGTAGTACATTAAATGCTAGGTGTAAATTCACTACATGCGGTGCGATATTTCCCCTGAATCAGCCTATTTATCCATTATTTACACTTCAACACCCTTTCAATTCCACCTTCAAATCCCACCGCTTCTCGCAGGGGTTTGACGCCCAGCCACAAAAGCCACTCCGAGAATATCCGAAGACCATCCGAAGAGCTCCAAAAGACCATCCGAAGAGCTCCAAAAGACCCTCCGAAGAGCTCCAAAAGACCATTCGAGGACCTCCAAAGACTCTCAATGTTGTCCAGAGCTTTCAATCGTTCGGTCATTCGGTCCCGTCGTGCAAAAAGACCTGCTGCGTCAGTACTAAAGTACCACGTCGGACTGCACCCCACGCAGCATCCATCAAGTGATGCCATAGTCAAGCAGAAACAGCAGCTGCGCACCCAAGGCGGCGTCATTCCGCAAAGTCTCAATACGCCCGTGTTCCAAGTCTTTGGGAGCAACACGGACGTTGGTAAGACAGTCGTGTCTGCTGGAATCTGTCGAGGTGCAGCTTCTTTGCTCGCCCAATGCACTGACGGTGCGGGTCATGTCGCGTACATTAAACCGCTACAGACGGGGATCGATGCCGTCCATTCGAAAGTCCAAGGGGACGCGTCGTTCGTGGAGAAATACACACAAAACCCATCAACGAGTGCAATGCAACGTCCAGTCATTTGTTCGACGCTGGTCTCCTGGCGAACGCCCGTGTCGCCGCATCTGGCTGCCCAATTGGAGGGATCCTCAATCTCGGATGAAAAGCTGCTGGAACTGCTGGTGGATAAGCTTCAGACCCTTGGAAAACATGATGATGAAAATGGGGCTGGAGGTAGTCTGGTGCTGGTGGAGACGGCTGGCGGAGTGTGCAGTCCCACTGCATCGATGCGGTTCCAAGTAGATGTTTATCGAGCTCTCCGTCTTCCAGTTGTGCTGGTGGGCGATGGCAAGTTGGGCGGTATTTCTACCACCATGTCCGCACTTGAGTCGCTGCTGATTCGTGGCTATGACATCGCTGCGATCTGTCTCATTGAACAGGATGATCTGGATAATGCAGCAGCACTGGAGCCACGGACGAGCGAGCTTGGTATCCCAATTTTTACAATGCAGGCTGTGCCGTCAATGCCAGAGCCACTGGATCAGTGGTACTTGGCACACGACGCTGTCTTTGCCGATGCGACCAAGAGTCTAAAGACATTTCACACCACTCGTCTTGAGCGCTTCAAGCACATGGAAGAACGGGCAGAAAAAGTGTTTTGGTGGCCTTTTACGCAGCACAAGCAGGCTGGAACGCTGTCGATTATTGACTCGGCGCATGGCGACGAGTTTAGTGTGTACCGCTCGGACAGTAACACGGTCACACCGCTCTTTGATGCGTGCGCAAGCTGGTGGACGCAGGGTGTCGGACACGGCAATTCAAAGATGGCTACCGCTTTGGCATACGCGGCAGGCCGATACGGCCACGTGATGTTTCCTGAGAACGCACACGAACCTGCTTTGCAACTTAGTGAAAAGCTGCTTGCATCGGTTGGCAAAGGCTGGGCCTCACGAGTGTACTACTCGGACGACGGGTCGACTGCTGTGGAAGTTGCTCTGAAGATGGCATTCCGGAAGTATGTGCTCGACCATAACCTGGACTACAGCCAGTTCGCATCGGATCAAGCGATGCGATCCAAGATGGTTACACTCGCACAGGCTAATTGCTATCATGGTGATACGCTTGGCGTGATGAATGTTGCGGAGAAGAGCGTCTTTAATGAGATGCAGCATCCGTGGTACCGACCCGAAGGCGTCTTTTTGAAAGTCCCGACGGTAGCGCTGCATAATGGCTCGTACGCTATCTCAATCGACCCAGAAATTACTGGTAAAGAGAAGGCTGAGGAACCGCTGCCTTCTTTTAATGCCGTCTTTGAAGCTTCGCGTGACCAAAGTCCGTTGGCGGATGTTTATCGCAAGTACGTAGCACACATGATCGATCACACTGAAGAGAAGGGAGTGCGTGTGGGATCTGCGCTTATTGAGCCTGTCCTTATGGGCTCAGGTGGTATGTTCCTGGTGGATCCGCTGTACCAGCGCGTGCTCGTGCAGGAATGTCGTGCTCGTCAGATCCCAGTGATTTACGACGAAGTGTTTTCAGGTTGGTGGCGTCTAGGAGTGGAGTCAGCGCGCGATCTGCTCGGCATTGATCCGGACATCGCATGCTATGCAAAGCTATTGACTGGCGGTGTAGTCCCGATGGCTGCTACGCTTGCATCGGAGGAGGTCTTCAACACGTTTTACGCGGACTCAAAAGGTGAGGCATTACTGCACGGCCACTCGTTCACGGCTTACCCTATCGGTTGCGCTGCGGCCGTGACCGCTTTGGACATGTACCAGATTCTCAACGATGCGAGTGTCCCCACTAAAGATGCCGCTATCCGAACGTACTGGGACATTGACGTTCTTACTGAGCTGTCCACTAGACCGTACATCAAGCGCACGTTTGCGATCGGGACGGTAGCCTGTGTGGAATTGGCCGTAAAGAACGCCGGTTATGCATCGACTGAAGCTGCCGAGCTCATCCAAGTCTTGCGCAAGAATGGCGTATACGCTCGTTCCCTGGGCAACGTGCTGTACCTGATGTGCTCCCCCCTTACAACGCAAGAAGACTGCAACAAGTATCTGACAACATTCATGCAGCAGATGGAGCTCTTGCAAGCTAAGAAGTAAAGGGCTGAGGCAAAGTCAGTGTCGCTTGAAGTATGGATGTAATGTGGAACCTGGAAGAAAAGGCCGTTCAAGAAATTCCAAGTTAGGAAATGACACAAGCCACAGCAGGAGGGGCCTGGCTTTTGCGTCGCTTGTGTTCGATCATGATGTTGAGCTCGGCCATTGCATTGTCGAACTTGCTAATAAAAAGCGGTCGATCGGGCAGCGCTCGCATCTCTCGGTCGTGAATGAGCTTGTTGCGCAAAGTCGCAACGTAGCGAATCGAGCGAATTGTAGGGAACGGGAGCAAACTCTCGACCGACGTGACCTTTTCGTGCAGCCCCTGACCTCGGGCATTGAACTCTTGTTCCAGCAGATACTCGAGCTCCTTGGACGTCTCGATAGCGAGTTGGTAGTCGTTGCTCGAGTACACGAAGCCCTTATTGGAGACGTTCCCCATTTGTCAAAGTGATCCCTTGGTCGTCTTCCGCCTTGACCTACAGTACGAAAGAGAGGATGTCAGCTGTCCTCGTTTGTTTTGATGACGATCTTTGGTTTTACGATCGGGTACGTATCGAGAATAGTAATACCGGTCCGTCTGCTTTTCCTTATAAATCATGGTTGACACACATCGTGTCTAGTTAAACTACAAACTATGACGAATTCGAGAGAGGTTGTTCACCGATGCTGAACGCAGATGATTAACCTGTTGTGCCTGACGAGCACGAAGAATGAGTTGTCGTCGCTCACGTGTGTACTCCTCTGTAAAATTGGCGATGTAGCCCAATAGTTCATCGATTGGCAAGGTATCCTCTTCTTCGAAGTAGTTCAGAAAGTGACGTCTCTGGAATGGTACCGAACCAGAAGACAAGAGTTAACATCAAGGAGTCAGCGGTACGACAAAAGGTCCGAACAGACGTACCTCCTGCTCCAGTTGGTCAACCAGGTCCTGCACGCCGTTCAGCATATGCTCAGCTTCTTGAGCGTACAGCCGCATTGTTTTTTGTGAGACTGCCAACTCTACCCGCAGCTTGTCGTCATCAGTTTGTATCACTGCCATCTTTTGTGTCTCGTGCACAAACATGCGAAGACCTTCCTTGAGTGATTGGTATTCGGCGATGAGGCTCTGAATGGACAGTTTACTGCACTTGGAGATAAGAGAGAGCTGATCTTTGAACAGTGCAAGGTGCGGCTCATCGCGCTGGCATGTTGAAACCACAAGCAGTCAGCAAGCAGTCCATTTTTCCGGCAGTGGCAACCAACAAATGTGTCTCTTACCTCGATCGACTGGATCACATACTGCAAGAACGAGATCCGCCCATCATAAGCCTTTGTGAACGACAGCTTGGCGAGCGAGCTGATGCTAATGCTTTTCACCCATTTGGTGTACTCCACCCCTTCTCCAAAGTTCAGCAGGTTTCCTAAGTGGAAGATGTATTCGAGCACGCCAGCAAACTGGTCGCTGGAGCACACCTGTTGAATCCCGCATGTCAGCAGCTTCAAGCTGGTGCTGTGTAAGTTCAAACAGCACGTGTTAGTTTCCATGCATCAGTGCGGTCCACAACCTCGCTAAACATACCGGAGCTCTTCGACCCGCACGGTGAAGTCCATCTTATACTGGAGGCAGCGCAGCTTCTGCTGTGCCCTAGGAACAGTGCGAGCTACCATCAGAAACTGTTCAGCCTGTGCCAAACGAAGAGAGCAACAAGCTGTCAGATTCTTACAATATCAGTCCGCGTTCAAAACCAAACAACACTTACTGTCGCTAGACTTGAGATGTCGCCACCAAAACTGTCAATGGCCTCTTGCTCAGCACTGTCAGGCCACATGTCAATAAGTGACTGCAACGCTGGACTCGACAAGACGTCGCAATCGAGAGTCAAGATTTGGCGTGTCAGCTCTGGAAACGTGCGCTTCACCCGAGCAAGGACGATTGCAATATTCTGGGACTTTTTGTGATCGAGGAGCACGACACACATCTTGCGTCGAAGGAAGGCGCTACCAGGACTTGTCGTCTTGTTCTGCTCGAAACCGCTTTCGCTCAGCTCCAGTTCGCTCTCCATGTCGTCTAGGTCATCGTCCTCGGAAAAGACCGGATCCGAAGAGTTCGCACGCTCGCGTGTGTCCACGTCTTCCAAGTACTGCGTCAAGGCTTGTTTCTGTAAGAATGCGTCTTCCTTTCCACTCGCAACACTATGTCGTCGAACAGCTTTTGCTTTGGCAACCACCTTGACAAAGAGCTTTTCCATCCACCTTCGACTTTCATTGGAAATACACACGCCATCTTGTGGAGCTTTCACGTGAATATGGCTCCATAGCGAGTGTCGATGTTGAGCGAGGACAACAGTCTCGGTGTACGGGGTCGTGGACCAATGGAGCTTCTTGCGTGTCCCGTTGTTCATCTTACGAAGAGCCATCATTGCCAAGTCGCGGCCGTCTTTGCTACTAATAATCGAGGCAGACCGTGCTGCCAATGCATCAGGTGTCGAGGGTGCAGTAGACACAATTGAGCTAACACTGGAACGTCTGGATCGAGAGGTCAGGTCTGCATGCGTGAGCAGACGAGCATCATCGACAACACACTTGAGCACGACACCAGAGCCAGAACGACTCGGTGCGTCTAATTCGGTCAAGTTCACACCTTCTTTTCGTGCCTTCAGCTCGACAACATGACGGGGGACGCCAACCTTGATCATCCGCTTGAACGACTCGACTTTTTGCGTATGCTCCGGATCGTCATTCCCTACCACATCTTCCATCGGTGGAATCTGGATGGGAGCTGGAATTCTTTTCACACGTGACGTCGTTCGGATCAGCTCGTCCAGCACACTCGGGTCCTTGTTTTCAGCACGTAATTTGTGGTCGACAATAACTCGGGGGAGGCCAACTTTGAGCATCTGTAGATAAGTTGCATACTCGGTCCGAAGACTCTTCAGTCGCGCATCAGCACGAGCTGTTTCAAAGGACAAGGCCAGAGTCGGCAACGAAAGCTCATCTGCCTTGGCATCCCCATTGGTCTTCTCCACCAATTCCAGCTTCTTCTCGCGACTATTTCTTGCTTCCGTGTTGTCCCAAGGTGGAACTTGGTGCGGCTTTTTTCGACAGCAACAAGCAGGGACCTCTCTGCTATTGCAGGCGTGATTATGAATCATGATGCGGCTCCAGCGCACATTCGCGACCAAGAAGAAGCTCACCAGGAGATGCAAAATGAGCCAGTACTCACTAAGTGACGATACTGGAGAGCAGCTGGGGAGGTCCATGTGCTCGAAATTGACCCAAAGCTTTTCGGGGAATCAGTCACGTTTGACTCGTTAGGACGGTACTACTCTATGGACGACTGTCAAGTGGGTTTACGTGTTGGTAGTAGGTTGGTGCTTTGAAAAGTGCACTGAGTATGACAGGAAATAATCAAGTAGTAACCAAGAGAGAGAGAGAGAGAGCGAAATGCCTTTGGGCTTTGTCTCTCTTGCGAGCCAGCAACTTAATGATCCGAAGTTGACACGCCCCGTCTGTTCCAATGGCTCTGTGCGACGTCCGTCTGGGAACTTTCGCCGCACTCGAGTGGACGCAAGCGGTAACGGATGAAAAAAGAGGGCAATACCATCGATACTTGATCTGCCCATCAAACAGGACGTCAAGAGCAGCCAGGCGAAGGTTGTAGAGCGGCGTGGGATCAGTCGTGAGGGAATGAATGAATGCATGGAAACGGTTTCATTAGGGAAGAAGAAGTGCAATGGCGTCTACTGCACTGCGTTAGTAGGTAGGGACGTAGTTGAGGAGAAGCTTTTCCTGTTGTTCAAGTTGCATTCGTGTCATGCACCCGACGTCTTTACCGTTACAAGTTCCAAAGATCTTCCTCCACGCTCTCTAAGATACATGTGCTGCTGCTGTGGTAGAACGCGACTGAAAGTGTGTTCACCATGCCGACGCAGGTTGTTCCGTTTGGGAACAAACCCCCACACAGGCAGTTGCAGCAGTTGGTGCCGTTTCGCCTATTCGAGCCGTTTTCTCCAAAGATCGTTCGACCGGTGTGATGCATGAAGTCGTGGTGAATACATGTGAGGGGTCTGCTCTCAATGCTGCAGCTCACGCGACGAGGTGGTGCTGGCTAGACGTGATCGATTTCTACTGGAGCACAGCGTGAAGAGCAGCTGCGCCGCTAAGGACATAGGCGGGCATGGCCGTGTCTACAATGTGACAGGTTCCGCGTCTTGTAAGATGGTCCGACTATGCTTTCGGATGCGCCTTTCGTGGCATCGAATCTGCGAGTGCCGTGCAAATCAGTGAGCACGTCGTGCCCCATCTTTGCTCTGCGTCCTCGTGACGGCGGCGGAAACTGCGTCGCGCAACTTGTTGGTTAGCTGCAAGGTGGTGGACACAACTGCACAAGCTTCAGTGCCGTTCACGGACTCGATGAGCTCTGCGATGCACCCAGCCAACGTGACATTGCTGGCTTCCGTAGTAATTTCGCGGAGCTGTGGTAGCAACAGCGTTGAAGCAGCAGCGTCAAAGCAGCAGCGTTGACGTTGTTTGTCAATTGACGGTTGGGCGTGACAAGATGTCGCGCTTATTGATGCCGGAAAAGGTGATCGAGCTTGGACACTGGCATCCATCTTCACAATCTCCAGTTGAAGCGATACTTCCCTCCCCCCCTCTGCCCTGAAAGACCTCGCGATGTGTGTTTACACGCCCTGATTTATTTCCCATTGGACTCTTGACTGGAAATCAGCCAACTCGCAATTGCAGACGGCCTGACTACCTTCGGACTCGCAACGGTTCGCGTGCGGCCTACTCGTTCATCCCGTTTTCTTCAAGACAAGCTGCTTTCCGAAATTTTTACCATGGGGAGGACGCAGTGCACGACCTAGCTGCAATTTGTGCGTTGCTCTAGTGAGCAGTTCGTATCGCGTTTGGAACGGCACGTATCGAAAGTCTTTGCGTTTGTAAGGCTTTGCGTTTGTTTGTCGCTTCGTACTGAACGACCGTCTTTACGGTCGGTCACCGTGGTCAGGCAGTTAGTTGCCCGCGTCTTTTACAACCTATTGACGGGTCGCGCTCCGATCGGCTCCGAACCTCGCTATTGTTCTTGCCATCGGTGCACACGCTGCCTCGTCTTTCCTGTGAACGACCAGATACTTGAGTGTAGTATGCATTATTCTAAACGGCGTTACACGACTGCTCCTCTTCAACTACCCCGTCCCTATCTCGACATGACGATGCTCGCCCATTTCTTATCGTAATGTTAATACAATGTGGTCGTACGATCTTAAACCATTGAACGTCAGTGACGCTACGACCGTTGCGGGTGTGCGACTGGCTTTAGTATCAGGGGCCAGCTCGTGGTTGTTGATTGATTGTACATCAGCGCTTCATTCAGTGAGCGATACGGAGCGCTGCTCGATGGAAGACACTTGCCAATTCTCTTATACACAGCACACGTTTTCAAGACGAGGTCCGATACAATTTGAGGGAATCTATGGACAAAAATTGACCGGATACGCATCTTACGTGGCTCTTCATTATGTGCTCTAGCAACCTTCAGTCTTGTCCTTTTTGCTTTAAGATGCCAGTGCAACTTGAACCAGTCCGGTCGAATTTTATACAGTCTCGCTCGCCCACGACGGCAAGTAAGTCTAAACGACCATGTTTGCAGCTCAGAGATCATTGGTCTTCATACCGCGCTTCAGGAGATAATGCTGTGCTGTAGTCAAGAAGCTTGAATCGACGCAGTCTAATTGCTGTGGTGGGTCGTCTTCTTGTTGCTCTGGCGTGTTTGACGGTGTGGAGTCGACAATTTGGTGCTCTGGTTGCGAGATGCATGTCGTTAAGCCCCTTCTTAGTGCGTACAAAGAAGAGCTCAACAATAGTCAGTGGATCGTCAAGTGGCAGAGTATCGACATGACTCTAGACTTTTTCCACGCACTCTGACTTGTTCTCAAACGATATTTTAGTGCGCTTCAACGCCTTTGTATGATGGAGTTAGATAGGGAATAGAGTTAGATAGGAGAAAGTAGAAATAAAGGTCAAGATAAAGACATCTTGGGGATAGATATGGATAGGGTTAGATACACACACATGAATGCAGCGAGAACAAATTAAAAGAGCAAACTATAAATAGATACGATAAAGATTCATATGGTTATGGAGAGAGAGAGCGATAAAGATAAAAGGGGATAGAGACACACATCTTAAGATTCACATGCATGGAAAATAGAGTGAGAGCGATAGATCAGTAAATTAGATTCGCATAGAAGTGGATAGAGATACCTGGACATAGAGAGGGACGGACCGAACGGACCGACGGCAGTATGCGTCAGATGCCCTGCTCTGTTCCGTCCAGTAAAGGCTCGTCCATGTCACGACTTCCAGCGATGCCGCGACTGGCCTTCGACCGCAGCTCCGAATTCCGCCCAGTATCACATCTCACAGTCAGCGCGCCATACCCCAGTCCGTCCGTCCTCTCCGTTATTCCCCCACGTACTAACTTCCAACAGGTTCGCTGACCTCCCGAACTTTCAAGTCAGAGTGTAAGAGCGAAGTCCGCAAACTCAACGAACGACACCACAAGACGCGCCCGAGCCCCTCTGTCATTCGTCAAAGAGCGCTCCACTGCCCAAGCGCGACCGACCGCTGAACCTCTTTTCTCTATTGTAAACCACCGAGCGAGTCCCGAAATACAATCCCCAACCTCCCGAATCAAGGTCAAGTGGGATATCTCCCCCCTCCCCTCCTCCCTCTTCCTGTCACCGCCATGAAGGACCTCCTAATGGTCGACGCCGTGGACGAGGCCCACGTCGTCAACGAACTCGTGACGCGGTACCGTCAGGGCTACGTCTACACGTTCCTGGGCCCCGTGCTCATCGCTCTGAACCCGTACAAGACGCTGTTGCAGCCGAACGGGGACTCGATCTACGACCGCAACATGATCGACCAGTTCCAGGGCAAAGAGCTCCATCTGTGCGACCCGCACCCTTTCGCGCTGGCGGAAAACGCCTACACGAGTCTCATGCGCTTCGGCTTGGACCAGAGTCTCCTCATCACGGGCGAGTCCGGGAGCGGCAAGACTGAGACGTCCAAGCACGTGATGCGGTACTTGACGACCATCAGCACGCGGTTCCGAGCCAAGAGCGCTGTTGTGGCCAGTCGTCGCATGTCGATGGCGCAGCGCAAAGAAGCGGACGAGATGACGAGCCACGTGACGGACGTGCTCTGGGGCAGTAACCCCGTGCTCGAGGCCTTTGGCAACGCGCAGACGATCCGGAACAACAACAGCAGTCGCTTTGGCAAGTACATTGTGCTCCAGATGAACCGCGTGGGACAAGTCATTGGTGGCTACATTGACAATTACTTGCTCGAGCGGAGTCGCGTGATCCGTCAAGCAGCTGGCGAGCGGAATTTCCACGCTTTTTACCAGCTTTTAGCAGGTGCGACAACCGAAGAGCGAGAGGCGTGGCAATTGCCACCGAGTGCCGAGGCTTTTGACGTCCTGGGCAATGAAGCCGCGACGATTGAAGGCGTGGACGATGCTGCGAACTTTCGCATGGTCCGGAAAAATATGCTAGCGGTCGGTATTACGAACGGCGAGCAGCACGAGATTTTCCAGCAACTGTCGGCGATTTTGTGGCTCGGGAACGTGCGGTTCAAGCAGACGGCCGACGAAGCGCACAATCCTTGTGCGGCTATTGAAACGGTGGAAGCACGAGCAGCGTTGGTCAAGGCGGCGGGGTTGATGGGGATTGACAAGGACAAACTCGAGGCGATGTTGACGTTTCGCATTGTGAATATTTACCGAGAAGATCAGAAAGTGTTGTTTGATGCGCGACAGGCGAAAAAAGTGTGCGACTCGATCATGCGCTCGCTGTATGAGAAGATTTTTGACTGGATTGTGGCTCGGATTAACAAGAACGTGACGTGCAAGAAGCGCGACATTAACAACAGCATTGGTATCCTGGACATTTACGGGTTCGAGATCTTTGAAGTGAATGCCTTCGAGCAGCTGTGCATCAATTATGTGAACGAGAAACTGCAGCAGCTGTTTATTAGTCAGACACTCGAGAGTGAACAAGAAGGGTACCACCGCGAAGGCCTGAGCTGGCAAAACATTACATTTTTCAATAATCAGGTAGTGTGCGACCTGATTGAGGATCCCAAACAGCACGGTATCTTCCCACTGCTGGACGAGCAGTGTGCAATTGCGCGCTTGTCCGATCTTGAGCTTATCGAACGGTACAACTGCGAGCACTCGAAGAACCCGCATTACGTTGCGTCTCGCGTACGTGGGCCCAACTTCGGTATCGTGCACTATGCTGGCAAGGTCGAGTACGATGTCACGCTCTTCTTTGATGCCAACGTGGACACGTTCTTTAACGACCTGCAAGACGGCATGGAACAGTCGTCGAACGCCTTTGTTCGTGAAGTGTCTCTCGATACGCGCACGAAGGAGCAAACGCTGAAGCGCCCGCCTTCGACTTCGCAACAGTTTCGAACTCAAGTCGCGGATTTGCTGAAAAAGCTGGATGGCTGCAACCCGCACTACATTCGTTGCATCAAGCCAAACGAGGACAAGCGTCCGTTAGCTGTGAACAAAGAGCTTGTGGCGGAGCAAGTACGTTGTCTTGGTTTGGTGGAAAATTTGAGTGTGCGTCGCCAGGGTTTCTGCTACAGTCAACCGTATGGTCCGTTCATCAAGCGGTACAGTTTCCTATCGGAATCGACCTGGCCAGCACCGGTTGCTCATTCATCTCGGAAAGCTGCCGTTGATTTGCTCACGACTGTTGGACTTGGTGTAAGAGACCCGGACAACAAAAACGTGCTGCTTCCGTTCGAAGAGGATTCTGACACGCTCGCGTGCTTCTCGCTCGGCCGCAACAAGCTTTTCTTGCGTCACCCACAAGCGTTGTCTGCGCTTGAGACCCTGCGCGAAGAGCGGATTCCGGTTATCGTCAGGATTATTGAGAATGCTTGGCGTCGCTACAAGAATCGTATATCACTTGGTGCTTTTCAAACTGCGTACAACCAGCTGTTGGCAGCGTATGATGTCGCGTGGAAGAATTGCCAGGATCGTCGAAAGCGCGTTCCGGGCTCCGCCAAAAAGGACAACGTTGCGCAGCTGTACTCAAAATGGGAGACTGCGTCTGCTAAGTTGCTGTACATCAACAACAGCCGCCTCGTAAAAAACCTTCAGAAAGAAGAGGAGCTCAACTCGGTTTTGTTCATGCAGAGCTTTCTCCAGTCACGCACACAGCGTCGCAAGTTTCTGGAGCTCCGGAGAGCGCAAATTGTGTTCAGCAAGCGCTACCGTGGTCTAAAGACGCGCAAGCAGCTTACGAAAGACATGTGGAAAGCGTGCAAGATTGCTCTGCTAGGTGTACGCACGGAGTTCGAGCGCTACTTGGGCAAGAAAAAACGTCGTCGCGATTCACTGGATCGCATGTATCAGGGCGATTATATCGGTGTGAACAAGTACCCAGCGTACGCGGTATTAATCCAGGCTCATACAGATGGGAAACGAGGCGGCGGTCGTGGCCAAAATGAAAAGTTGCTGTTTTTGGACACCGTGGAGAAGGTGAATGAACGCTGGGCACATCAGGCACGTGTGCTTATGATCAGCGAGAGCCGTGTGTTCAACCTGAAGGCTGACAAGATCCAGCAACCGAAGGAACGACGTGTGTTTGAGCTTGCTCGTCTCACGAGCGTAGCCATGAGCACCCAGCCGGATAACTACCTGATTATGCGTGTAAAGGGCGAGATTGACCTGATGGTGCAGGTATCCCAGAAGACAGAGGTGGTGCAAGCTCTGCGTAGCCGTATAGAGAAGGCGTTTGGACGTGAGTTGCAAGTGGACTTTTCGGACGAATTGGATTTCTACGCGGCAAAGGGCAAACAACTCAAGGTCAAGTTTATCTTTGACCGCTCGATGAAGGACTCCGAATGGAGCAAAGTAGACCGCCACACGATGCTCGTCAAGGTCGGCATTATCTAAAATGCTGACGAAATGACCATTTTGGATATGGCAAGGGTGAAGTTTTTGCGCGGTATGTTGTGCATAACGAAAACGCAGGTGACAAAGCCCGACAGTGGGCGAAAGCGCCACGACAACGAGAGAGGAGAATGGAAAGAATTACTCTGCCAGAAATGTACAGGAACTCGCTCATGAGTTCGCGTGACAGTGATATGGTGCGTGGCGTAAGCAGCCTTTGTATCCATCAGCAATAAAGTTCGTACGTATGTTAAGCTATGGGCGGGTTCATGTGCTTTCATTGAACACCGCAAGCTCTTCATGTCATATTGACGATCATTCCAGCGATCCTTTCTCTGATGTCAATTTGCTGGTACGCGGCCGGAAATTACAGACCGGCTTCTTTAGTGGAAAGGTTGTCTTTCTCTTCCGGCATCACTGTGGACAAGCCTGGAGTTCCATGTCATTCATAATGTGATGGTTGGTTGACGAGCCATTGATAGTGAGCTGTGCTACTTCAATATGCTTCATCTGAGTAGCTCGCTCAAGTCGGTCGTAATCATACCACGTATCGACGTCTAGTCGGGTCCTCAGTTTCGACCACCTATCAGGGTGTTTGGATGCCAGCCAGATCAGACGTTTCCCGGATTCATTTACCAGTACCGGCTCTCCAAGCATCCCGGTGATGAACTTGACATGAAATTAGACTCTCTCGTCCTTGCAGTGCACCAGGAACTGCACACGACAACTTGATGAACAAGTCGTAACCTGGCAACAAAAGGTCGCTGGTATGAACAAGGGATCCGGTACTACACTCACGCTACCGAGGGCAGCCGTACGCAAGTCCAATCTAGCAAATCTGTACAAAAAGCGCAAGCTCGTCCGACTTGTCTACCCATTAAGATCCAGCTACAAAGTGCGCATCTCATCACGGAAAAGATCATCCCTCGTGAAGCAAAAAAAAGCGTGACAGCGTCTCGTTGGATCCACGGTCCGCGTTCGTCCAAACCGCCCCATCTGGTTTGCTCCTCTCCATTCAACGAACTACCTTGACATTTGTATACTCCACCAAAGGTCGCACCTCCCTATCGTTCTCCCTCCTCGCCCGTCTGTCTATCCGGCCGTCTGTCTGTCTGTCCGTCTGTCTGCTCGACATGTCGATTCGCTCCCGTCCCCGTTCAGTTCGTTCATTTGCGAATTCGCTCCCAGACCCTCAGTCCTCGTATCCGGATCGTCTCCGTCCGTATTCGGAGCGTCTCCACTCATGTTCCGCTCGCTCGTCAGCCGTCGCGCGCGCGCCGTCGCCCCTTCTCTCACGCACGCGCAGCCACTGACACGCCACGCCAGCACGATCAAGAAGCTCATGGCTGCGAATCGGGGGGAGATTGCCACGCGGATCATGCGTGCGGGCAACGAATTAGGGATCCGGACGGTCGGGATCTTTTCCAAAGAAGATCGGTTCACCCAGCACCGGTACAAGGCCGACGAGAGTTTCCTCGTGGGCGAAGGCAAGACGCCCGTTGGGGCCTATCTGGACATTGCCAGTATCATTGCCATTGCCAAAGAAAACGGCATTGAAGCTATTCATCCCGGGTACGGCTTTCTCAGTGAAAACGTCGGGTTCGCTCAAGAATGTGCCCGAAACGGCATTAAATTTGTCGGTCCAACGCCGGAGAACCTCCAGCGGTTTGGGGACAAGACAGCAGCACGGGAGATTGCAAAGGAACAAAATGTACCGGTAGTACCTGGAACAGATGGACCCGTTCGCTCGCTTGAGCAAGCTCGGGCATTTATTGACTCGGGGGTGGGGTACCCGGTGATTATTAAAGCTAGTATGGGAGGAGGCGGACGCGGGATGCGCGTTGTCACGTCAGCAGCAGAATTGGACGAGAACTTTGAGCGTGCGAGCTCGGAAGCATTGGCAGCTTTTGGAGATGGCACGGTCTTTATTGAACGCTACGTGGACCGACCACGTCACATTGAGGTGCAGATCTTGGGGGACGGACAGGGCAATGTGGTGCACTTGTTCCACCGTGATTGCAGCGTGCAGCGTCGGCACCAAAAGGTACTGGAGACAGCTCCAGCTGTTGGACTGGATCCGGTGACGGAGAAGGCGATGATTGACGATGCGGTGCGTCTCACGAGTGCGGCCAAGTACTTGAATGCAGGAACGGTGGAGTTTCTGGTGGACCAGCAAGGTCGTCACTACTTTATTGAAGTGAATCCACGTATCCAGGTCGAACACACGATCACCGAGGAGATCACGGGCATTGACTTGGTGCAGAGCCAGATCCGCATCGCTGGTGGAGAGACTTTCAAAGACTTGGGTCTGAGCCAGGACATGATTAAGCCGCGCGGCCATGCAATGCAATGCCGTGTGACCACGGAGAACCCCAGTACTGGTTTCCAGCCTGACTCGGGTGTTATTGAAGTGTTCCGTAGCCCTGGTGGCATGGGCATCCGACTCGACGACGGTCCGGGATTCGTTGGCGCACACATCACTCCTCACTATGACTCACTGCTTGTCAAGGTGACTGCACGTGCGCTGGACAGAGGCGACTGTGCGCAGAAGCTGAAGCGCGCGCTGTCTGAGTTCCGTGTCCGTGGTGTGACCACTAACAAAAGCTTCCTTACTAATGTGCTGAACCATCCGGACTTCATTAAGGGCGTTATCGACACAAGCTTCATTGCCGAGAACCCGGACTTGCTGCTACCATCAACGTCCACGAACCGTGGCCAAAAGATGCTTAAGTACATTGGCAACACAATCGTAAATGGTCCTGAAAAAGAGCTGGGTGCCATCGGTCCTGCTCCGTCCAAGGTCGACCCGCTTATTCCAACGCTGTCTGTCCCGCCTGCTTCAAAGGAGAAGTCGCTGCGCCAGATCTACGTCGAGCAGGGACCGGAGGCGTTCGCCAAGGCTGTTCGCGCGAAGAACGGTCTGCTGCTGACTGACACTACATGGCGTGATGCTCATCAGTCGCTTCTTGCTACACGTATGCGTACGCGCGACATGCTTGCAATCGCGCCTGCTACTTCCATTGCAATGCGAGATGCCTTCTCACTCGAGATGTGGGGTGGCGCGACATTCGATGTGTCAATGCGCTTCTTGCGTGAGGATCCGTGGGACCGTCTAGCGATTCTGCGCGAGGCCGTGCCCGACATTCCGTTTCAGATGCTTCTCCGCGGCGCCAATGCGGTGGGTTATACGAGCTATCCGGACAACGTCGTGTACAAGTTCTGTGAGAAGGCCCAGGCTACCGGCATGGACGTGTTCCGTGTGTTTGATTCGCTCAACTATCTTGAGAACATGAAACTAGGCATTGACGCTGTCGGTGCTGCTGGTGGTATTATCGAGGCTGCCATGTGCTACACTGGCGATGTGTCGGACCCAGCCCGCGGCCCCTATAATCTTGAGTACTACTTGGACTTCGTGCGTCAGTTGGTGGCTCAAGGTATTCACGTGCTAGCCATCAAGGATATGGCTGGTCTACTCAAGCCCCAAGCTGCGCGGATCCTGATTTCTGCCATCCGCAAGGAGTTCCCGGACCTGCCGATTCACGTGCACACGCACGACACTGCAGGCACGGGTGTGAGTTCAATGCTCGAAGCTGCCTATGCTGGCGCGGATGCCGTTGACGTGGCATCTGACGCCATGTCGGGCACGACCTCGCAGCCGTCGATGGGTGCAGTTGTTGCGGCGCTAAAGGGTTCAGAGCACGACACAAGCGTGAACCCCGAAGACATTATGGAAATTAATGACTACTGGGAGACGCTGCGCGGAGTCTACGCTCCATTCGAGTCGGGACAGAAGTCAGGTTCGGCCGACGTGTACAATCACGAGATGCCTGGCGGCCAGTACACAAATTTGCTGTTTCAATCGACGCAGCTGGGTCTTGCGGGCCAGTGGCCAGCTATCAAACGTGCCTACGCTGCCGCAAACCGCCTCCTGGGTGACATCATCAAGGTCACGCCTTCGTCCAAGGTCGTGGGCGACTTTGCTCAGTTTATAGTGCAGAACAAACTCACGGAGGACGAAGTAGTGGACCGGGCCGAGACGCTATCGTTCCCCAAGTCGGTGGTAGAGTACTTCCAGGGTTACTTGGGCATCCCCCACCATGGATTCCCGGAACCGCTGCGTTCGCGTGTGCTGAAGGGCAAGCTGCTACCAAACGGTCAAGAGATCTTCAAGGCCCGCCCCGGTGCAGAGATGAAGCCATACGATTTCGAGGCAGCGGAGAAGGAGCTCAAGCAGAAGTATGGCGAGGACAAGATTCGCGACGTTGATGTGATCTCGCATGCAATCTACCCAGACGTGTTTGCAAACTTCATGGAGTTCAAGGACGAGTACGGCTCTTTGCACTTTCTGGATACGCGCACCTTCCTCACGGGCCTGGAAGTAGACACGGAGGTCGAGATCGAGATGGAACACGGCAAGACTGTGTTTATCAAGCTCATCGCAGTGGGCGGTGTGAGCAAGAAGAACGGGATGCGCGACGTCATCTTTGAGCTCAATGGTCGACAGCGTGTGATCAAGGTCAAGGACGAATCTGCAGGGCTAGCCACAACAGCTAAGCCAAAGGCGACGGCTATGGCTGGTTCGGTGGGTGCCCCAATGCCTGGCGTCGTGCTTGATGTGCGTGTGAAAAAGGGTGAGAACGTAAAAGCTGGCGACGCTCTGCTTGTACTGAGTGCCATGAAGATGGAGACCGTTGTAGCTGCTCCGGTGAGTGGTCGGGTAGTGTCGATCCATGCTGGTGTTGGTGACAACATGCTGGGCGGTGACCTCCTCGTGGAAATCGACGAGACTGGCGACGACGAAGATTAAGGGTATCCACTCTGTACGTGTGTACCAGACCGACGCGAAAGCATGGTTGGTTCATGTACATGAGATACAACTGCTGAAGATCAACTGAATAAAGGAGCGTTAGCCTCAGTATCATTTTGCGTCGGTTGTAGGTCGATTCGCGAAGGTGAAGGCTCATGTCTCGGATGACGTGTCGGTTTGTTTGCTCTTGCAGAGTCTGCCACCACCTGCACGCGCAAGATTATTGAGGAGGGCAAGCTGAAGGTGGCGGCAGTACGAACTTGTTATTGCTATTGATGTCACCAACTGCTGCTTACGCACTTCATCACGCGAATTCGGTCTCCGAGACAGCCGATGAAAAATTCAACGATGTGTTCGTAGTCGAAATCACCACCTTTGAAGGTCTTTCTTCTGCAACGACAGAGTGCCAAAGCCCTTCGCGTCCTTTGATATATCTTCACACTCGCCGGTCCAATAGTATCGAGCAATTCAATTATTGACTTGTGGCTCGAACAACCAGAGAAGAGCTTCGTGCCACTACTATCGGCGTAGTCCTACCGACGACTTCTTCGAGCCAGTAGCTGTGGACAAGGCCGACCGTAACAACCGCTTTAACCAAACCAGTTCACCAGCATACACATTGCTGCTGCATCGCAAATGCGCTGCAATTGTCCGGAAATACTGCCACTTACTTCGTGCGGCTAGTGAAGTAGTAGCGGCAGCGATCAGGTCCAAAAAACTTGAAAAGTCGTAACGTTGCAACGCCGGATGGCAAAGCTGGTAGGACAAAGAGGACGGATGTAGTCGCGGACCGTCTTTTTGCACTACCGAAACAATGAACAAAACAAAGACGTGAGATGCGGTTGTGCAAATTAATTTGCCAACGCGACGATTCCGGCAGGTCCATAGCAATGTACGAGCTGCAGCTTCTTGAGCTCGTTTATCGCTCGGCTGCCTTCCTCACAACTTGGGCAGCTCTACAAAATACGCGACGAGAAACACACACTTTGTAAGCCGATCGAGCTACCTCACAATCGTCAGAAACACTACGCACACTGAGAAACTCTTTCAGGTCGACCGTTTTCCGTGGTGCCGGAGGCGACTCAGTCTCCGTTGACGGTGCTACGGGATCGCTGCTCAGCTGTTGATAGATGCGTGTCATGAGCGTCCCGATGACCGGAGAGGGAGCAAGCGTCCGTAGAAGCGAGTGCAATCGGATTCCATTCGTTTTTATCTGAGGCGCAAGGTTTTCCACCAACGTTTCGAGCTGCAAACACACACACAACAACGGTATACTGAGCACGACGTATTCTATACAAAGACAAAATGGCACTAGCAAATACATGAGCGAGTTCTTCCAGCGCTTCGTGCTTTTGTTCCTCGTATTGCGTCTTAAGTGATTGCGTCTAACACACGTATCCGCCACACAGCACACAATTAGTTCCTCCCTCAAACATTGACGATACTTATCGCAAATTTCAGACATCCATACGTCAAGTTTCTCGGCAGTCGCCTTCTGCACCTCCTTCAGCAGCACGATTTCCTGCTGCAGCTCCACGATTTCGTTTTGAGCACGCTCTTCTTCAAGTTGGCGCCGTTCCTCTGCACTCTGAACCTCACCACGATCGTCCTCGTCCTCCTGATTTTCATTCTCTTCTTCCAGCGTTGCAAACACTCGCTGCTGGTGCCTGATCTCCAGCGTAAACTCGTCCAACTGTGCTCGCAGTTGCGCACTTTGTTCACCCAAGTACTGTTTCTTCCTCGCTTTTCTCTCCACGGCTTCCTCGCGCCGTCGTTTCGCTCGATCTGCAGTTCCTTCTTTTTCTTTTCGAATCTCTTGATCCAGCAACTCGGCTTGATCGTCCAGCTCCTGAAGCATTCGCGCATACTCTTCCTGAATGTCCGTATTTCGACTCGTCACGAGGTCCCGAAACTAGACACCATAAAGAACGTAAAACCAAATCACCCCACACAGCTATGGAGTCAGTACTAATGTGGACCACACATCCCCACACCAGCCACACAACGCACGCGCTCCGACCGCCTTCGCAGCTCCTTCTCCAGCCGTGACTTGGAGATCTCCAGCCGCTCGGCCGACTCGAGTCCCACGTCGTGCGTTTCTTGGAACGTCTCCTCTAAAGTACGATTATCTGGCTCCAATGTTGCAGCAACAACTGCCAATTTCGACGTCAGACGGGGCAGTCCAGACGCCGGCAGCGCTTGCCGCATCCGCGTTAAGTACGATCCAAGCAGCGCATTCGTCGCGCAGAGCTACACAGAAGCACGACAACGACGAGACAAACACAGCAAAGAGAGAGCGCGGGTTTAGTCTTGATAGCTGTATGCGAACGGCATGTGCTGAGACGAGGCGAACGCGCACCTTGTCGCTACTGGCGGCCAACTGCAGCACGCACTGGAGCAAATCGTCGTGCGCGTCCGTCATCGCACTCGTGTTTTTTGTGTGGTAGACACCACAGACTGAAGGGTGATGTGGTCGACACAAGATCCGGCAGTTTACTACGTGATGGACGTGTGTGGTCGCTAAATAGTGTGGTGGACATCGTTTAGTCGAACATCATGCAGCGACCGAGTTGGCTGCATCGTCCTCTGGCTCACGGCCCGCGTCCTCCTCCTCCTCCGCCTCGACACCTGCTGCCTCCCCCGCTCTTCTTCTCAGTCCCACCTGGAAGAGCTCTTTATCCTCTTCACGTTGTGCCTCCTGTTCCTCCTCCTTTGCCTCCCCGTCCTCTCTCGGTGCAATTAAAGGACCAGTTATGGCTCAAAGCTTTTAAAGAGACTCACTGTTTATTGCAGGAAGAGCGACAGGGACCGTCACTTGCAGGAAGGGGGAAGGCACCTCCATTGAGGGCATTGAGACGTAACATTGCACAGACGCAGAAGACTTTGAAGCACTTGGAGGTGGCAGCGAACGCTTTGGCGGTTCTGGAGAAGAAGCTTGAGACATGCAGCTCGATTTATGGACAGGGGGAGGCAAAGGGAGAATCGCGATGTCTGTGGCAGCAGCAGCGGGAAGAAAAAGCTGCCGAGTGTGAACGATTGGCAGAGCAATTGAAAGAACGGCACGGCGAATTGGGTCTGTTCCCGACGGAGGAGTTTGCGGCTGTCTGCAAATTTGCACAACGAGTCGCCAAGAAAAAGGTGAAGAGTTGAAGAGAAGTTTGGTTTTTTGGCTGGTTGGGCTGTACGTTGTGATGTGACGCATTAATGGGATGGAGTAGGCGTATCGAAAGCGAGCGAAAGTGCGTCGAAGGGTAGTACTTCGAGATCGTCGAGCACTGGACTTGGTAAAGGAAGATGACAAGATGTTGTCACCTATTGCTGGAAAGAAGGAGATGCTGGCAGAGAGCACAGTGCAGATACCACCTCTTGTTGTGAGAACGCGAGAGAAAGCGAGGACTGAATCAGCGACGGTGGTTGAAAGCAGGGTAGTTGAGCAGTCTCTGGACCCAACGACCTTGACGATGAAGACCCTGATTGCTGTTCGCCGAGCTTGGGATGCGTATATCGTTTACCCAAACACACCAGGGGCTTCTACAATTCCGCCGGTACGCACACGAATGCTTTCCGCATTGTGGGCGTTCTACAGCGGAAGTGCGGTCGGCTAACTTGTTTGTGTTTTGTTTTCCAAACCAGCATTTTGTGTCCCCGCCGTCGGCGCCGTCTATCCAGTGGGCAGCGTACGTCATGCCATCCGTCGGTATGGAAAGCAGTTGACACTAGCTTGATGGAATCGTTGATGACGACCAGGACTGGTCGAGCAAAGTGTGAGGGATGCAAATGATATGTATTGTTAGAGACGTACGTGCACGTGACTGATCTTTCCCCAGGTAGCGCGCTCTATTGCCTTCGTGTCAACACAATCTCTGCATCCATCTGTCGCAGGACATTTAAGCAGAGAGTTCAGCCACTTCGTCTCGTAGAGCCTGTTCAGTCTCGAGCTTGTGCAGCTGATCGTCGTTGAGCACGTCGCCATCTTCCTTCTTCGCTTTGATCGCGTCAATCTGCTTCAGCTTTTTCAGCAAGCCCTTTACTTTCTTAGCCTTCTCATCAGGCGTCAGCTCGACCGGGCTCGGTTCTGTTGGAGCCGTCGGAGTGATGCCAGCAACTTTAGCAATGGCATCGTCTACGGCAGCCCTGGCTTCAGCAGCCTCTTGTGCCTTCTTCTTACGAGCGGTTTTGCTCAGTTTCTTGGGTGCTGCAGACGCTGTCATGCCAGGAATAACACGAGGCGCAGCACCAGGAGTCGTGGGTGCACCACCGCGAGGAGCTGCATACTTGTTGCGGTCTAGCTTCTTTGGTCCACCCTCTTCTTTGCGCATCATTGCAGCAAGCGCTCCTGTTGAGTTGGGCGGGCGGTATGCTTGCGGCTTCGGCGCAGCATTGGGGGTCGCCGATGACGAGCCGAAACCCGCGTCAATATCCTTCCGGCGTGGAGACTGAGGTCGATTTGGGTACGTATCCAGCGCGGCCGGGCAAAATTTGAGGTCATATAGTTCACCACGTTCCTCCTGGTGAATGGGACCTGCGCCATCATAACGAAAGATCTTGAAGCCGTTGTCCACACGCAGACGCGGGAACGTAGTAGCTGTTGCAAAGTAGCGACTGTCAGGTGACCAAGCAAATATCGTGGCGGAGTTGGACGTTGCGGAGCCCATCTTTTTGAGCTTGTTGCGCTCCCAAAAGTCCATGTCACCACGAAGATTTCCAAAGCCAGCTAGACACAAGAAGCGACCATGCGGGCTCCAGCTAACGTGATTTCGGGGCGCTGCACCGAATTCAAAGATTGGTATCGCCTTGTTGTCGTAAAGCGTGGCATGCGCAGGCATCGCACCGGCGATAACCACAAAACCGCGGCCAGTTGGGTCCCACGCCACATCATGCACCGTACCTTCTTTCGTCAACGGGACAATGCAGTCATACTCGCCATCGCTCTGTAGAAAGAATAGACCAGTTTCGCCGTAGTACGACTTGCCTGACGTGTCAATGTCAGTGCGAGTTTCAATTATCAGCGCACTGCCAGTAGGAGACCACTTTAGTGCCACGTCCTGTGCCTTGTAAAAGCTTTTCGTTGCTGTTGGCACATCAGGGCTGGTGACCTGGAAGATCTTGACACTGGCAGGCTTGCCCTTCTTTTCTGGAACGAACAAAGCCACCTTATATGGAGCACTGCCGGGAGCTACACTAAAGTTCGCCACGTTCTGACCACAGAACGCCACACCATCAGTTCAGCCCTTTTAGGCATCTCATTTATTGCGGCTGATAGTACTACGTACGGGGAGGTTGATTTGACCAATCTGTCCCGCTGCGACGTCACGACCGCTGTAAAGCACCACACCGTTTGCACTCTGACGTGCACAGATCGTTTCGTCAGACGACCACTGAAGCGGCGGCCATTTCTACCACGGCAACAATAAGACAAACAAGTCCACGAAGACACATCAGCCCGAGACACACATACATACAAACACAACACAGCACCCCATATCCGCGCATGCATCAACAACATCGCTACACGTACATCACGGGTGTAGGACTTTTGCTTGAACCGAGCCACTTCTGTGCCCGTCACAGCATCCCACACAATGAGATTGCCAAGATCCGAGTCTTTCTGAGGCCGCTGCCACGTCAACAAGTGCGAGCCAAGGGGCGACCACGCCACTGCATGGATACCCGGATTGGCCACGTCCACGACGACAGCGCCGCTGTCTGCGTTTCGTACAGTGAACCCTGATGCAGTTCGCACGAGTGCGAGGAACTTGCCGTCGTTAGTGAACTCCAAGAGATCAGCACAGCCCAGAGCTTCCATCTGGTCATCGCGCTCGATCTTCAGCGTCTTGCCCTTGCTACAAGAGGGTGGACCCAAGATGCACTCAATGCCAGTCTTGCCACGGAGGAACAACTTGGTGCGCGGTGCAGTAGGTGAGGAGCTAGTGCTTGGATTTAGGGTCGTGGTTTCTGTATACATGGAATAGAGCGCAAGAGATTCAGGTGGATAGAGTTAGAGCTTGATAGAGTGTGAAGGAGAGAGGAGAATCAGTAGGTTGATATATAATTATATATAGGAAGAAAGGTCGCGATGTGCGCTATTCATTCACGGTGCTAGTGAAGTGGTGGTTGGGCGGTCTGAAGCGTGAGAGAGAAGAAGACGGGGCTCACCTGTCGCCATTGTCGCGTGGTTTTTGGTCGGATGGCTCGCACACGTCGTCGGTGATGGCGAATGTCATTGAAGAGGAAGAGTGACATGGCACGGGAGAATAGGGACGGCTCTGTACCGGATGAAGGCTTGACACCTCGAATAGAGTGAAGCCTTCACTCTATTCGAGGTGTCGTGTGAATGTAAATGTGTGTTAATCCCTTTATTTTACAGCCAGACGCAGTCGAGTGGTACTTTTGGTTCTATTAAAGACAAGCGGGCAGTGGGTGGCGTTGCACAGGACAAGTAGATACGATATTTCTTGTCTTTAGGGGCACGGATGTCGTCGGCAGCATGTGCACTTTACTGGAAGAAACTCTAATACACCGGAGTCCAGTGTTTGAAACACCGAGGTTCCATTTAGGCTATTTGTAACGGGGCACCCTGGGCACCCTTTGTGGCACCCTTTGTTTGGGGTGCCGCGAAACTACACGTACACTCGTACGTGCAGAGGAAGCTAATTTACTCAAACTGCTAGTTTGATAAAGTAAAATGAGAACTGTATTTAATATAGTTTGTAACGGGGTGAATCGTTACATAACAATTTATAAGAAATTGTTAATAGAATATAACTATAAGAGTTATATTCTCGGAATATTGTCATAAGGACAAATATTCTGTAGCACTTACGAGTAGTTCCTAATTGGTTGATATAGGCCATTATATCAACCAACGAAGACGCGCCACGACAGACGCACGCAATGAGTGGTGAGCAGATAATTGATTTACACATTTGTATTTAGACATAGTTAGATGAAGATAAATAGTGATTTATTGCAGACATTAACTATTATAAATACAGTTCTACTTTTTACTTTAACCAAGTACTCGCTTCTTCTTACCGTCTTCCTCTGCACGTACGAGTGTACGTGAAGTTACGAGGCACCGCCTTATTCTGTCATCAGAATAAGTAGCTTGTACTGTCACCAGTACAAGCTTCAGGGTGCCCCGTTACACCTGGCAGCACTTTGTAGTCCGTCCAAGGACCGCGTTCACATCCAACATGAATATGTTGGATGATGAAGATGACCAAAGCTTTCACGCTACGCGTGACGGCTACTCCCATTTGAGCGATGTCGAATGGGATGCGGTTGAACGAATGGGTTCGACCATGGGCATCCATGCTGTTAGCGTCATGCTTGAGGCTCTCAATAGAGATGCCCAACATGCTACTATCGCCAAGTTCATTCAAAATGAACTTGACGCAGAACGCGAGAAAGTAGCCTTGCTTCACCAACAAGGTTCTCAACAAGCAGAGTTGTTGAGAGAACAGGGTGCTCAACAGTTTGAACTGTTGAGACAGCAGCAGGCTGCTGCTGGTGGGTCGATGCACTCGCGTCGACCCGAAACCTTGAAGATTGACATCTCCAAGTATAGGGGGGTCGAAGAAGACTCCCTCTTGAGATGGTTCGTCGAATTGGATGACGCCATAAGGGCGCGTCGCATCGACGACGGGGATATGCAAGTTGCATTTTCCCAGTCAAATCTGGCAGGACGTGCCAAGACTTGGGCACTGGGGCTCAAGTTGCACGACCCATATGCGTTTGGGTCGTTGGAAGTTTCAAGTCGCGGCTTAGGCAAACGTTTGAACCGCCTAGAGCTGAGTTCAGAGCTCGAATTAAACTCTTGAAGCTCAAGCAGGGTAAGCGTGATGTGCACGCTTACGCGCAACAAATACGACATCTTACGAGTTGTATAAGTTCCAATCCGGTGGATGAACACACGTTGGTTTCGGTGTTCATGCAGGGTCTTGCGGATGGTCCCGTCAAGACTCACCTGTTCCGGCTTGAACTAGATTCACTAGAACAAGCCATTTCCATTGCGGAGCAGGAAGACTTCAGTCTGAGACAGGCTCGCGCCAGCTCGACATCATATCGTCAACCGAGACGATATGACAACGGAGGTCCAGAGCCGATGGAACTCTGTTATGTAGAGAGCGAGAAGGCTCGCTCTACAGGCTACAAGAGGTTGCAGCGATGCAACAGATGTCAAAAGACAGGACACTACGCTTACGAGTGTAGTGCCCCTCGTCCAGTGTCTCGCGACACTGGGCGTAGTGACCGTCCACCCATGAGAAAGGGGCAGGGACGAGGGTCCGCAGTTGGTGCAAAGACGCAACAACGGGATGGACCGTCAAAAAACGGACAGGATCAGTAGGTGCGGAGCACCCTACTGATCCAGCAACGTCAAGAGAATTTGTAGGCCTCTTGATGAAGGTTGCTCCCAACACACAAACGTTGTGCGTTGCTGCTCTAGGTAATGAGGTCTCACTCATTACCTTGAAACTCGAAGTGACGAATAAGTTGTCCCTTCGAGCTCTAGTCGATTGTGGGGCGTCCAACAATTTTGTGCGACGCCAATCGTTAGAAGATGGTCACTTTAAATTCAGTGAATGTGACACACCTCCTACGAGGATGACGGTACGTCTTGCGACAGGCGCATCCGTAACCGTCATGAAGCGTATCGTGAAGATCCACTATACGCTAGAAGATACCCAATATGACGATGACTTTATCGTATTGGATTTGGATGACAAATTTGATGTCATCCTTGGAATACCGTGGCTCAGACGTACGAACCACGGGTAAACTGGCAACATCGGACAGTAACGATGCCTGCCGCTTGTTCATCAGATGGCCATCCGATGAACGTTTTGGAGCGTCCACAAGCGTGTGGATGTACTACGAGTGAGTGCGATGGCCTCACTTGTGGTACGGTCGTTAGTACGACTGCACAAAACCTTAATGTACCAAACGGTTACACTTCGGAGCAAAGTTCCGGCGGCTGTGAGGAAACACAGGCTGCGCCGAAGGTCCACCACTCGAATAAGTCGGGTGGACTGGGACAAAGATGTATCCCTAGCGGGGAACATCTAGAAGAGAAACAATCGATCGCTCAGGTTAAGCGAAACGATAATCCTAGATCGACTGGAGAGTCTTTCGTAGAGGATCTCGCTGTAATTGCGCAACCCCAGCTAGAGGAAGTAAAGGGAATAAGTCCCAAGATTACAAATACGGCGGAAATAAGTTCCCCGAAACCCGCGGGAATAAGTCCCCGGGAAGCCGAAGGAATAAGTCCTTCGAAGCCTGAGGGAATAAGTCCCCAGGAAATGACAGAGACATTAAATGTCCTAGTCAATGACGGATCAAGTGTAGGCGCTTATACACTTGATCTGATTGCGCCTCCGAAGTTAACTTCGGAGATCACTCAGTTGCCAACGCTCGAACATAAAAGGTTCTTGCGTGATCTGCGTAGCGGCAAAGTCAAGCAGATCTGCATACTCGTCGCTGACGACGAGTGTGTAACCGACATAAGGTCAGCAACAGTGTTTACTGAGAACGAGAGAGTTCTCAGTAGTTCATCTATGGACGAGAGTGTCCTAGATGAAAAGACACGAATTGAGCGATATGACTCCCAATCATGGGAATCGCTCAAGAAAAATCCTCTCTATGAAGATTTGGTTCAATTCAAGGATGTATTCCCTGAAACTGTTCCGTGCGAATTACCGAAGGATAAAGGTATTCGACACGAGGTAGAGCTTAAACCAGGCTCGAAGTACTGTGTCATGAAGCAGTGACCACTGCCCCGTGAACAAGTACTTGCGATCGATAAGTTCTTTGCCGATCGTTTAGCAGCGGGCCATGTGAGGGAATCAACTTCCCCACATAGCTCTCCGACCTTCTGTGTGCGAAAAGCAACAGGACGGTGGCGGATAGTGCACGCGTTCAACAAATTGAACGCTGCAACGGTACCGGCTCAGACGCCGATACCGAGGAAGGACGTAATCATTGATGGTATGTCAAAGAGTACCATCTTTTCGTCCATGGATTTGATGGATGGCTTCTATCAAATCCTTATGCGGGAACGGGATATACCCTATACCGCAGTTAGCACACCTAGCGGCATGCTCTGGGAATGGCTAGTAATGCCACAAGGGCTTAGTAATGCCCCTGCCACGTTCAATAGATGTGTATCACATCTGTTGAGACCAGTACGAGAATTCGCGCCGAGTTATTTCGATGACGTATTCATCCATAGTCGATCTATGGATGGAAAGTCGGACGTTGAGGTTCACAGGTACCACGTCCGACAGGTTCTTACAATCATGCGAAAGCATCAATTGTATGCAAACCTCAAGAAGTGTATATTTGCAGCAAGCGAAATACCACTTCTTGGGTGCATCGTTGGTAAGAACGGTGTACGTCCTGATCCCGAAAAGATCAAGGCGATCACCGACTGGCCTGTGCCAGTTTATGTCAAAGCTCTTCGAAAATTCCTTGGGCTAGCGGCGTATTTGCATAAGTATTCACGCAATTACGCCGAGATGACTGTGCACCTCTCTCGTTTGTTGAAAAAGAACGAGAGGTGGTTATGGAACGCTGAATGTCAACGCTCCTTTGAGGGTATCAAGCAGAGCTTGATACAATCCCCAGTCCTAACAATAGCCGATCAGGACAGGCCATTTCATGTGGTCTGTGATGCCAGCGATTTTGCAATCGGCTGTGCATTAATGCAGTACGATCTTGAAGGCGTTGAACGCGTCGTCTGCTATCAGTCGCGTCAGCTGCAACCAGCTGAGCGGAACTATCCAGTGCATGACAAGGAACTCTCTGCCATGAAGTATGCACTCGCGAAGTTCAGAGTCTATCTATTAGGAGATAGACCCTTCATTGTTTACACTGACCATGCGTCATTACGCACGGCAGTGAACAGCCCGCACCTTTCACAACGAATGGCGCGGTGGTTGTCATTCTTTGCAGAATACAACTTTACGGTCGAGTACAAACCAGGACGACTTAATGTCGTCGCTGATGCACTCTCACGTCGTCCCGACTTTGAAACAGTCGCGAAACCCAACAGTGAGACAGTCACTGTTGCGGTTATGACGTCCTCAGTCCCATCTACAACGTTGTATGATGATGTGAGGCGGGCATACGCCCAAGATGGTGAGATAGTGAAGTTGTTGACACATCTCTCCCAACCATCTCGAGAATCGTTGAAACGATTGTCGTCTGCGTATCGATCTGCATCAGATCGATACACTACTCGCAACGGTTTACTGTATTATACAGCCGTTTCTGGTGACACACCACGTGTTGTCATTCCAGATGATACTGATCTGCGTTTGCGGATCATGTTCGAGTATCACGATGCTCCTATAGGAGGACATCGTGGCCGAGAGAAAACATATCTCGCGGTAAGTCGAGACTTTTACTGGCCCCGCCAGTATCAGTTTGTGCGAAAGTATGTTCGCGCATGCGAAGTCTGCCAACGAGTGAAGTCAAGTCCTTCACTGCGTGCACATTTACAGCCTCTACCGGTTCCGGCTGAGTGCTGGGAATCCATTCAATGGATTTTGTCTTCGGGTTACCCAAAGACGCACGCGGGAATACGGGCATTCTCGTATTTGTTGACAGATTCAGCAAAATGGTACACCTCGTGGCTGTACCAGAGACAATCACGGCAAGTGGCTGTGCTTGTGTCTTTATTGACACCATCTTCCGACTTCATGGGTTGCCCCGTGAACTCGTATCAGACAGAGATCCACGATTCACTGCTGATTTCTGGCGTTCCGTGTTCAAATCACTCGGAACGCGCTTGAAGATGTCAACATCTGATCATCCAGAGTCAGATGGTCAGACGGAACGTGCCAATCGTGTCCTTGAAGAGATACTTCGAGGATACGTACACTCCTTTAAGAGTTGGAGTGAGTTTTTGCCAATGGTAGAGTTTGCCATCAACAACTCGGTGCATGTGTCGTGGACGCATGCACCGTTTTACGTGAATGGCTTGCGCCATCCGCGTGTACCCACCTTACTAGAGTGTAACTCTGGTTTAAGGGGGGGAGGGACTCGCGCGAGCAAAAACCGATTTGGTTCACGCTCATCACGCTCTGACGAAGAAGTCATTGCGTTTGATGCCGATATCGATAACATCGATATCGAAGAAGATGATGCCAGTGAGAGTGCGGAAGCCCTCACTGAAGTAGATGATCCCAGTGAGAGTGCGGAAGCCCTCACTGAAGAAAAGGTTGATGTTGCTGCAGTGCGCTCACAGCACACTGAAGATAACGAGTCATCAGATGAGTTCATACTGGCTCGTGAAACGGTAGTCCGTTTTGTGCAAGACTCCATCGCCGAAGCGGTGGATAAGCAAAAGCAAAACGCTGATAAGAATGGAAGGGCAAACACTCTTTTATTTAATAAAGGTGACTTAGTCCTACTGTCTACGGTTAATCTACCAAAGCATGTAGTGATTAACTTGGGTAGCAGTAAACTACTACCCAAGTACATCGGCCCATTTCGTGTATTGCACCGCCTAGGCAATGCATACACGATCGAGTTACCACGTAAGATGCGAACGCATCCCACGTTTTACGTTGGTCGGCTTAAGCCGTACCATCAGTACGCTGCTTCTTCCGATGAAAAACGCCCTTGCGCTCAAGCATCTCGCAGAGAGCCTTGTGCTCCCGATGGTGGGCATCAACAAGGGTCTGAAGAGCAGCTATCTCATCCCGAGACCGATCAGCAATCCCACGAGCTACCCTTAGCTCGTCACGAAGAGATGTCAGAGATCTCTCGTTCTCAAGCAGAGCAAAGGCAAACTCAGCTCGATGCTTCGAGGCAGTGTCCGCCATTTGGAGACGCCTATTCCGCTCATGTTCGAGATCGTCGCGTAACCCTTGCGTTACGCGATCAAAGAAGCTCTCGGGAACACACCGATCCACATGATCGTGTGGAGAGCGTCTTTCCTCCTCCTCCACCTCCATTAGAGTACTCTCGCGGTGGCCAGCGCTATCTAGTTGAGCAGCTGTTGAACCACCGCGACGTGAACGGACGTCGGACGAGTTATCTCGTCCGGTGGCGCGGCTATCACCCGTCCTGGGATTCTTGGGAGCCCCGCTCCCAACTGATGATCGACGTACTGGGTCTGGTTGAGCAGTACGACGCGGCACATCCTGTGCCGCAGAAGGACCACCGGAGAAAGTCTTCCCGGCACGGTCGTAAAGGGATTTCAGGTTGTCAATCCCTTCGTACATCTCAATGGAGACACGTACGCGCCACCACGGGCTGGTAAGGAGGTAAGCCTCCTTAGGTGCTCGTGCAGAGTTGTTCACACAACATGGGCACGAGTCTCCCCAAGAGAGGCAGGGTAATCCTTTCTCTCTTGACAGACGATGCAGCTTGTAGCGTGCACCTGTCGGGGTTCGCTTTTCAAACTTATCACGAGCTTTGATAAGTTTGTCGTTCCAAGCGTCACGACCTACATCCTCGAGGTTATGGATGTAGGCGCTCCACGCCTGAAGTAGTGAGGGACCATCACGTTTGTGATTCCCACTGTACCATCGATGTCTAAAGAAAGCATCGATGAAGAATTCATGTTCAGCGCGATAGTTTTTCGCGCTGGGGTCAAGGTGATGGATCCTTGACGAATCGAACAATCGTGTTCGATAACGATCACTCGTCGTCGCCGACAAGTGATCCATGACGGATTTTGGAGGCATCCATGCCTTCTTCTCAGGAGCGAGACGCAAGACATTGTGGTCCCGCTCTTCCTGCGACGTGCCGACAGAAGTACTGGCACCTCGCTGTGAAGTGGTGTCCATAGGAGAACCGACACCACTATTAGCGCCCAATTCTCGCGACCTCGAGCGCCTTCGCTTCGACGATGGTTCATCTGATGAATCAGATGAACCAAAGATGCTGCGACGCAAAGCATCGTCCATGCCACGCTTGGCAGGCGGCTTAGATTCAATCGCCGTCGATACGGATCCGTCATCCGTATCAGGAGAGTACGAGACACCGAGCTCGTACTCTGTGAAGACACGAGTGTCTTCATGACCAGCGCCTGCATCACCAAGTGACACAGGCTGGGTCGCTTCAGCAACCGATGAGACATCAGTTGCTGTTGTTTCTGCTTCTGCGTCCGCACAGAGACGTGCAGACGCGCTCTCGGCGGCCTTGCTCGCGCATCGCATGGGCTTGTTAACCATGCGATGAGATGTTGGAAAGTGGACGCGGACCAACAAGTGCAAACCCTGTCCCAACTGACTGTTGGACGATATCCATTCATTCAATCAGTCACTAAAGTGACTGATGGTTAAGGGGGATGGGGTGATGTAACGGGGTGAATCGTTACATTACAATTCATAAGAAATTGTTAATAGAATCGTTACATTACAATTCATAAGAAATTGTTAATAGAATATAGTTATAAGAGTTATATTCTCGGAATATTGTCATAAGGACAAATATTCTGTAGCACTTACGAGTAGTTCCTAATTGGTTGATATAGGCCATTATATCAACCAACGAAGACGCGCCACGACAGACGCACGCAATGAGTGGTGAGCAGATAACTGATTTACACATTTGTATTTAGACATAGTTAGATGAAGATAAATAGTGATTTATTGCAGACATTAACTATTATAAATACAGTTCTACTTTTTACTTTAACCAAGTACTCGCTTCTTCTTACCGTCTTCCTCTGCACGTACGAGTGTACGCGAAGTTACGAGGCACCGCCTTATTCTGTCATCAGAATAAGTAGCTTGTACTGTCACCAGTACAAGCTTCAGGGTGCCCCGTTACATAGTTAATCTATCAATGTAACTTCAGTCTTTATTCAACTACAATAATCTACATTGTCGTGTGACGACAACCTTCTCACCACTCATTATGCACGTCTAGCAGTGATTGGTGGTAATCTATGGTTAATATGTCTTTCATCAACCAATCTTTGAGCAGCGCCGGAATATTAACCGAAAGGGAAATATTCCTTCAATATTATCCATCTCGGATAATATTGGCAGATGATTGTCACTCCAGACAATCTCCCTATGGACACTGTTTGGTGTCAATATCATGTAACGGGCTACCCCGTTACATCGCCCTCCCAACCATCAATCTCCCGTTGATTGAATTTAATTGATCGGGACAGGGTGACCACCGTTGGATCACTCTGGGATGAGGACCACTTGTTGGTCAAATTCCAACTCATTTGCCAATTCTACGCATGGTGTCAAAGTCCATGCGATGTGCTGCCGAAGCAGCAAGAAAATCGGTTGCACGCATGCGTGCAGCCGAAGAGATTTTTCACTTGCTCCATCAGCGGGTGATGCTTCGCCTGCTGTTGCGAACAGTCCACGTGGTGAGTCGCTACGTGCGACAGATACATCCGCTGCGTCTGCAGCGGGTACTGCGAATCGCAATGTAGATGAGCCTGGAATTGAGCTCATCTATTCTGGCGAGTCGTATGATGCATCTGACTTGAAGGCGACACCTCAGACCTTCGGATCACCCGGGGCGGACACTGCAAGAGCCAGATCGACTGGCTCTGGGGAACATGGCGGCATCATGTCCGATCTTCGGATTGAGCGATTCTCCCGATAAATCCTCGCCTCACGCAAGTCCATCCGACGATAGGACGCGTGGTAATGGTGGTGATGCCCCTATGCATCACCACGAGAGAAGCAACTCGAGAGATCGAGCTGCCACTGGTGTCAGTGCTCGTGCTGCACCACTCAAGAGGCCAGGGACCGCAATGTCCTGCACCACGCTCCTCAAGTGGAGTCTCCTTGGATGCCGTCATTCAATGAGTTAGGTCGAGTGGACGGAATGACCAACGAACGGGATCGAATCCCGTTGTTCGACTGTAGGAGGGTCTGTCCTCCTAATTTCAGCACGGAAACTATCCGTGCTGAGGAAGAGTACTTCACCGATGTGTTCTTCAAGAATCGGTGGTACAATGGCAACCGTGGTCGAGACGGTAAGGCCTTGGTGCAAGGATGTAATGCCTTCATCCATTACATCGAGTGCATTGGCCGTGAGGCCTGGCTTGGTAAACTTGATGCAGCTCGCATCAGGTTTGATAAACGGAACCCAGACGGTGTACGGTATTAGTTGCACAGACTGTCAAGAGAGGCAGGTATACCCTGTCTCCAGTGGGGTGATCCATGTCCAGGGTACCCAAACGACTCGAATATGCCCCTAGGGAGACCTACCTCCCTAATCTTCCCTACTGGAGGGCGCGCATCTCTTCTGATATAGAAGAAGGGATTGACACTTTGCAATCCCTGTACTCGCGTTCGGGGAGGTCGTTTTTCGACGGCCCTTCTTCGAACGCAGCAGGCAGGTCTCGTCACACTGCTCGACGAGACCCGAAACATCAACGATAAGCTGGTCACGAGGCTCCCAGCTGTCCCAGTCTGGTGGATAGCCACGCCAGCGGATAAGGTAACTCATCCGGACGCCATTCACATCGCGGTGGTTCAAAAACGCTCCACTAGAAAGCGTTGACCACCGCTTGAGTCCACCAAAGGATGTGGTGGTGGCGGGATCAACTGATCCGGCTCGAGGGTCGGATCAGAATGATGCTCAGGAATTGAACCGTGTAACGGAACAGTTGCAAGATGATCTGGCTCATGAACGAACTCGGCGTTACCGAGATCCATGACCTTTTAAGGGATAATTACAATTTCTCAGCACACGATCGTTCGGATGATCGTGCCGCATTTGCGCTCGAGCAACTTGAGAACGAACGTTCTACTCGTTCTCTTCATGACGAGCTGACTGCAGCTCGTCAGGACATCGCTCAACTGCGTAAGCAGGTCGCTTTGCTAGTCGACCAGACTGGATCGTTGAAGCGAGACCACTCGAAGGTGGTCTCGACCCTTGACCGCGGAGGTGTTCTTCGCATCTCGAAACGGGCTCGTGTTGATAGTACGGGCGGAGACTTCCAACGTAAAACGTTGGATGCGTACGCATCCTACGAGACAACTCAATCGTGTACGCGTTGCCCATACGGCGCAACACACGAAATGGACCGATATACTTGGGCAGTAATTTACTGCTGCCCACGTTTATCACTGCGTGTTTTGGTAGATTTACTGTTGACAATAAAACTAAGTCTGCTTCATCAAATGAAAGAACATTTTCTCTTCCATGTTTTTCGTCTTTTTTTCTGCTTGTCTATTGCATCTGCAATAGAGTCTTGAGTGGAGTGGACAACCGCTTCGCGAGTCAGCAGAAATTCCTCCGCTGATTTATCCTTGTCAACAGCAGTGCGCTTTGCGTGCACTGCTGAAAGAACGTTGTCTTCACCAGTGAGGGTATCATCGTCCTCACTGTGGCAGTCTTTGGCGATGCTGAATATGCCAGCATCGTCGTCATTGTCATCATCGACATCGATCCCATCGACATCGGCATCCATCACGTCAACAACATTGTCGACGGGTGATGAGCAAGAACCAGATCGGTTTTTTGTTTGAGCGAGTCCGCCCCCCCCTTTAAACTAGAGTCACACTCTAAGAATGCAGGTAAACGTGGATGGCGTAGGACATTCACGAAGAGCGGTGCATGCAATGTCGACGTGTGCACCGAGTTGTTGATGGCGAATTCTGCCATCGGCAAGAACTCACGCCAACTCGTAAACGAGGGACTTACCCTCGAAGTATCTCTTCGAGGACGCGGTTGACCCGTTCCATCTGACCATCTGTTTTTGGATGGGTAGAAGTCGACATCGTCAAACGTGTTCCTTGTGAACGGAACACGGATTGCCATGACTCCGCTTTGTAGCGGGGGACTTTAACAGACACGAGTTCATGGAGTAACCCGTGTAGTCGGAAGATAGTATCGATGAAGACACATGCACAGCTATGAGCTGTAAATGACTCCGGTACAGCAACAAGATGTACCATCTTGCTGAACCGATCAACAAACACAAGAATACCAGTATTCTTGTGAACGTCTTTGGGAAACCAGAAGACGAAGTCCATCGATACGGACTGCCAACACTCTGTCGGAATCGGTAGAGGCTGCAAGGGTGCACGGGATGAAGGACTAGGCTTCACCCGTTCGCAAACCTTGCAAGCGCGAAAGTATTTGCGCACAAACTCATACTGCCGAGTCCAGAAAAGTCACGACTCACCGTGAGGTAAGTCTTTCTCTGCCGCGATGCCCACTCGTTGGGGCATCGTGACAATAATGCATGATGCGCAATCGCAAATCATCATGAGCGGGAACGACGACACGAGGCGTGTCGCCGGTGACTGCTGCATAGTACAGCAGTCCATCACAAACCGAATACCTTTCGGTTGAAGAGCAGTATTGAGACGACAAGCTTTTCAAAGCTTGACTGCATGAATTTTACACGTAATCCATCAATCGCAGAAGAGAATCATCTTCTGCGTATGATTTTCTCACGTCGTCGAGCATATTCGACGACTGAACCCTCACTTATCTTGTTTAAACAGTGTAGTTACCCCTACTGTTGGGCTGAGCAGTCGACTCGAAATAAGGGCCGAAGCGAAGAAGCATCAGCGACGACATTAAGTCGTCCTGGTTTATACTCGACAAAGAAGTTGTACTCCGCAAAGAAAGACAGCCACCTCGCCGCGAGAGGTGCGAACTGGTTACGGCCGTTCGTTGCGAGAGGTGTGAACTGTTTGTGCCGTGCGTAACGACGCATGGCTGGTACATAAATGATGAAGGGCCTATCTCCTAAGAGATATACCCGAAACTTTGCCAGTGCATATTTTGTGGCAAGGCTTTCCTTGTCACGCTCCAGGCAATCACGCTCAGCTGCTTGCAGCTGACGCGATTGATAACAGACGATGTGTTCAACGCCGTCTAATTCACACTGCATTAACGCGCATCCGACTGCAAAATCGCTGGCGTCACAGACCACATGAAATGGCCTATCCTGATCTGCGATCGCCAACACAGGCGATTGCACAAAGCTTTTTCTGATGCCTTTAAAAGAGTGCTGACACTCAGCGATCCATGACCACCTCTCGTTTTTCGTTAGCAGACGAGAGAGATGTACAGTCATCTCGGCATAGTTGCGCGAGTACTTGTGCAAGTACGATGCTAAGCCAAGGAACTTTCGAAGTCCCTTGACGTCGACTGGCACTTGTCAGTCGCCAATCGCCTTGATCTTTTCCGGATCAGGGAGTACACCATTTTTACCCACGATGCAGCCAAAAAGTGGTATTTTGTTCGCTGCGAGTACACACTTCTTGAGGTTCGCGAACAACTTATGCTCACGCATTAGAGTAAGAACCTTTCGGATGTAATTTCTATGAAACTCCACGTCCGTCTTTCCATCCATGGACCGGCTTTGGATGGAGACATCGTCAAAGTAACTCGGTGAAAAGTCTCGCACCGATCGCAACAGGTTTGTAACACATCTGTTAAACGTTGCGGGAACGTTACTTATCCCCTGCGGTATCACTAGCCACTCCCAGAGCATACCACTCGGAATGTTCACTACTTTGCAAAGGATATATCGTTCACGCATGAGGATCTGATAGAATCCATCCATCAAATACATGGACGAAAAGGTGGTACGTTTTGCCATACCATCTATGATGACATCCTTTCTTGGTATCGGCGTCTGAGCCGGTACGGCTACAGCGTTTAATTTGTCGAATGCGTGCACTATCCGCCACCCTCCTGTGGCCTTTCGCACACAGAAGGTCGGAGAGCTATGAGGGGAAGTTGATTCCCTCACATGACCAGCGGCTAAGCGGTCTTCCAATAATTTTCGATCACTTTGACCTGTTCACGAGGCAGTGGCCCCTGCAAAAAAGGATTTGTCTTCGAAGACTCTCAAGATTGAGACGTGTATCGCTCAATCCGAGTCTTCTCATCGAGGACACTCTCGTTCATCGATGAGCTACTGAGAACCCTTTCGTTCTCAGCAAACACTTGTGCCGACCGAAAATTGGTGACATACTCGTCCTCTGTGGCGAGTACGCAGATCTGCTTGATCTTGCCACTACGCAGATCTCGCAAGAATCTTTTAGATTCTAGCGTTGGTAACTTGACTATCTCCGAAGCTGTCTGCTGGGGTGTAATCAGATCAAGTTTATAAGCGCCTACACTTGATCCGTTATTCACCAAGACATTAACTGACTCGGTAATTTTCTGGGAAAACACATCCGCAGGTGGTTGGGATCCACACCCTCAGCATAACTCTCTCGGGAGTTATCACTTCCAGGAACGCTGGAGCTTTCTCCCGATACGTGTACCGACTGTAAGTGTGCTGACACAGTCACGTCCTCTTCGATTGACTCTCTTTCAGTCGATCGTGTTTGCTTTGCGATTGAATCTCTGATAGTCGATCTCGATTCAACGAGTTGTTTATCCTGAACAACACTAACTTCTCTTCTTGGATGCACCATTCTTGGTGTGCATCCATGTTCCAGTCCACTCGAACTCTTCAATGGGTGAACCTTCGACACAGCCTCTGTCTCCACACAGGTGCTGGAAGATGGTTTCACAGTGTAGTGGCCTTCTACGCCGTAATCTTGTGCAGTCATACTAGCGACCGTACCACAAGTAAGGCCATCGCACACACTCGAAGTACATCCACACGCTTGTGGACGCTCCAAGACGTTCATCAGATGGCCATATGATGAACAAAGGGCAGGCATCTTCACGAATCGATGTTGCCAGCTAACCCATGGCTGGGTTTTTTCTAATTCATGGCAGAGCGGGGATGACATCAAAATTGTCATCCGAACTCAAAACGATGAAGTCATCATCGTACTATTTTCCTTCTAGCTTGTAGTGGATTCCCACTATACGTTTGTTCACTGTTACGGATGCGCCTGTAGCAAGGCACACCGTCATCCTCGAATGAGATATATCTCGTTCAACATAGTTGAGCCTACTATCCCCTAGCGACTGACGTCGAAAAAACTGTTCGAAGCCCCACAGTCAACAAGGGCGCGAAGAGACATTCCACTTGTCACTTCGATCTTCAAAGTAATGAGGGACACCTCATCACTAGGGGCAGTAACACACAGCGCATGTGTGTTGGGAGCAATCTTCCCTACTAGTCCTGCAAATTCTCTTGACGTTGCTGGATCAGCAGGGTGCTCCGCCCATACCGACCCTGATCGTTTTTGGCGGTCCGACATGCTGTCGCGGTTTAGCGACACGGTCGGACCCGCGCCTTGAACGTTTCCTCGGCCAAAAGCGGTCACCACTTCCTGTATTTGGACGTGGTGCGGTGCTTGGAACACTACACTCATGAGCGTAGTGTCCGACCTTCTGACAGTGATGGCATCTTGCCGTTCGCTTGTGACTCAGACAGCGAGAGTTCTTGCTCCCGATGTAACAGAGGTCCATTGGTTCGGGACCTCAGGTTTCCTGTCGTCTCGTCGGACGATAGTTTGACGAGTTATCCTGATACTGTATCAGGCTGAAGTCTTCTTGTTCCGCATACGCTATCGCCTTTTACAGCGCATGGAAGTCCTCTCGGAACATATAGGTCTTCACCGGCCCATCTACTAGGCCGTAGATGAACACGTTGATAAACGTATACTCATCTACAGGGTTTTCCGTGACGCTACTTGCAAGGTAGCGTAGGTGTTGTGCGTAAGCATGCACATCATGCTTACCTTGCTTGAGCCTCAGGAGTGCAGAGCGTTCTCTGAACTCGGCTTGTGGCGGCTCAAACGTGTCTTTGAGACGATACTTCAAGGTCTCCAGCAACTCAAACACTTTTGGATCGTGAAGCTTGAGCCCTTAGGCCCAAGTCTTTGCTCGTCCTGTCAAATTTGACAGGGCGAAGGTGACTTGCATCTCGTCACCCTCGATGTGACGGGCCCTGATGGCGTCATCTAATTCGACAAACCATCCCAAAAGGGACTCTTCATCGGTTCCCTTGTACCTTGTGATATCAATCTTCAAGGTTTCGGGTCGATGCGTGTGCGTCGGCCCACCCATCGACTGATGAGAGCCCTGCTGCTGTATCGAGGCTATCTTCTGTCTTTCGACGGCAAGTCCCCCTTGTAGATTCTTGTTGATAGCAGCATGTTGCTGGTCTCTGCTTAGAGACTCCAACATACCACTGATAGCGGGTTCGCCCATGAGCACACTCATGCGGCCGACTATCTCCCATTCCGAGTCACTCAGATGGGAGTAGCCTTCACGTGTGACATGAAAGCTGTCGTCTTCTACGTCCAACATGTTCATGTTGGACGGACACTAAGTAGTCGTTGGACGGACTACGAAGTGCTACCAGGTGTAACGGGGCACCCTTTGTTTGGGGTGCTGCGAAACTTCACGTACACTAGTACGTGCAGAGGAAGCTAATCTACTCAAACTGCTACTTTGAGTAAAGACAAAAGAGAGCTGTATTTAAAATAGTTAAGCTATCAATATAACTTTAGTCTTCATCAAACTCTATTAAATTACGTCGTCGTATGACGACAACCTGCTCACCACTCATTACGCGCGTCTAGCAGCGATTGGTGGTAACCTTGGTTGATACATCATTGATCAACCAATCTTTGAGCAGCGCATGAATATAATCCTACAGAGGGATAATATTCCTTCAACATTACCTATCCCGGGTAATATTGGCAGATGATTTTCACTCTCGACAATCTCTCTATTGACACCGTTTGGTCTCAATGCAGTCCTCCCCCCCATAAGTTATATCCTTACTGGAGGCCAGATCCTATAACTTATCAGGGGTTCTTCCATTTGGGAATAATTAATTAATTAACGATAAAAAAAGCTGACCATTTATTTTTTTTATTACTTATCAATACAGTACAATATATGCATAACTATTAGTATTAGTACCACGATTGTCATTTATTGATCAAAATAGCGGATCACAGAACATTTTCTTTACCCTTCTGGTTAGCGACGCGTCTGGGCACCGCACATGGAAATTTTGGAGTCCTTGTGCGTACAAAGCATTGTCTTTGTGAGTGCATCGAATCCAACTTGAGCAAATTTAAATTAAACACAGTTAATTGGTTGTTTCACACTCAATTGATTCATTGAACCAAACACAGTTAAAGTACCTTCGTACACAGTAAAAGTACTGTACCTTGTTTACATTTTGTGCGCGATTGCGCAACCTTTTGCAACTCGCCTGGCGGGCTGGCCGCCGGGGGTCGGGGTATAAAAGGCACCCTTTTTCTCCCCCGACCAAACAAACATCCCTACATTCCTACATCCACACCTTACCTCTCCTCCCGCATTCCCTCTCTCGCTTCCTGTCCACTTCCATTCCTCTCCCAAACCAACGACTTTCCTCAAAAACCCAGAACCCCACACCTACCCACCCACTTACCCACCCACACATCAGAGTGTCTCAACTACGAATCACCAACGACCAGAAGCTGAGGATCATCAAACTTAAGGATGATCATCCGAGCCTCACCCAGACAGAGCTTGGAAACTGGACAAAGAAGGCATTCGGCCTCCTCAAACCTATGACTCAGGCCTCAATCAGCAAGATCATCAGCAAGAGGAAGGAGCTTGAAGCAATGAGTCCATCAGGGCTCTCTGCTAAGCGTCCCCGCTCAGTTCAACAACCTGCCTTCAGTGGCCTCTGGATTTTGCAGGCCAGCATCGTGGAGTTGCCCTCACCGGAGACCCGATCCGTGCCAAAGCTGCGAGCTTTACAACGTCCACGGATATTCCGGATGGATCAATCAAGTTTGCCCATAGGTGGCTCTACAAATTCCAGCAGCGCCACAAGCTAAGGGCCGTCCGTATCCATATCGAGAGCGGTTCAGCCGATGTGGCTGGAGTTGAAGCAGCTCTACCAGAGTTAGAAGCAGCCGTCGCCAAGTTTGCTCTCCGTGATGTGTACAACATGGAAGAAACTAAAAAGTTTTCCTGAAGTCTTTTTGCTCTGTGTCATAAATGCCAAGATGATTTCCAAGATTTTTTACAGCATGACATCGGATAAAACTATTGCCCAGAAGGAAGTTGAGGGCTTCAAAAAAGACAAGGTGAGTTGCATTTGGCTCATTGGAATCCGTGGGATCGACGGAATAATTGACTTATTTGTCAGACTCTCATCACAGTGGCTCTGACGGAAAATGCTGATGGATCTGATAAGCTCCCTCCATTCTTCATCGGCCGTGCAAAGAAGCCTCGTTGCTTAAAACGGAAGTCAGGAGAAGAGCTCGGGTTTCTTTATCGCTACAACAAGAAAGCCTTTTTCAGAAATGGCTTAAAAACATGGAAGGAGACATAAAGGCAATTGAACATTTGCCCATTCTGAGATATCAGCTGCAAAACAAAGCACTTACCCAGATTCTAGCGCCAAAATAAAAAAATTCTTCTGCTTATGGACAAGGCACCTTCGCACGTAATTTTGGATCTTGTGCCCACCAACGTCACCGTTCAGGCTCTGCCGCCCAATACCACATCCTAGGTGCAGCCAATGGACGCCGGTATCATCGCTGCATTCAAGCGTCACTATCGGCGTCTGCACCTACAGAACGCTTTGGATCGCTATGATGCGGGAGCGGCCGATCTCTACAAATTCGATCAAGTCACAGCCATGCGTTGGTCACTAATGGCGTGGAGCAAGATTTCGAGCACCACCATTGCGAATTGCTTCAAGCACACTGGACTCATGAATGGGCCGACTTCACCATCAGTTGAAGGAGGCGCTTTAGCAGGGGAAATTCAGCTGCCTGTGCAACAGGATGCAGATCTGGTTGACTAGGAGGAGCAGGAAGTGGAGAAGGATCTGGATTTAGCTCTGCAACGCCTGCCTTTGCGCAATCCGATATCTATTGCGTCACTGCTCAATTTATGAGGAGCCGACGGTGCATGCGGAGTTAAGCGACGCCGAGATCATCAAGCTCGTCCAGGATGCTGAGGAGGAGGAGTAAGGAGAAGCTGAGGAGGAAGTGGTGGCACATTGCATAGCTGAGAAGCTCGCTGCTCTTGCTTTATCCATTTCCCTCCTTGATCTATCCTAGGATCGAGACTGCGCCGCCCACCGCGCTCTTCGTCGCATTCAAGCCCAACTTCGTAGTGCTAATACAATCCAAACCACGCTGGATTTATGGCTTAAATAGGCTCCAGGATGCTCCAAACAATATTCATCTACTCTTGACAAAAATTGCTCCCCTGATACATTATATTGGGCGTGGGTGGGTATTCCATATTCCGTATTGCATAGTCGCCATAGAACGGCGTCGATGGACCCGAAATCATATGACTTAGCAGAGGTTATACCATAGGGGGATAACTTATGGGGGGCTGAATCATGTAACGGGCTACCCAATTACACCCATGCTGTGTTTCTGCGTCTGATGTTAAAAAGTTTGGAAAAAACACACTTCGATTTGCGGCGCTACAATTCAAAGAGACAAGAAGTTGTTCATAAAACATATGGGCTTGAGCCACCTCAAGGTGAGCAACTTGAAAAGGTGCCACAGGCGATCAGATACAGTTTTACCAAGTACCACAAGAAGAAGCACCGGCGATTTGTGTAGAAGCAGTTGAATCGTGTTGTTTGCTTTGTTGTTTGCTCTAATGCTAAGCAACAGTACGCTCTAACTACACACATTTTTACCTTCTTGTAAATGAAGTGGAGACGCGCTACATCCGAAATAGCCAGCCCCGTACACTGATACGGATGACTTCGTGCTCTCGTTTTTCACCTAGCCAAGTCGCCGATGTCCTTGCCATAACATCGTGGCATCCATGGTGGATACAAAATCAACCGATCGGTTGCTCAAAGGACATTCAGCAAGTCGCAGGGTGCAACAATGTTATCTTCTGCATGTTTGTCGGAGCAAACTTTCGGCTGGTGAAGGACCACGTTGCTAGGTGGTCGTTCTAAGTTGGGGACCGCTTTTAGATCACGTACAAACGTTCGTTTGAGGTTCTTGCCGCTGCCCATGAGGATCACGTAGACCGCAACTCGCGACGATTAAGGCGCCTGCTATCAAGGTCGCTGCTGAAAAAAGCTGCTTACGGCGCGCAATCATGCATACGGCTCAGCATCAAAGTACAGGCTGGTCGAGTGAAGCTATCAGCGTGTTGTAAAAAGCGACGAATTCATTTTTTGCGGGGGATGGATTTATTATCGCTTCAAGCTGCCGCATCGCGCATGATTCGGTGACATGCGACAACATCTCACTTCGCCAGGACAAACTTATCAGTTGTGTCTCATCGACATCGACAAGTCGTTTGGCCTCGATTCCTCCTATCGCATTCAGCTTTGCGAGATCCATTGGCAGAAACTCACGTAGTATGGCATCATCCCCCATCTTCGTGAGAATGTAATACATTAAGTCGAGCAGCAAGCGACTTGTAGCTCGTTCTGCACCTTTCGTATTGACGCTATCCTTCCGTTTCTCTTCTCACAATCATCAAGTTTGCAGCGTAACCACAACACCATGCAGTAAAACAAGTTTAGTGACACAGTCGGTTCATTCGGCTGCAGTTGCCATGCGTTCACTACAGCTAGCGCTTTATCTCAAATTCTACCGTGTATGCTTGTCAGGCGAGGTGTGTACATCTCAAATGTGGCAGTATTTTACAGCATCTTCTAGTCGATTTCCATAGCTGACGCATGATCCTCTCTAGCGGTACCGCAAGTTGTTCTCTTGTCGATTCTTCTGTTCTGCACATAGCAAGAAAGACCAACGACACAACACCAATATTTTATGCATCGGCACGCCGATCGCTGGCAATGCGGATTGTAGTAGGAGCAACGTTTCTCGTACGTACTCAGACCGCCTCTAAAAAGAGGAGTGAATGCCACAGGGTAATGCAAGATTTGTGTGTGAGAGCCCGCGGGGGCTACGCGATGAAGCATCGACACCTTTTGAGTCATTAAATATCCTCTGTTAGTTCCAGTGTTGAACGCGAATATGCATCATGATCGCTGCATGACCTCGTTTACAAGACAAAATGTGACTGAGACGTAACCTCCATTCCTCACATCGAAGGCCGACTTACGTTTCAGCCCAGTGCACTTCTCACCAACGACGTCTCTCCCTCTTTTTCTACGTGCTATAAGTGCGGTTCATCCTATCGCCAGCCGTTCATTTCACTCGATATCCACGAGGCAATGTTGCGAGGTGCAGTTTGCAAACTGTTCGCTAGCTTATTCTGCATGGCAAAGAGGCCTACGAGGTTGCTGAGTGTTGCTTGGTTTGGTAAAGCTTTCGTCTTCTGCATTGGAGCTGTCCATATTCATCCGACAAGCTCTCCGACACGGACGGGTGATCAAGAACTTTCGAGCATGTATGACCGAAGAGTTCAATTGCACCGCGTGTGTTCGTACATTCTCGTGCATGCTTTTCGGTCAGAGTGGAAGCCCAACCTTGTCGTGTTTCGATACCGATTGAGTAGAGGTTCATTAGCCCAACAGAAACCAGGTAGATCTGGTGCAGCAACACATCCTGCGCATTGTCATTGAGTTGGTGAGAGAGCTTAACGCCTAGAGCTTGCTTTCGAGCTCGCATACTCGTTCTAGCACTTGCCGTGGATGTTTAAGTGGATCTGCTGCACGACAATCTGAAACACGGACTGTCAGACCAATCGATGATAGCTTCCGTGCTTTGATACAAGTTGCCTTCACAAGACAGCTGAGCACACTCCAAAGAATGGCTGAGTATGTAATCCTCGTTCAATTTGATCCAGCGTTCTCCACTGAGAATCACGGCAACCCTACTCAGCTAAAGCTGATGTCTGAATGACTGGACTCGTTGTTCGTAGTGTTGTGTGACGATGACGAATAATTCCAAGTTACGATGCCTCTTGGTTATGCCAACTTCTTGCCTCGATTCAAGTGCTTATTCTTCAGAAGATAACAGCAGTCTCCACAGTTATCGGTGCTTCCATTGTACCTAGATGTTCTGCCACTGTTACAACGCTAGCGCCGCTGTTCCTCTTTTTTGTGTCCAAGTGAATCAAAATTCCGTCCGGTACAATCGCTTCGTGCATGTAGTGATGCCTTAGCATCGCAATCGTGCACGAAGTAAGACCTAGACTCACAGCAAGCCCTCCGCAACTGCGTCAGTAATACAGAATGTCAGCGCAAAACGAACAAGTTGATGATGGTAATCCTGCGAGTGTTGTCGAGAAAGCAAGTATCGATTCTCGACATTGCGGCAAATGAAAATGTTGAGCATACTTCCAGGCGGAACGAAACAGCAGAGTTTACCACCACCTTCGCTGATACCCAAACCAATACGAACAGCAGTTTACAGGCCACGCCTTGAACAAGTAGCTTCTCTACCGTTCTTCTTCCCATGTGTATTTGAAGCACCAACACCTCTGTGTGCGTGGGAGAGATGCATGAGTTCACGACATGTACATCGTGTACATACTCGTACGGCAGTGCATGTATGGCTGCAAATGATAACAATCGAGTGCTCTGCCAACCAGTACCTCATTTCACATTTAACGAACGGACTGATGGTTCGGTTTCCGCATGAAACGTGTGCAAGTCCAACCGACATGGGTTCCTACGCGCCATGGTCGTCGGATCAATTCAGTGTCCCTGAGAAGAAGGCGCACTCGAAGCTGATGCGACGCCTGGTTCCAATCATCTGCGGATTCTCAGTGCTTGTTGCTGTCCTTGTCATTGTGGGTGTGATGTTGACTGCCGATTCCAGCAGTCCCACCGACGCTTCGAGCTCGGATGGAAGTAACACTCGCGCCACTCCTGCTTCCTTTCGACTATCGTCCTGCCCTCCTGTCGCGGCCAAAGACCGAACTGTTGCATTCTGGCAAAGTGAAGTTGCTGGATGTGACACCGTTCCGGATGGAGTCACGCACTTGGTCTTTGGCTTTGCACTTGTTGCTGCGGAAGGTGTTATTGTACCCTCTTTCCAGTCATCGGATGACTACATTACTCAATGTGTGGAGAAGCTCCATACGCGGTGCATTTTGACCTTGGCGAGTGTCGGCGGGTCAACCAATAACGACAACATGTCGGCACTTGTAAACGCAACGTTGTTTGCTGAGTCGGCTCTAGACCTGGTGACGAAGTTCGGGTTCGCCGGCTTGGACTTTGACGACGAGACTGTCGGGATGCAATTTAGTGCGGGTCGAGTGGTAGAGTTGCTGAAAGCTACACGGGAGGCGCTGGACGCCACTGGTAGTACAAAGTCGGCTCTGCTGACGTACGATGCCTATTTCAATGAAGGAGATCCCGCAGTATGCGCAGCAAAGGATACAGCAACCCACTCGAGGTGCTTCCCGACGAAGGTGCTTGACTATGTGGACTGGGTCAACATCATGGCGTACAACGTCAACCTGGACAATGTCATTGCGGCAGAGATTTATGCAGCGGCTGTGAAAACTACTTTTGCTGCGTGGGGGACTCGATTGGGCGGGGATTTCTCTCGCGCTACGGTTGGGCTGTGTCTAAAGGGAGGGTGTGCTTATGGTCCAGGGCCGAATGCGAAAGTGCTGGTCGAATGGGAGCGATTCGGTCGCCAGGATGGACACGGGGGTATGATGATATACTCTGCATCGGCAGAAGTAGGCGATGATTTTGGGGTCACCAGGAGTATCATTCGCTCGACGTGAGGAGCTAGTGCTAGGACCGAAAGCCTGGATAACTAACTCTACGTTATAGACTTTTGACGTGTGGAACTAGAGGAAGGTTGACGAGGGTAGTGGCACTACAACCAACTCTGCATTTGCTCTGGAAGTAATAAACAACGACTGTGTACCTGGTGGTGGCTTGTACATTGGGAGCGACAGATATGTTGGTCCGACACGCGCTGGATGAACGATAGTTGAACCCCTATCTTTCAAAGATGTCGGCGACTAGGAAGTAACGATTCTACCTGCCATGTGCATTGTGCTTTGGTAAACATCGTTGGGTTGGCTTTTGCCTGACGTACATTGTCTACAAAGTCTCACAGCTCCAGTTCACGCTAAAACCAAAGTCTGGAGTTTTCACGGCAAACACGTTGCCGAGTGCGCTTACTCCTGCGTAGTCAGAGCTGCGACGTTGCCTGCATGATGTGCATTAGAGAGTTGGCGATAGAGCAATGTTTTAAACTCTATTTTTGCGATCTACTTCGTTATTTAAAAGCACTTTAACGAGATGTGTCATCCATTGCGAATCCACCTTAATTCCATTCATTCAGAGAAAAACGAAAATCAATTCAATTAAAATTTATTGTGCTCGCACAATAATATTCATTGTGAGATAGCATATTATACAGATCGTTTTCTTGCTGTTTCAGTCCAGAGTCGACCTCAGAGACGATCGCACCCTCATCAGCAACTTGGGCAAAACGGTATCACAACTTTTCAAATTATCGTCGCTCGAACATTTGCAGTCGTCCAAAATTACTTCAACAATCCATCGTACACTTCCACCGATCCTCCTATCCATTGGTCACATCAGCGCATGCCTGACGACGAGCGCGTGGGCGCGAAACGACGTCGCGCGGGACGCCGACCAAGCTCCGTATGGTCCTTTTTCACCGAGGTGCGCACAGCTGACAACAAAGTGTACGCGTGCTGTCACTTCTGCCCTAAACGCCTCGCTGCCGTGGCTTCACGAATGCGACAGCACGTGCTGAGCAAATGTGTACGAGCGCCCCCAGACATCCAACAACTGCTCGACCAAGCTCCCGCTCGTACAAATAATACCGCGATTACTACTGCTACTTATAGTACCCCTATTTGTACTGATAGTATTACTACGGATAATACCACCAGTGGTAGTACAAGTAGTAGTAGTAGTACTACTACTACTCATGATGATACCGTGGAAATATCAGCCACTACTTGTGCATCAACTGCTACTGTTCCAGTTGCTGACGTGCCGGGACTTTGTGGGTCAAATGTCCATTTAGTTGCAGCGGATCGAGTCATGAGGCAGCCGAACGACGTGGAAACTGAGGCTCTTCCTCCAATCGAGACTGCAGATACAGAGGAGAGCAGAAGTCCGACCAGGGAGCAGACGACGACGTTGAAGACGGGGGAAGTGGTCGAAGTCGTGCCAGTGGCAAACGTCTTGGAAGCAAATGGCGATGAACGAGTCCATTGTGACCAGCACCAGCTGCTGGAAAAGAGCTCGGATGTGGACGCTCGACGCGTGCATCAGAAGCTCGTGCTGGCCTTGGTCGTGAATGACGTGCCGGCTACGATTCTGGAAGACGAGGCGTTGATGGAAGCTTTTGCGCTAGCACATCCCGGATTACCATGGCTCTCGGTGGATCAGGCGCAGACGACGGTGTTGCAGGAACTGGTGGACGAAGTGACCGAGACGATCGAGCAGGAGCTGGCCACTTGTGCGGTACTCACATTGGTGCATCGACACTTTAAAAAGCACGGTGGAGGAACAGCTACTGGGGTGGCGTCGCAGTGGTGCAATCGATGGATGGGCGTGGATGAACACCGCAAGGTCTTCCCGTTGAAGGAAACATACCAGGATGTAGAACCTTCAGTATTGATCGCGGCCAATGAAGCGTGGTGCAAGTACTGCCCTCCGCGAGAAGAGTTCACCGCCGTCGTTTCAACCTACCGCCTCAGCCTTGCACCCGACACTGTCTTCTGTCTCTGTTGTGATTGTCCTCGAACGTATCAGCAACTACGATTGGAGCAGATGCGGGCGCTATCAATATCCACACAAGACGCAGACAGCGGGAGTGACCTCGCTTCAAGGTCGACACCGCAACAACTGCTGGTGAGCACATGTGCTGTTCGTCTGTCTCTTCGATTGCGCAAGGAACTGCTGAACGCATTCCCTGCACTAATTGATCTGCTCAACAAAGCTCTCTTTCTTAGCCACAGTGTATCGAAGATTACACCGTTACAGCCGCAGCTGCAAACCTTACTGGAATCGTCGAGTTGGGACGCAGTGCCCCGGCTCGTCAAGCGCATGGTGTACCTGGAGAATGATATACGGCGATATCAAGCCAAGGTCTCTGTACCGACGGATGAAGTCGCGTCCTTTTGGGACAAATTACGCATTGTGGACACGTTGCTCACACCGTTGAGCTGGATGCTGGCATTAAGTGAGACCAACGACACGACGTCGGCACAGTATGTCGTGCTCTGGCTGTGGTTGCTGGCAATAGTGAAATCTACCACGTCGTCCATGCTACCCGAACAAGGCAAAGAAAGCTTTGTGTCTGTGGCGATGTCGATAATCGAATGCCACGTCGATTCGCACGAGCTGGTGTGCGTACTTCTGGATCCTCGCGTCGCCGGCGCCGGTTTTTCAATCTCCGGCAAGCGGCGTGTGAAATCGTTGGTTGTCCAACTCGCTGAACGCATGTTCCCAAGCGCAGGATATAGCAGTGGTGCTATACGCCTTCAGCTATTGAATGAATTAGGTGATTACGCCGAGAAAACTGGAGTGTTTGCCGATGTCGTCGCTTGGGAAATGAGTGTCGGTCGGCCTCCGACACTATTCTGGAACGACTTCGTAGAGGACGCGCCGCATTTGAGTCGCGTGGCTCGCGCTGTGGTCTCGATCTCACCGTGTGCGCAGACCGCGACCGAGTCGTTGAACTCTCCACTTCCAATGGAAAAGGCCTCGTGGAATCAAACGTTTGCAGTGCGGCAATTGACATCCCAAGTTCGCACTCATCGACCACCGGAAAGCACAAGTGGCTTCAAACAGTACTACTCGCTGCTCCTCCCCCCATCTCCATTACCGCAGGGCAGTATGTCCGACGGTACGCTATCACTCGAAGTGAACAAAGCTCTTCGAGTAAACAACACGCTGCGATGGTCTGCAAGTGACGAGACCAAAGTCGAGGCAATTGTCACGCACCACCTGAGTCAGATGCTACAAGAAGGAGGCGGCGACAGCGATGCCGATGACAGCAACCAAGTGCCAACCTCGCTACCAGCTGCTGCGACACAACACGACACGCTGCACGTCCGTGTCTCGTGGTTTGCGTTCCAGTCCGCCAATGACCTCAAACTCTTGCAAGAAACGGTCAGAAAGTTTGTACCGCGTCTTGCTACCGCCACCATCAACTAACGTCCGTACATCAGATCCACATCATCTCAACAAGTCGAGCCACGCCCGTGTATTGTTTCGCACCATGTGTCCCGTACCAAATGCACAGATCAAGTAGTGCCCATGATACCTGTCCCAAACCAAGTGCCTCAAGACGAGGTGTCCGACATCGCATGTCCCATTTCAAGTGTCCCATGGCAAGTGTCTTCCATCCATTCGCTACGCGAGTACAGGCTTTGGTCGGGATGCAAACACGACGCGCGTGCGAGCAATCCCCACGACTTCGTACTGGATCCGTCCCCCTGCTGCGTCGTCCCTGCCGTCGGTCGCCCCGTCCACAACGTCCTCCATCGCATCTTTCCGCAAAATCGCAAGCGGTTTTGGCAGCGTTTGCACTCTCCCAGTCACCACGTGCGTCCCAATCCGCAGTGTCAGCGCCCCACGCGGTCCGAACCGAAGTGTCCCAATATCCACGTCCCGCAGATCCAGCGCATCATCACCACAGCGAATCAAGTCCCCCTGAAACTCCAGCAGACACCACTCGTTCGCTGCTTGGTCCACTCTCACCGGCACCAGCATCACAGCTCCCCCCGCTTCCGTCTAAATAAATCCCGCCCGCTCGAACTCCCACAGTGTCCGATCACAAACTGTCCCGTCAACGTCTCGAACGTGGGCACGACCCCCCTCCCACCTCGTTTCCATTTCTATCGTCCGTCCGTCTCATTTCTAATGTGCGCCACACCACACACACGACCCCCCTCCCTCCCTCCTCCACGCCGCCCATTAGACCCCGTCTCCTCCTCCTCCTCGTCATGTTCGCCCGTCTCCCTCGCTCCCAGCGCGCCCTCGCCCGTCGCCGCGCCAGTACCATCGGCGCCTCCCTCGACCAAGCCGTGGCCCGTCTGCCGCACAAAGAAGCGCTCCGGGGCGTCACGCAGGACGTGCGCTGGAGCTTCCAGGAGCTCCGCGCCAAGGTGGACGAGCTGGCCAACGGCTTTGTGGACCTCCAGTTCCAAGTGGGCGACGTGGTGGCGCTCTGGCTGCCGAACAGCGTCGAGAACGTCGTGACGCAATTGGCGGCGGCGCGGGCAGGGCTCACGCTCGCGGTGATTGCGCCCGACGTGGCCGCGGTGGACGAGCTCGCGTTCGTTCTGCAGGACAGCGGGGCCAGCGGCCTCGTGTTTGAGCCCAAGCAGGCGGGACGCAACAAGACGGACATTGTGCGGACGCTGTTGCCGGAACTGCGGACCTGTAAGATGCGATGCGATGCGATGATTGCGGGGGTTGAGAAGGTGGTGGTGGGGGTGGTTATCGCAGATTTTGATCCTGATGATGATGATGTTGTTGTTGTTGTTGTTGTTGTTGTTGTTGGGGGGGATTTCTGGTTGTGTTGTTCTTGTTTGTGGTGCAGTTCGGGAACGGAAGGAAGTGTTTCGTCCGAAGCAGTTTCGTCGTCTGCACAGTGTGATTACGACGAGCTGGGACCATGTGGAAGGCATGATTAATCTCAGTGGCATGATGGTCAACAGTCCCGAGCCGTTCGCCATGAAAGCTGTGACCAAGGCGCTGAATGACAAGACGCCACTTGCTGTCACGTACTCGAGTACGTCTGAGACCTATGTGAATTTTCTTTTCGACTTCGGGTTGGTGGTGTTGAAGTTGACGCTGGGTTGCGTCTGGTGATGGCTTGGATGTGCTGTTTTTCTTGGGTGGACGCAGAGGTCGAGGGGCAGAATCCTAAGAAGAGCGCGGTGCTTACTCACGGAGATCTATTGAAGCGCGCAGAGGCGTTGGCTCAGAGGTCGGTGTTGGCTGTAGCTTTTCGGACTGGCACATACACTGTCGTGGCACTGCTTCGTGCTGATTATGTACTTGTCTATTGTGGTCTCTTTCTCGCGTGTGCAGCTTGAAGTTAACTGCCGCGGACAACCTTCTGCTCACTGGAGAAGAGACAGGTCTGTCGCTTGGCCCATATGCTGCTATCGGAAAGAGCTCGCAGATCGTGCTGCCGTCCACGGAGTACAGCAAGGAAGCCACGCTGCAGGCGATGAAGGTGGAGCACTGCAGCGTTGTTGGCAGCGGACTTGACAACTTTAAGCGCGTGTGAATTGATCGTGCGACGCAGCGGTCATGTCGTGACCTTCACATGTCTATTGAACAGATAGAGAAGGACAAACAGGAAACACAGTGAGTGAGTGAAGAAAGCGTTGTTCTTGTTCGTGATTCCACTGCTTTGTCAATATCATGTTGTGAGATGGATGATCCGGCCCGCCAGGTGTTGACGACAGGCGGCTTTTGTCGACACTGGAGAGAACAAATCGTTTGTTTGCTACTACTTTTAGGCTATCAGGATACCTCCAAGACCAAAAGTGATAGTAGCAAGCAGCATGGAGTGCATCATCTCACGCGATGTATACGGTGGGAGCTCGACCGAGAAGAAACAAGTGTGCGCAACTGGTAGGCTACGTACGGCGTCACGACCACCTTTCTTGGACAATTTGAAGGGCTGGAGCCACCTGCCGCGAGGTAGCCGACTCCGGCCCCATGCAAAGCGCACAAAATCTGCACGTTGCGCGTCTGTGAAGTCTGCAAGTATCTCCCAAAAGAGCAGCACGGTAGGGTCATCCTCGGAGTAGCCGTCGTAGAGCGTGTGTCTCTGCCAGAGATCTAGGTCGATGTTGGGCGAGCCACACGCAAGTATTTCAAGCTCCTGCCACGTTAGAAGTGTCAGAACGCGACGAGGGAAGAGCGTTGCAAAGCCTCGGGCCATGGCAGCCACCTGTGCGCTGCCTTCGTCTAGACGGGCGAGTTCTGCAAGGCGACAATACTCCAATCGATTGTGGAACTCCACTTTAACGTGGCGGCCTCCAGGCACAAGCTCCATCTCTTCTCCCGTGCACGACGAGGCTGTGAAACGCAGCTCGAGACCATCGAAGACCGTGGCGAATTCTTGCTCCGTAGAGATGCCATCTTTCTCACAGTTTGCAATGCCGTCTAGCATCTGGACAAACATAGCATCGGTTGCTTCAAGATCAGCACGTGTAGGTGGTTGGCCCAGTACTTGCTTCCACACCAGTGATGGTAGCATGAACGGGAAGTCACCGTGCGTGCGCATCGAGATTCCTAAGAGCTGGCCGACAAATGCAAACATCTGTATCGCAACCGGAGACGTGCACTTGGGGTTGGGCAGATACATGCCTCGATTGTCGCCAGTGTCGTGCTGGCCATTGGGGCACAAGACGAATAAATGAAAGTATGGTGAGAACAGGTCGTCCACCATGGACGTGGCGCCCTCGCGATACACGCCACCCCAGTCCACCCCTTCCTCTCCGCGGAATTTGACGCTGAACAAGCGGCCCTTGCTGTCAATTTGTCGTCTTAGTAATGTCGGATCTACCTGATGCAGTTGACGAAATGCCTGTGCGAAGAAGCATTCAGATACAGACGGCTCCACTTCGCAGTCATCACGCGATTCAAGCGCTTGGATTCTGTCTAGTGTGATACGCGCCGTTTGCTGCTGTGCGTTTCCACCAGAGGTATCCCGTGGCATATTTGTCGCTTCGATTGCAGCTTCCACCAGCGCATTTTTCACGTCAAAGAAGATGCAGTGGCTAAGCTGACGCAATCGATAAGCCACCGTCCACGGGGATGCCGTGTCACGCAAATCAATAAATGGCAGGCAGTGTTGCAGACTCGAGTTCAGATACTTCAACAACGCGAATCGACATTGCAGTGTCTCCAGTGGTAGATCCAGCAACTTTGAGCACCGCACCCCGTCATGCGTTTGGCTGAGCTGTATGTCCACTGGTTGCAGATCGACAGAGCACCTAGTCGTCGTGGGGCTAGACGATGGCAGGGACGCTCGAGGTTCCACGTACTTGTTCACCCAATCCACCAACTGTGAGTCCATTGCTTCAGTCCAACAGGTCTCATTTGGTAAGTCAACTGAACCTGTTTGCAGCAGAACAAGTTTCTGCAGTACGCGTTCCATGTCTTCGACAGTCGCGCGAGAGAGCTGCGTCTCCTTGGGAATGCCCAACGCAGATACAGTCACAGCAAATCCAAAGTGGCCTTCTTCGTTTTCGTCCGCATGAAAGGTGTACTCAAGATTGTCTCCGTCATAACATGTGGCCTCCTCATGCCACGATGTCTCACCTGCGTACACTCGCTTGCGACGAACTTCTTTGACTGGGTCACCGTCACGTAAAGTAACCACAAAGCTGGCTAGATCAAGTCGTGGTATTTTATTTTGACCTCGGCTAGGCGTGAATGAGCAGCGTGAATCGAATGTCATTCGGAGAGCTTGAGCACCTTCAAACGCTAGTACGCCATTGAACGGGCGACCAGGGGCGTAAGGATGAGAAGTTTCGATCACTGCGGATGACCCGTAGACCTCCAGCCATATTGCAACCAGCACATGTTCAGGAAGATTCTCGATCTGTCCAAGCAAAAACTTTGTGAGCACCGACACGTCGTTCAAACTGTCAGCCACACACTTCCGCTCGAATGGCACTGGCATATCAAAAGGCGCACTGAAAAGTGGCGTTGATGTTGCATCGGTGCCGGTAAGCTTGCGCTTGAAGGCCAACGAAGCGGAAGAGGTCATCATCGACAATTCCACAATTTGGAGCAAGTGTGCTGAGATAAACACCTTTCCTCTTGCTCTGTCAACTTCAGCACAAGTCAATGCCAGTCGACAAATCGATACCAGTGCATCCAAATCAGGCATTTCATCAGCTGGAAACAGCTCAGGGTGGTGCAACAGCTGTTGCAGTAAGCGTACTATACGACCTTTGTGCGGAGCTCCTGGTGAACGCAGGTAGCGTACAAGTGCGCCATAAATCTTGCAGTTGTGTACACCTCCATGGGCTATCAACTCCGTTGCGTCATTCAGCAAAAGTTCCAACACCCAGCACGCCCACTCCAGCGACGGGCTTGTCAGCACCTCAGACTCTTTCGTCCAGCGATTGTTCGCCATTGGAATTACTTGGAAACGATAGCCGTAGCCATTGTCGTTGGTGGCGTGCTCCTCCGAAGCTGTAAAGCGGAACCAGAACTGGTGCGAACGGATAATCATATCGGGTACAAGGTGGTCAGAAGCTGTCGTGGCGTCGTCTACTGTCCCAATACGCTCCTTGCACTCTGAGTCTGCAAAAAAAGTCAACCTTGTCCTGGGTCCCAACCGACAGCGACGATCGAATACAATACGCAGACAGCAACAAGCGCCTTCAACTCTTACGACTCGGACATAGTCGCACTGACCAAAGTATGGATGCAACGATTGGAACTCTCGGAGCGGTAGTACCGTGCCTTCACCATCTCCTGCCATTCGAGTAGATTCGACAAAGTGACTAACGCACTCTTCAATCAGTACATCGGATAGCAGCGCATCATGATCATCTACTCTGCCATCCTCGATATCGCTTGCACCTTTTTCCGCCTCGACATCGAATAACTGGCAGGGTCCTTGCATGCAACCGACAGCGCGTTCGCACTTACTTTCATCATCCAGCCATCCCAGATGTCGTGCTTCTGCGAAGTCTGCAGATACTGTTGCTGTAGGAAGTCGACGTGTCCGCAATTCTCCGACGGACATAACGACACCTTGAATCAAAGTGTTTTCTTGTTCCCCATGGTTCGCAGGAGCTCGGGAGGGACAAATTGGTCGTTGGGCGCTAGCATCTGGGAGATGCGCTCGATTTGCAGCAGCCCGTGCTTCCTCACGAAGCATCCTCAATGTCAAGGTCCGCAAGCTTGTCAATAAGGAGATGCGTTGCTCTGAGTGATCAGAAACCGATTTATGAGGTACCCAACTCCTGTTTGGTAATCCAAGCTCACCTTCCTGTAAGGCGTTTGTAAAATTCATCTCGGCCGCAGACGCCATTTTGAGAAGACTGAGGAACTGGCGTGGACCTCCAACAATATTCATGACCTCACACGTAAACGAAGATGGCTGCAATGGTGATTTATCTGCCAATTCGTCAGCAGCAATTCCTGCCGCCTTCGGAGACGGATCGTCAACAGGAGCAACGGCACAAAGCAATGCCGCGATTGTACGTCTGGCATAAAAAGTGGACAGAGCACCTTCCGTTCTCATCGCCACACGATGTATGCTTTTCACATCCTCTAACGGCTCGTCGTATATCCTCACAATTCGGCGCAAGTCCCGCGTGGCAATCCATTCGTCTTCGTACGCACCTGATTCCGTGTTTAAGAAAGTCAACAGCACGCCGACGTCAGGTGAATAGCGTCTGTATGTACCAGTCTGTCCGCTGGTAGCTAATTGCTGAACAGGATCAACGTCACTGGTCACCGTCAAGAGAACATTTGGAGTCAAATAGTCAGAGTTGAGCGGAAAGAAGGCTGTTGCGCTCACAACACCTAAGTCTGACTTTGGAGGAACTGGGGCCAAAATTGGAGCAAGAGTTACTGCCATCGCATCGTCAATCGGCGTGAAAGACTGATCTGTGCTCCGCGTAGCAGGATTTGAGTTCATAGACCCGGCCGCCGTGGTGGTCGGGTAATTCGAAGACGGTACGAGTAGATCAGGTTGATCAATCTCTTCCATAGCCGCTTGATCTTCCAACACGACAGTTCTTGCTGCAGAAAAAGTGTCGGTCAACATAGTAAGCGAGTCAGATTGCTCAACATAAATGCTGCCGTACTCCATTAGCCAGTCCATAGCATGATCGGGGTTATTGTTTGACAGCTCCAACGCACATATAGCAAGACCGTATGGCATCCCAGAGATCACTTCGAGCTCTTTCGCCTTTGCTTCAATTGTTAGACCTAGCGACGCATCCGCTCCGTCAGTGAGTTCGTGAACTGCCAGACTTGCCTGTGCTAAGCCCCGTGCTTTTCGGTGTTCCTGGTATGTCGCTGCACCGTCGCCCATCAACCATTCGACTGCCAAATTCGGGTCATCGCGAGAGTGTACCAATGCAGACATGCATAATTCGAATTCAAAGCCCATAGCAGCCAATGTCGACGCGAAACCTCTTCGGACACGATAATCTTCGGTCTCTTCTTCGGCAGGGTCATCGTTCACTTCAATACTGCTCAGTTTTGCTGATGCTGATTCATACGTGGCAAGTGCAGGGATCGTAGGTTCCGGTAGTCCATGGAACATTGCTTCACCGAGTGGAGTGGAGGACTCTATGAGTCGGCACAAAACCATTCGACCTCGCTCCTGCAGGAGCGGTAGACTGATAAAGCTGTTTAGACATATCGGAGTCAAAGCGAAGCGAAGTAGATTCTTCGTCATCGCGTCATGGGCAAAAGTTTTTGTCAACTGGAACGAGTGGTGCAATAGAGTCTTCAACGCCAACAGCGCACGGGATCGAATTTGCAACCTCCACAAGCTGTCACACTCGTCTAAAAGGCTTGTACTTTCCAGAGATGACAGCTGAATAATCACCGGCATCATGTCCGTTGTCAGCGGTACCGCTGATGGAGGCAAGTATACTTCTTCAGTCGGCGAGAGTGCCGACAAATCGACATCTTGAACGTTGTGACTAGGATCAAAGTCGGACTCTGACGATGAAGGGTGGAAAACAACTCGGGCGGTAGAAGCACGGACGTTCGTCTCAATCAACGTCGCACTAACAAAGTGTCCGTTTCCATCTGCTGGTATGCAGGTCCCGCTAAGTTTTGCACCTAGGGTGGGGACGGCAACTTTGCCGCCAATCCTTATGCAATCAGAATGAGTACCTAGAACACAAAGAGCTCCAACAGCTCGAACAATCGCTGTCCGAAACCGGATATCGACGATATTCGAGCTTCCTCTCATACCCATCATCGACGCTGGGCCCGACTTCTTCCTAGCTAGCATCGGGGTGATGTTGTGAATTGCGCTGCACAAGCTCTCTGAAACCTTTTCCTTCCAGTGTTTATTCATCAATAGATGCCGCAATAATGCCACACTTTCCGAGGCCGCCACAAGGGAGATGTCACCAGAACGGAACCCCATCGGATTGCTTAATGACTCAGATAATGCCATCGGGTCGTTTTTGTCCATACCTCCGACCTGAGCGCAATTCGCTGGAACATTGACTGCATGAGTTGCCAAGGGTGCAGCTGTGCTACATACCGACTCAGCTACTTGATCGAGCAGTAAATCGAGCAGGACAGACTCGGATCCAAGGATACCACCCACATCGTCTGATCTGACATTTCCGCTACAACACATTCTGCGAAGAAGTAGCTTGACGACACGTTGGGACCGAGGTGACGCAAAACGGAGCATTTCTAGCAGACCGCGGAGCATCGGCGGGCGCACTAGATACGTGATTGTGGAAGACTCTTGACTTTGCGAGAGCATGAATAATAAGACCCCGAAGGTGTGCATCTCCACTTCCAGAAGCTCCAAACGTTCACTGTTTCCAGACAAGTTGTTTGGGCATGCAAATTGTACATCCACGAATCCAGATTTATCCCTTACTACGTCGCTTGGGTACTGACGAACACTCGTACCTCTCTTCTCAACAGGAGTTGAAGCCGATCGAAGCATTCGCTGAGCACGCGTGAGCCCCTCGGCTTCTTCGGTAAGCTCCCTTCCTTGTATCAGCTCTTTTTCAAGAGCTTCAAACACTTTTCTACGGAACTCTTTTGAGAACCACAATGTTTGAAGGACAGGTTCTTCTAGTTCTCTGTTCGTAGCTGCAGACTTGGCCGCTTCGCTTGCAACCTCAGCTGTTCGAGTAGCAGCATTTTCATCAGAAACGCCCAAACGTGATGCGTGTGAGGCCTCTGTACTGAGCAGTCCATTGACCGCAGACGAAGCCGCGTTTCCGGGGCCACTAGACTTTTGAAGTCGCTGCTTTCGCTTCATTTTTGCAGCAGCAGCAACTGCTTGAGCTTCTTCCTTTCTTCTATCAAAAACGCCACTTATGCCTGTCGATGCCAGAAAACGGAACACAATCCATGCGCAGTTTCGTGTATGCTTTCGAATAATAATCCGCTCGTCGGTACAAGCAGCCCATTGAGAAAGCAGACTACTTGTCGTTGCATTACACTGCCGACTCACACAGTTTGTATCATCATCTGAAACTTCAACATCGCCACTATCACCATCTATCCGGGATAACTGGTTCCATCGTTGAATTGCAGTTTGTTCCTCGTGCTCGCAGACAAGTTTCGCTACACGAACGGATTCATGAAATTGAACTATCAACCATGATCGAATCTTTCGCTGAAAGGACCGAATACGCATCACCGTACAACTCCATTCATCCAGCGACATATCGTCAATTTTATTGCTCGCGAAGACTGGCAGAGTACTGATGGCAGGAACCCAACGGCAGTGCAAAATTGTCAAGTTGTGATTCTGTGCGTCAGCATCAGAGGCCTCAGCTTCTCGTACAGGCGAACAATCAAAGCTACATATACCTTCCCCTTCAGTCAAATGCCACAGTCCAATCATATCATTGGAAGGCGCTCGAGGCTTTGCATTTATTGCTTCATTCGAACGCCTGGCGAGAGGAATGCTACGCTGAAAGCCAAGTTGAATTTCCTGTCGAGTACGCAATATCCTCCATATCCGAACCTCAGCGATCGATCCCGTGAATCCACGTTGCGAGGAGGCATTTGCGAGCGCAGCGCCCTGTGTGTCGACACTACTCATCCAACAACCTAGTCGCGACGGGCGGAAAGTCACGCTGTTGCATACGCGCTCGTACTCCATTCTCTCCGACAAATCTCCGTTCACAAAAAGTTGTAAGCGTCTATTCTCTGCGTCATACGTGACCGCGCAATGGGTCCACACAAAGATCTCGAATTGGTACGATTTGAATAACTGCTCGCGCGGGACGTTACCTGGGATCGACACCTGCAAGTGCCGTCCAAATAGTTCTAGATACACACTGCCAGTTTGAACGCCATTGTCACATCGCAGTGCTTGAATCGCTACCAGCTCAGTCGGGAATATCCACATTTCGATTGTAAAATCCTTCACTTCACCCAACGCTGGCATTTCCACGTAACTTACTTCGTCTGATTTTGAAGTGGCAGACACCTGGCCACCATGTGTAGTTGCCAATGCTACTTTATCTCCGATTTGTAGCACTTTAGAAATGGGGGCACCAAGGGCAGGACCTTGAAGCTTCCGTTGAAGTTTAGCTAGCATATCGGCATAAAGAAGAGAAAGTGAGGAAGCAGTGTGACGTGTGGCAGTTGATAAGACATCATTCGCGCTTTCCAGATCGTTCTTTTGCCACCATTCGATCGGACAAGCGTAGCGAGGAGCCCGTCGTAAGAGACGAATTACATCGCGCTTGGTCACGTAGCCACTTCGTACAAGTCCATGCTGAACAAATTTCTCGGACAGAGGATGCCAGTTTATGCTTGAGTACCCATCGCACGAGTCGCGCGGCAACGTAGTATCACCAGACACAATACTGTTATCATCAACAACCTCGCGAAGTACAGAACTGATGGAAAAAATGTCCTGCAATTTGAGTAGGATTCCAGTATCCAGCAAGAATTGGTGATCCTGTGCTTCGAAATCTAAGCACCACGAGCACAGTATAGATTGTTTCACCTGCGGATCGGACACACTGTAGCCTGAGTTACCCCCCAGCAATTGTACCAAATGGGAGTATAGTTCGCGAAATGCATCCTGCACCTTTTCAATGACTTGTCGATTACATCCCTCAAGTCCATTCAGATAGTGATGGCGAACTGTAGCCCGAAATGTTTCGGCAACGGCCTGTCCGTCATTGAGCTCTCGTGACTCTTTCTCACTTTCTGTAAAACCTCTCATGGCAGGACGCAAAAAAATGATAGCGTTGTGGATAGCCGAGTCGAAGGACAGCGTCGACAATATGCTCTTCATCGCCTGTAGCCCGAACAGTCGAGAATCAGATCTTCGTTGACGTCTATCAAGCAGTGATGTAAGAGCTTCGGGAGGCGCTCCCGTTCCATCACGAATATACAATTCGCACGCTTTCATCATCGCAGAAAAACTGTTTCTGTAGTGGTATTTCTTCGTTTCAGACAGATCACCGGAACCTTCGGTGTCCATCGTGACATCACTCGTGCTGATTTGTGGTCCAGCATCCGCTGCTTTCGCAGAAACAGGACTTTGAATTGAAGCTCGTCGAGCTCTCCAGCGATGTTGTGCACGCAATATATCTACAATTCCCGACCATTTGGAACTGTCCGCCTCGCCAAGCACTTTCCAGCGTTCAAGCACAGGTTGTAACGATGGAAATGTCGTTTGAGCACTCCACTTCTCGGCCAACTTGAGGAGTGCAACGTGCGAATCCCCTTTCAGACGTTCTGCTTCCTCTGACGGTGGTGCCAATCGACACAAAAAACCCGCTCGCTGTATCATCCGTTGTAGGTGCTCGTCAAAAGTTTTTGGGACCACTGTGCTACGCTCTAAATTCGCTTTGCCACTAAACCGTTTCAGTAAAGCGGCATCGTCAGATCGCTCCACAACGAATTCTTGAGACTTCTCTTCGGGAAAGTCAGGTTCGAATAGTAAGGATTCGTCTGCTTCTTTTGCGCGGTACCCTTGACGAACCTTGATCAACCAATGACGTAACATCATGATCCGCTTCCAGACACAAATTAAATCATCAGATGGCGCGAGATCCGTGTAAGCACCAAATGGATCTGCCCCGACGATATTGCCATCCGTACTTGCTACCGCGCCAACAGCAATCGCTTGCACTTCTTGAAGAACATGAGTTGGCGCATGCATTACCAATGCGGCAAACATCCATCGTTCGCAAGACGGAAATCGTCCAAGTCGACTTAATAAAGTACTATCTGGGTAGTGCTTTTCTAGCCATGACATGATAATTTGCACGGTTCCGTGCTCGGTCATATCCGACGTCCAGTTTTTCCAGAATAGAGAGACGTGCTGATCTTCACTTGATTGTGTGCGTCCTCCTGAACTATGGTTGCGCGAAAATGAGTCCTTACCAACATTTGGCAGCGTGTGCGGCGGTAAATCTGTCGAGGCCCCTGATTCAGAAGGGTGGTCCTTCGCCGTGTAACGAGCACACTCGACTTGAAGTGCATCACTCCAGAGCAACGATCCAGCCTTGCACGGCTGGTCCTGCATAGTCTCAGACTCAGCAATACCTCCACTAAGCAGTGAGGACTGCAGCCAAGGTAGCAGCTCTTCTTCCATCTCATCGACTGGATGCCCAGCAATAAGGGTGCTAGCGATACGACCAGCGAGAGAAGCTAAAGAGTTGTGTAAGTCAAAAAGGGAGTGAATTTGAAGACTTGACTCCGCGATTCCTGACGGGCTCACTTGAACGGCATCTTGGGAACCATACAGCGATACGCCGGCAAAAACTATTTTAGGGAACTCCTCAATTGCTGTTCCCAGCGGTTTGAACTCCTTGGGCCCGACTGCCACTCCCAATCTTCTACCATTATATGCAAACGACAACAATTGTAAGTCGTAGTCGACATTCAGCGTGAATATGTCACCCACAGCAACTGAAAGCTTAGGTCCGTAATCATACCGTACCCCGCTTATCCAAACGGAGCCAATAGAAGGCATCCACCCCATACTAGTCGGCGTTTTGCCCATAAACATCTCGAAGGCAGAATGCGGCAATTTTGAGTGGCGCTTTTCGTGTACTTGCTGCCAACTAATTCCGATGCAAATATGTCCAGATGCTGTACCTCCAGCACGCAAGCATTTCAGAGTAAAATCAACAGAGTGGACTCCATGAAGGAAAGCCGTCCGCAATAGACACGTTCGCCACATGTTGGTGTTGTCATCTTTCACGTAAGCGGACGTTCCTGTGTGGCTGATGCAGATCGAGTTCAACTTACTCTTCGGGTTAAATTGTAGCGAAAGGCAACCATGCGGAGGCACAAACTGCGGAAGGCTGGCCAGCGGGGCTTTATCTTGAACCATGAAGGTCGGGACGCCGTACGCAGCACCAATCATGTTTTGAGACCCAGGAAATCCCGCAGACCCGGACGCGTAGCAATCCCGCAAAATTTTGATGAAAGACTTATCATACTCTTCATCCAGCGCATTTTCTCTTTTGTACCATGGGTCTCCACCATTTGCAAACTCGTGCGTTGTCAGCCGGTACAACTTCCCCTGAGTGACTTTGACAGGATGCGATAGCATCTCGAACGCATAACCATAAGCATCCTTTTTGGAAATCCCCCCAATTAAGACTTGAGCAACCAGAAGCTGCGATTCTTCTTCCCATAATCGAATGGTATGATCACGTATTAGTCTCCCGCCATGCCGAATCGAATTAACAGAGCGTCCTAGCGCGACAACTGTAAAAGAGCTAACTGCTTCAAATTGAAATCCAATCTGACCTTCGAAATGGTCTTTCTCGCCGGTGTAGAGCTGATGAAACACATTGTAAAGCCGTTTTGTATTGTGTGACCGGCAACTGGAGCTCTTCTCTAGCGTAAAAGCGCGCTCAGTCTCGTGTGTTTCAATCAGCCGCGCTTTTTTATAGATCTCCAGCTCTCGAAATCGGTGAGCCGACTTAGTCACAGCCTGCGATTCTGAACAAAAGTGATCCAACACCTCAAGAAGTCGTACCACCGCCGGGAGTATCTGTCGAGCAAGCCAAGTTTGCCGTCGCATCAGACACAAAGACGCTACAAACCATGGTAACACATCCGACAGCAAAGGGATTTTGTACGAACGAACACCGGCACGACGAACCGCTGCCATGCGGGGAAGTAGAAACGATTCTTCCGCCTGGAGGGAAACGATGCTGCTAATCAGATCCGCATACGAGTTCAACGAAAGAAGTCCAAGCTGAATGTTTGCTTCCTGAACTTGAGATCGTCGTTCAAGCGTTGCTGTCGAATCGTTTACATCCCGAACGTTAGTCGTAGTGCTCTCGATCGTAATATCCTTCGTCAACTCGACAGCTTCCGAAAGTAGACAAAGTTGATATGTCCTCAAAAGGCGAATCGCGACGTCGGGTAAACTATCACGACTCAAGCCTGCTTCGGTTGAGCTCAAATGTGCGTCTGCGGCAAATTGCTTTTCTTGTGCGTCCACTGCAACTTGCATGATGATCTTGATCGTTTTCGTCACTGCTGAGGTCCATGCCGCTTTGTCGATCTCCTTGACTCTTGATCCTCTCCGCCTGGCTGATTGAGCTGCCATAAATGGCATAAACGTCAATATTCCATCCGGCCCTGAGGTAGAGAGCAGCTCCATCACTGATGTCAAGACGAAACAACACGCTGGAGTAACGTCCGTTCCACGAGAAACATACAATTGCAACAACTGAAGCAGCAGCGCCAGCTTTCCGATTGGAGAAGGATACAGAACGGGCATGCCTGTCACAATCGTCTGAGCTGCGGCTTTTTCAATATCGTTAGTCAGCGTCTGAGGACCGCCGCGCAGTCGCGCCATTTCTTCCAATTCGACCTGCAGGCCTGTAATCAAGTCTGTCGACACACCTAGTTCTGCAGCAGGATCATTCACGTCGTAACGTGTGATACTATCTAAGTTGGCACAGATTATTCCAAGAACATACACACAACCATCATGCGCAAGCTTTGCACCGCCGCTTAGGCGTGCATCGACTCCACAATGAGTGAAGGATCCATGATAGTGCCGGAGTATAACTAACAACAAGAGAAACACATCCTTGCTCGGTTGGCGGCAGAATGGCTCCTCGAACTCGATAATAGACTTCACGGAAGCAGCAGGTTTCGAGTCATGTTGACACAAGTTGTAGATCTGCTCGATAATTATGGTCCCAAGCTCACTGAGCGATTCCGAATCATGAGCGACACATCCATCCTTGATGGAAGCAAGCGGCATTAGCCCTTTTGATGTTCCTTCAACCATGACATCGTCAGCTACGTTCGAGTCTTGGTTGCGGCTTCCATTCATGCACACCATGCACTCTTTCGCGGACCCGTAGTTAGCAGAATAGCACTCGGAGCAGACCCACTCTGTAACGGGATGCAAACAAAGGTCGACCCAGACAGCGTGTGCATGGTGATTAGACCCTGGACACGATACCTTCAGCTCCAGCATGCGTACATTTTTCACATCGACTTCAAAATGCTCGATGCGAAAGCTTTCAGACAGTCGCTTTGACTGCCACAGCAACTTGGCATCACCAAATATCTCGTACACCAAAGCAACCCCATGATCATGGTAATCTTCGTCGTGCGTATCGTCGTTTATAGCGACCGCACCGCTGATCATATAGTAAGCTTCAGACAAGTCGTAGACTACGTATGCGTCACCGTGCAAAGGTGGGCATGTTGACAAGCAACTCTGCTTAGCCTCGCCGTTGATGTAAACTAGAGTGCTTCTTGAAGTTGGCGAGTCGTTGTCTAGAGACGTATTTAAGTCCCCACTATTGGCACATCCCAGCCGACTGCCCTTCCCCAAAGTTCCGAACCCGACAGAATATTGGTACTCTGTCATGCTCGAAAGAAACACTGGGTTTGCGTTAGCTGAGTCGGTAGAGTGGCCCCACTTTGTAACTTCCAACAGCGTCACTACCTTCCCCGAGCCGTAAAATGAGACAGCAGGATATACTTTGTGTCCAGCAAGATCTGTAAACACTACACCGTAGTCAGTACTGTTGATTTTGTACGCTAAAGTGCCTTCACTCATGTCGACATCAACTTGAACGATATTGCCAGGGTGCACTTTGCCAATTGTTCGGCTCAACTTGTGCCCGCGGGCATACAAGTTGCCGTTATACCCTCGTAACATCCATAAACTGGGTGACGAATCATACCCGTTCACAGTCACAGGAAGAATAGCAGCGCCAAAGCAAGTCATTTCGTCGTCCTGTGTGTCAGCATCAAGACGAAATCTCCACGACGCCTTACCAGTAGATATCCCGCAATTCACAGCTGCATATTGATATCTTGTTTCTCGAGTCCTGACGACAAGACCTTCCTGTTCGATCACTACACCGGAAGAGCTGACAAGTGGCTCAAAACAGGCATCAACTCTGCACGCGTCATCGGAGTCAAGCTTTACTTCTTTGTGCGCCAGTCGCTGCGCTTTTTCCCGACTATACGCGTCGATGCCCTTTCGTAAGAGATGGCCTTGTTCTGACGCAAGTGTCACAATCTGAGACCAAAGGGGTTTCTTTTCGTCGCCATGGAGTTGCAGTAGCATATCTGCAAAGAGCAATGTGATGTGCAGTGACGCTGTCGATAATGCCCATGCCCTTAGTGCCCCCAAAGCTTCTGCAATCATGGCTTCATCGACAATATCCAAGGCGCCGAGGAGCCAATCAGCAACGGTACCAATAGTCACCACGGGATCTGTAAAAAGAGGGCTGGGCGCGCGCATACCGAGCCGCAAGTGTTCAATCGCATATGTTCCACGACCACTCAGAGGTGAAGCCCCCGCCATGACAATTCGAGCCTCTCGACAGCGAACTGGAAAATGCGTTTCAATCACTGTAGGTCCAGACAGCGAGACCGTGTGATCCTCAACTACTTCAACAAAACGTTCACTATCCTCAAGACGGTACTGAAGACCAACCGTTTTCGGGACGCACTTCATGCGCCACTGAATTGAGACCGAGGTCACTTTCGCCAACTCGGTCGTCCGCACTGAAAAATACACAATTCCTGGATTTGATTCCGATTCCCAGTATGTGTGATCCACCCCATCTACTGCACAGTGTGATTCATGCGCGTCAGAACCCGTTGCCACCGACGACGCCTCCACTGCTTTCTTGTTCAACGTCAATACAGTATTCGGTGGTTTCTTCATCGGACTCCAGAACGTGTACAACGAAAGCACAGGGAAGCACGTCAAGAGCTGCGATAGTTCTTCGAACGGCCGAATGGCTTGCGGGTTCTTGTAATCAAAAGCTCCCAATAACGCTGACAACGTATGGATGGCCAAATGATGTAACTCTTCGTTTCCCGGCGCTCTCTCCTCCGGTCGCGGCATCTTCTTCGTTCTGCCATGACTCATGAGCTCACGAACAATCTTAACACTGTGTGAAATCACAGCTAGTCGTCGCTCCAGCACGTGCGTATATACTGGCGTGGGCAGTGCCTCAACAAGCATCTCCTCCAGCGTTCTAACCGAGCCTTTCTCCATCCCGGACGTGTCCATAACCCCTGCACTCGTCATATTTACGTAGTCCGTCACACTTTGTCTGCACTTGAGCTTTCTATTCTTGTGCATTCTATGCTCCGTCGGCAGATCACCCGCCGTATTCTCTCCACAAATCAAAGACGAGATGAAAGCATCCTGTAGGATATTGGCCTGCAGCTGGTCCAGATACTCCTCGCTCTGCACATACTCATCCCAACTGGCGGCTGGCGTGTATTGCAAAGGGGCAAAACAAACGGCACAGTACCGCGTCGTGCCCGAGTGCAGCCGCGCAGGCTGAGGCATCCAGCCGTCTTCATCGTCGCGTGTGCTCCACACATCTGCCTCGGCTTGTGGGACTTCCGACCGCGTAGTATTATCAATAGGCGCAGAGGTGTAGGCTCCGATAGCACTCGCTGCGGCGATGAAGCTTTCCACAGCGTCGTCCAAGATCGTCGACTCTAGCCCCTCGTCCATTTGTTTATTGAATCAGTTCTCAGAAAGATATGAGCAGCTACGGAGTCCAATAGCTTAGTAAAGACGTATATAGAATAGTAACAGCCAATAAGAACATCAAACGTACTTGCTTCAACTTGCCTTCTTCGATACCATATGTTTGTTAATGCTGTCCCTTCACCCAGCTGCTCGATTAGTTAAAACTAGGCGATAAAGTAACACATGAAAGTGGTTTTTACAAATGCTTACGAGCCATCGGATGCTCAGCGGGCGCCGCCTTTGCAGCCTTCGAATCGGTGGGCGAGTCAAGATTCGAGTAGCTGCCTTCCTGCGGTGCCATATCCACCGCCGAGTAGCGCAACGAAGAACGGCGCAACTGAGAGCGCGAGCAACGGAAATTCTGCGAGCGGGAGACGCGAGCCATGTACGATGGCGCGTTGCGGGCAGCCTCGGCATCCTTGCGCATCTTCTTTTCGCTCTTGAGTTCAATAGCGCCGTGCTGAGTGCTCGCGCACACGAGGAACATGAAGACTGTGAGCAATAGACACAGTCCGGCAAAGACGAAGTGGCTAGTAGCAAACGACGGCTCCGCGACATAGATCGCGGCCCGCACAACGTAGTACACAGCGAAGGACATCGTGACGTATCGTCCGTTCTGGTACGGCGGAAACACCTCGATAGCGGTGAGCCATGTGCCGCATGTAAGACTCAAGGTCCCGCTGACAAATGCCACGCAAGCCAAGATCTGAGTAACACTACTGCTGTTCTCGTCGTCTACCAGTCCCAGGGCACCACATGCAGCCGACAACGCTGCCGAGAACGGAAGCACATCCTTGAAAATGGTCTTACGGCGCACATTATCGACCGTCAACAAACTCAGCGCAGTGCCCACAAACGTCATGGTTCCGTAATAGACTTCCCACCTCGATGTTTGAGCGCCAGCCTGGCTTGGTGTCGGCTGCACGAGGACGCGGTATAGCAAGGCACCAGAAGTGAAAAGCGCAAATGTCGCTTGAAGCACGACCACCAGGACGATCCGGAACGCCCAGTTTACACGGCCGTCCTTGACCACAAACGAGTCTTTCATCTCACCCACTTCTTCCAAAACATCGTGACGCTGGCGCAAGCGGGCAAGTGCTGTCTCTGCTGCTTTCGAGTCTGTCTTGCGTCGGTACTCCCAGTAGTGGCTCTCTGGAATAAAGAAAACACTTGGCACAAGCAGGACGATTGGGATTACTCCAAAGACAAATTGCCACTGCCAGTCGTGGTACGGCGAATTGCCCCAGTTTTCTGACATGGTCTTGGCGTTGATATTGTTGATAAGAACCGCCTCAATCAAATAGCCCAGCGCTGCACACGCGTGAGGAAAATCAGCACACCTTTTCCCTTCCAACCTTGCATGCAAATTTCGAAGTTGTACAGCGGACAGACGAGCGAAAGCATCGCAATGCCGGCTGATGCCAAGCAGATACCAATTAGCGCTATCGAGCTCGACTCCAGCCAAACAAGCGCACAACCGACCAAAACTACTACGCATGAGACCTCGATCGTCCACCGACGGCCGATGACATGAGCGAGACCGCCACTCAGAATAACTCCGGCTACACCTGCACCAGCAGCGTACACCTTGATCGCAGCTAAATCCAATGCGCGATCTAACGTCTCATTGTTGTAGTAAGCAAATGACTGATTTACGAAGTTGTCAGATGACGAGTTTACGTAACCCAGCGAAAAGATAAGGCACGTCAACCAGCCGTACGTAAAGCCGCCCAGGCCACCCACAATCACACTCAATGAGGCAGCGAACTCACTACCGGAGCCCAATGCGCGTGAGAAGCCACCGTTGTACATCATTCGAGTCTGAATAGTCTTCATGAACGGGAAGGCCGACAGAACCAAAAGCGGAAATGCCAGGAACAGACCGACAACCACATCGAAGAAAAACGCGAGCTCACGGACAAGACCCCAATTAGCAACAGGTAGGCCAAAGAACCCGTGCATCAGTTGCAAGTAGTGCAGAAGCGAGAAAAGTCCAGCGAACACGGACACCGTCACTGAAAAAGATTGGATACCGTCCCAGTCTTGCGTAGAGCCCACGATAAACGGCGACACAGCAATCAGCACCACCATCAACACATACACCATGGCCCGCGGAACGCGAGCCTTGTTGCGCATACACATCCCAATGCAGAAACCACCAATCCACAAGAACAAGGCAATAGCACCGACACACGCCAGCAACAGACCGATGTCGCTGAGCTTAAACGAGTAGATGAACACGTAGTACATCACTAGCGGATGGCGGAGTTCGCGAATAGCGTAGACAAAGCGACTCATTGGACCAACCGGGTACATGAGATTAGCCTCGTAGTCGTAAAAATCGTTCCATGTGTCTGTCGAGCCCAACTGATTGTCACTTATATTGTTCAGTAGCACTCGTTCGTCATCGCTTTCCTCCTTTACTGACATCAGCCACGAGAGCCAGTAGGTGATATCCACCTGGGTTTTCGAGAAATCCAAGCCATCGGTGTTGAACAAAAACGGCGCAAGCAGCCAGCACGTGCCGAGCAACCATACAGCAAAAGAAGCGATGCCGTAGTCCTGTCCCTTCGAGCTGTACGAGTTCAGAAGCGTGATGTTCGACGGAATCTGGTCCGGGTTTACGTCACAGTCAAAGTCTGCAGTAGCACAGTACTCAGTCAGCACATTCGTGCCGATGTTGAAATTACCGAATACGCCAAAGATAATCATCAGGCCCACCAGTTCCACAGCCTTGCGGTAGTGCGACGCAGCATACTCCTTGTAAAAGTTTACCATCGTTTCACGAACGATGGCAAAGCCACGACCCGTACCACGGTATTTCGAGCCACCACGCATAATGGCAATGTCGTAGAAGTGCGACTTCGTGCCCGTCTCGAAGATATAGAACACCGGACCAAGAGTCACAACCAGCTCCACGAAGTTCACAACGGCCTGATGCCACCCGTACTCGACAAAGAGAGTAGCAATCAAAGGAATGGTCATCAGCATACCAAACTGGAAAATGAACTGCGTATTCATTACCTCGGCCAAATCATCCAGATAATTTGTCGTGATAATGGCAGACTCTTCAATTTCTTGATGCAGCACAATGTAAACTTTGCTGTAGGCGTATGCGAACACACATAGCACCACCATTGCATTGCAAATATAGAACCCCATATGACCGTAGAACATGGAGTTCAAGCGGAAAAAATCCATACCAGCGCCCATTCGGTGCGACTCGCGACTAAGCGAGCTTTCGGCGCTACCGTTCGACAATTTTGCCTCGAAGGCATTGATTTGACTCAATGTCACGTCACGACCCTTGCCGCACTGCATAAATTCCTCGTGCGTAACTTTCTCGCCCCGCAAAGCCACATTATAGCCTGCAAACACATCTTCGGACAAGTTGATACCCCTGCTGGCCTTCGACACACCACCATTGGACATGATAAACGACTTCTCAAACACATCCGGGTGGCCGTAGTGCATACGACTCTGAAGAGGGTTAGCCAGTACGCGCTGCGTCAGACTCACGAAGACCAGCTCTTGCAACGTCATGAAACGTGCCAATGACGACGCTCGACCGGTGAAAATATGTTCCTTCATTCCAATAATGGTAACGTCCTGTCCGTTCGCAGTAGCAGTCGCTAAAAAGTTTGGGATCTTGAGTGCTTCCTCAAAGTAGTGCTCCTGATTCATGTCAATCGTTTGCACATACTCACCACGAGTAAAAGGAAGAGCTATGTTCTGATTCTCCGGCTTACCCTCACCGACCATCGGATTGCCAGGCAGCTCATAACGATACACTTCGACGATTTCATCACCATCCGACTTCACCAGTACGCAGTCAAACCGAGGTTCTAAACCACTCCCTGTGGGTTCTCGGATCGTATCGACGTAGCTTACCCGCCAATTAGGATACTTGCGCATCAACAAGTCAATATCTGCTGCACGCGAATCTCCTGCCGCAAGCTGATCAGCGTAAATCTGGCAGCTCGTCACATACGAAAATTTGAGACCTGCAATGCGATCCATGTGCTTGATCTTTTCCAGATGGGAGATGTTCTCGTCTGACCCGATTTCCAGCCACCTCAACATCTTCAGCGCATCTTCGTACATCATCATGCCATGCACCGTGCGTGCTAGCGTTTGTCCACGCATCGATGCCCAAAGACGAACCTGTGTTGGCGTCTCAGCTAGAGCCTCGTCCATGGACGTTACGCCCACGCGCTCAAGGAAGTTGCCCCATTCGTCGTCGTGAAAAGTGATCAGGTACTTCAAAATACTAAGATCACGGCCCTTTTGTTCCACCTTGCGAAAAAGCGGATTCGAGTCCACACGCTCGTTAAGCTCGTCAACTGAAAAAAGCACCGTTTCGTTGTAGTACGGCGTGACCACAGAAAATGACTTCATTGCCGCAATCGAGTCAATTGTCGGGATCTTCATGTGCAAAGAGTTGAGGAAGAAACTCATTCGACGCTGAGCTTCATGACAGCGAGGAAGTGCATCCGCGGCATCCAATGTCAGCAAGAAAAACAGTCGTGTAGAGAGCGACACCACGCTCTCGTTAGAACCCGGTGAGGTCGTGCGCGTTTGTGAGCTAGAATCGCGTTGACTAATGCGGTCTGCAAATATCGATACCAGCTGTTCTTTTTGATAGGCAAGGTCAGGCGTCATCTGAGCAAAAGCTGATTTACGCAGCTTCTCCGCCATCCACTCCTCCTCCAGCATAAGTTCGATACTCTTCAGCAAAGCATCAAGACGCTGCACAATGACCAAAACCTGCTCGTGCGGAAGGTCAAGAGTGCTACCGGTAGGTATCACAGTCGGCTCTGGTAGGTCCAAGATACTCGAAAGCAGATCGACAACATTCTCGCGCACCAAGCCAACGTGAGTGAGGTCCACGACACCGCTTACCTTACCTCCAGCCAAAATCTGACGAAGCACACCGATCAATTCTGAGTCCTGGGGACCCATAAGCTGTCGCAAGATCTGGAATAAGACGTCGATACAATTGTTGGCGCAGCCAAGTACACCAGCCCGCTTCAATTCGGAGAACAATTGGGCATCGCTCATGCGCTTAGTTTTAGCCTTTGCGGCAATATCGGCAGCTGCTTGTGCCTCGCCAGCAATCAAGAAGACAGGTTCTTCGACGGCGCCAGTGTCCGAGATTTGGTATTGCAAAATAGCAGTCTCACGGTCATCCAGCAAATCGGACAAACGAAAACTGCTCACAATCTCGTTCCACACCACGGCAAAGCGCAAGCGGCTATTTGCATCAGGAGCAACAGAGCTAGATGAAAGTGGATTGTTGTTGATCGCAAGCTGGCCGCGAGCCGCAGCAGACACCACTTTGGCATCAAAAAGGGCTGGTGCCTGATGCAGACGCTTGACAAACTCATTAATGCGAGCCGAGTGGCCAATTTTGAGACGGAACCCAATCCATGCACCTACGATAGCCTGTGCAATCGCCAACCAGATCTGCGAATCATACATGTACACGAGAACCACTGGTGCCCACATGGCGGCGAGGAACGCAATATTGTGGTTCGACTCAATGAGACCATTCTCAAGCTGCGTTGTAGAAATATCGACGTTGTAGATTTCGACGCTGGGTCCAATCAGAGGCTTGACCATGAGCTGCAAATTGAACAAAAACTTGCAGACAAAAATGACCGTCCAAAATGTCCCATAACCGAGAAAATCTCCCCAGCTTTGGCCCATCTCGCGACCAATGTATTGCTCGTGTGTTCCATCGAGCGAGTTGAGGATCGTCGATTTCCAAATCACTCGCCGAAAGAACATTTGCACGATGGACACCACCAGAATTGGCGCCATGTACACCACGACAAACACGGGCGCCGTTGTGAGCAAGTCGCTCGAGCCCACAAGCGTCTCATACGGCGCAGCGTTCACAGCAATAAAGAGACCGAAGAACACCGTGTGCCACACAAGTCGGACAAACACCGACACGGCGTACAACAAGCTACTAAAGATGCGCGTGTTGTCCAGCCACACGTCCAGCACGACCTTAAACACCAACATGCCACTGACCGTGACCAAGATCGAGTAAAACGCGTGATGGCGAATATCATCAATATCCGGCGTGAAAAAACTGGCGTAAAACTGAAACCCCGTCGTTTCGTCGGGATCCGAGCGGTACGCGACGTATGCAATGACCACGAGCACGTGCAGCATCACCGCCAAGAAAAAGTATATGCGAAAGAATGCCAGCATCGGGTTACAGAAACTCCGTCGTTCCTTGAACGTCTTAAAGTCCTGTCGGTTCACAGCTTCCGCAGCAGAAAACTCGTCGAAAAGCAGACACGTTTCCGTCCAGAAAAACTCATTCACGTCGTCGTAATTCGTCACGTTCTGGTGGTCCACAGCCGCGCCATTTTTCTTCCGCGTCACGTGGCGCATCTTGGCCACGACTGCGTACAGCGGGCGCACAATGCGGCACAGAAACGTGCCTTCGGCCACCGTCGGCATGTGCTCGAGCCCGTCGAGCTTGGCGGCCATCTTGTGATACAAAAAGCACAGACACTCGGGCATGAAGCGCAAATTGGCGCTCTCGCCCCAAATGAGCAGAAAAAGGGCGACCTGGCGCTCCGCTGCGTCCGGGTACGCGGCCGTGTCCAGTTGGAACGGCTGCGTGCGGAGAAACTGGCACCACTTGACGTAGTTTTTGAAAAACTTGGTGTGGATCGCGGCAATGGCTTGGGCCGTGTCTTGCGTCGTCACGGGCGCTTCGAGGATCCGCGACTCGTAGTTGAGCAGCCACACTTCAAAGTGCTCCTTCTGGTTGCACACGTTGCCGTCTTGGAAGCCGAACTTCGCCTGCAAGAGCGCAAACACGTCGGTTCGGGACGACAAGGACGACGGTTTGGTCATGCTGAACGGGCCGCCGCGCTGAGACGCGACGTCGACGACCGTCTGGTAGTTGGACGGCGCGCGGCGACGAGGAGGCAGCTGCTGCGGCTGCAGACTCCCGTCTCCTGCCTTGTCCTTCTTGATCATGACGCGGTACACAAAGAGAAGAGAGTGAACGAGAGAGAGAGAGAGGGGGGAAGGGAGGGAGGGAGAGAGGGGGGAGGGAGTTACGACGACACGATCGCGACTCTGACGTAGACAAGTGGTCGGGGCGAGCGACTTGTGGGTCTATTGGCCTGCCCAAGGAGGAGAGAGAGGGCGAGTGCGGGTGGGTGAGTGAGTGATGGTCTTTGAGGCGTGCGCAGGGGGTGGGGAAACTGAGCTCTTTGCGCGTGGGCGACCAGTGCGGAATGCGCGCAAAGTCTTTCCGTTTCCCTTTCCGTCAGTCACGACCGTCGAGCAGAATACTCGGAAGGGGTCGGGACCCTAGCCCTAGCCGTTGCTTGCAAATGTTGTCTGAGGCGCACGACCAATCGATCGACGACATTTTGGGCACGCTGAACGCGCAGCGAGCGAGGCGACTAGCTTGGTGTTTGTATGCTGAGTCGTGATGGCTAACGAGCTGGCTCGCAAAGCTGCGACAGTTGGACTTTGGCATCGTGTGCGCACGGGAGTGAGGGCAGACGGAGCCGACTCGCGATTTGCAAACAAGACCACGCAAGATTGCACTATTGCGACAATTAGAGCCAGTGGGGGACAGTCTGGAAAAAAGGGAAAACGCAAAAAGGGGTTTCCACTGCGGGTAACTTAGGCGACGACAACATTTAGTAATCTCCGTCTTCGTTCTGTGCTTGACGCGGTTTAGAAGAGCATTACCACAAATTCTGCAGCTGCTGTTTCAGTGCAGCCCCCGCCGTCTGTTTGAAGATCTGGCTCCTAAGTAGCTCGTCTGCTGCACCGCTTGCTACCACAATCAGTCGAAGCGGGAGAACTTTTGCTAATACAACAAAGACAAACGTCACTGCGACTGGGTGCACCGATAGCTCGTACGACGACCTCTTTTTGCAAAGTTTGCTGCCGACGTCGAGCGACAAGTCAATTATAGGTCGCACATTACGCAAAAGAATGAGATGTTTGCCCTGCACCAATCATGTAGCGTGCATGCCGGCGAGGACTGTCAAAGCAGAGGTGGCTCGATGCAGCGAACACGGAGTATCGTACAGCGATTGAAGTGCCCGATGAAGTGGGATGTTCCTAGATGTGTTGGAACCGCTTCGATAGCGGTCGACGCAGCTCCTTCGCCTTCGTGTGTAACGAGCTATCTCTTTGCACGAGCTACTAATCTACTACTACTACTGCTACTGCCACTACAGCAAGCACTGCTACTGCTGTAAAGTTGTTTTGCCACATTTCGGCGAGAGGCGCCGCAAGTGTCTCCACATCACCAAGAACGGCATGTGTACTCATTAATTAATTAAGTGTCGTCAGGCGCACTTTGTGGTGACGGCGTTAACGGGCAGGGTCATCCCTCGAAGTATTTCTTTTCTCACATTCGTCTCTTTAAAGCATCAACAAACATCTTGAGTAGCTTCAACACACACAATCCATTAGCACTTTCATTTTTCAGATCGCCAACGCAAGACCAATTCCCTAGTCGCTAACCACGCGGAGTGGGTTCGTGATTATACAGAACTTGATTCAGTTCTCTGGACTGAATTTCTCAAATCAAAGTGGGAGCTCCAGAGCTTGCCCCCATCTTGCTAGGACGGCCAAGCATCATTTGCCTGATTAGGTCATTGATTTTCTACATACAAAAGATATTGAAGGGCGGCCAGCCTACAAAAAATGCGGTGCATCAACACCAGCAGAGTCACGAGCAGTGGGTGTGAATACCAAGAAAGCGATGAACTCTTCATTAACACTACTGCAGTCTGCAAGAACCAAGATAAATGAAAATCTGTCCGTTGTTACATATTTCTCCATCCTTGATGTTTCACGTCTAGAACTGACTAAAGACTCCAAGTGTTGTGCTTGATGCCCTCCTGTTGTGCTCATTGAAATGCTTGCTCCTTTTTGTTATCAGTGGGATCTACTGAAATGTTAGCGTGATGTGGCGCTGTCTGGGTCACTGACGTTCATTGGGCGAGCGCCTCAAAATTGACTCAATAAAACGATTGCATCCCAATCGATGGTCTTATCTGTAAAAACGCGACCTACTGCGATACTCGTGCTCGCAGCGGGCACAACAACTAGAAAATAAAAGAAGATGTGACAAAAGCCACAGAATATAGTGCAGAGCTCTGGAGTCACCGTCATGATAGACACGAAGGGCACACGTGCAATGTCAGCGAACCCTCACCAACCAGAGAGGCAGCAGTAAGATCAAAGTCGTATTTATAACATCTCTGAGAAATGAACGACTCGGCATATCACAAAGCATCTACTCGAGGTAAATCCGACGATCGGGCTGTCGATTCTTGAGGAAATTTCTGGACTCGTTCACGTGGGTTGACCCGGTCCGCCCTGGACGCGAACTTACGGCAATTAGCTGTCAGTTTCGTGCAGTAAATGCAGAGCGCACTATCGTGTGCCAATGCAAGCCCTAGTTGTGGTTACAATGTGTATTTCATGAGTTGTCTACGGAGGTCGACGTTGCAAATGTCCATCTAAAGTTGCAGTAAAATCTGTTGCCACGGCAACCTCTACACAGCTTGAAGCGCACAAACGCTTGATCAGCTTTCATGCAGGACTAGTGACGCAGGTCAACCGTCGCTCAATTCACGTGCGATTTCTTTTGTAGAAGGCCAAGGGTCGAGAAGGGGGTGTGAGCACAACACATTTCCGCAGACCGTTATGGCTTCGTGTCAAGCTTTACTGACTTTATAGCAGCTAAGTACAAACAGTATTGGCAAAGTGCATTCTGTGCATGGCCGCAGAAGCGAAAACATTCGAGCATGAGCAAACTATGCTGACGCAATCCATCACAAGACTCATTGCGTCTTTTACATCCCTCCCTACCAAACGGCCAGTACAACATGGTCGAGAACTGGGAAGCAGCATTAGAAATTGACTCGTGTGACCCTGTCCGTCGAGCTGCACAAATACGAGGTATTGCAGTACCAAATACATCATGTTGGGTGCTTGCAGCTCTAGCTGTTTAACGCACGATAGGTCGTGAGCCTCGACAGCGTGATAGTCTGGCGGCCTTTTGTCATGCAAATGCCATGTTAGACAGTTTGCTCCAATTATAAATCTCATTGGGCTGCATGCGCGACTCTGGTGACTTGTAACCAGCTCCACGCAAACCACGAGCAGCCGACTGACCATCATTCCGTGCGCATACTCGATTCCCATGTGATACCGCTCGTGCATTGTCTTGTTCTCGATGGGAGATGGTGGTTGATCGGGAGATGTTATGTGTCAGGAATCAACCTTTGAAGTCTCTTTCTCCTCGAGAGTCGAGATGTTTCGACGTATCATGCAAAATGACCTCTCTCGTATAAGTTTGAAAAATTAAGGTAGGTATAAAGTGGGTCTCAGTGACGTCTGTCCTAGAATACAGATGTGCGTCTAAGTGTGCACGTTATACCTAGATAGTAATTATGAAGGCACGCCCTGTTCTTCTTCCCGTTATGGTATGTTATACTAGAAATACTTTACCTCTCATCTCTGTAGTCTCTCCTTTGATAATAGGAATCTCCACTAAATTGTAGATATCATCCGGTATCGTGTGCTCTGATAAGTCACTGCAGCTTATGCGAAGCAAATACGGGCAGCCCCACATCCGTATAATTTTGGGGTCGACAGTCCACGTGAAGCTCTTCACTGTTGCAGCTCGTCTGGTGTGGTACTAGTAAGCGTAAATACGGCAAATTTGGGGAAGTATCAATGATGCAATCCTTTAGATTCGATTGTTTGCGAGATCTGAGTGCTCCTTATTTCTACTCATGAATGCGAGAGTTCAACAAGTTGCCTTTAACGTGACTCACTTTTTTGTGGATAGGCAGATGTCCACTGTATAAAAGTCTACGCTGAAGATACATCAAGCTGTGTTGAAATGAAAAGTATCGAAGCGGTTTCGAGATTTGTAACGGGGTGAATCGTTACATAACAATTTATAAGAAATTGTTAATAGAATATAACTATAAGAGTTATATTCTCGGAATATTGTCATAAGGACAAATATTCTGTAGCACTTACGAGTTGTTCCTAATTGGTTGATATAGGCCATTATATCAACCAACGAAGACGCGCCACGACAGACGCACGCAATGAGTGGTGAGCAGATAACTGATTTACACATTTGTATTTAGACATAGTTAGATGAAGATAAATAGTGATTTATTGCAGACATTAACTATTATAAATACAGTTCTACTTTTTACTTTAACCAAGTACTCGCTTCTTCTTACCGTCTTCCTCTGCACGTACGAGTGTACGTGAAGTTCCGAGGCACCGCCTTATTCTGTCATCAGAATAAGTAGCTTGTACTGTCACCAGTACAAGCTTCAGGGTGCCCCGTTACACCTGGTAGCACTTTGTAGTCCGTCCAAGGACCGCGTTCACATCCAACATGAATATGTTGGATGATGAAGATGACCAAAGCTTTCACGCTACGCGTGACGGCTACTCCCATTTGAGCGATGTCGAATGGGATGCGGTTGAACGAATGGGTTCGACCATGGGCATCCATGCTGTTAGCGTCATGCTAGAGGCTCTCAATAGAGATGCCCAACATGCTACTATCGCCAAGTTCATTCAAAATTAACTTGACGCTGAACGCGAGAAAGTAGCCTTGCTTCACCAACAAGGTTCTCAACAAGCAGAGTTGTTGAGAACAAGGTGCTCAACAGTTTGAACTGTTGAGACAGCAGCAGGCTGCTGCTGGCGGGTCGATGCACTCGCGTCGACCCGAGACTTTGAAGATTGACATCTCAAAGTATAGGGGGGTCGAAGAAGACTCCCTCTTGAGATGGTTCGTCGAATTGGATGACGCCATAAGGACGCGTCGCATCGACGACGGGGATATGCAAGTTGCATTTGCCCAGTCAAATCTGGCAGGACGTGCCAAGACTTGGGCACTGGGGCTCAAGTTGCACGATCCATATGCGTTTGGGTCGTTGGAAGTCTTCAAGTCGCGGCTCAGACAAACGTTTGAACCGCCTAGAGCTGAGTTCAGGGCTCGAACCGAACTCTTGAAGCTCAAACAGGGTAAGCGTGATGTGCACGCTTACGCTCAACATATGCGACATCTTACGAGTTGTATAAGTTCCAATCCGGTGGATGAACACACGTTGGTTTCGGTGTTCATGCAGGGTCTTGCGGATGGTCCCGTCAAGACTCACCTGTTCCGGCTTGAACTAGATTCACTAGAACAAGCCATTTCCATTGCGGAGCAGGAAGACTTCAGTCTGAGACAGGCTCGCGCCAGCTCGACATCATATCGTCAACCGAGACGATATGACAACGGAGGTCCAGAGCCGATGGAACTCTGTTATGTAGAGAGCGAGAAGGCTCGCTCTACAGGCTACAAGAAGTTGCAGAGATGCAACAGATGTCAAAAGACAGGACACTACGCTTACGAGTGTAGTGCCCCTCGTCCAGTGTATCGCGACACTGGGCGTAGTGACCGTCCACCCATGAGAAAGGGGCAGGGACGAGGGTCCGCAGTTGGTGCAAAGACGCAACAACGGGATGGACCGTCAAAAAACGGACAGGATCAGTAGGTGCGGAGCACCCTACTGGTCTAGCAACGTCAAGAGAATTTGTAGGCCTCTTGATGAAGGTTGCTCCCAACACACAAACGTTGTGCGTTGCTGCTCTAGGTAATGAGGTCTCACTCATTACCTTGAAACTCGAAGTGACGAATAAGTTGTCCCTTCGAGCTCTAGTCGATTGTGGGGCGTCCAACAATTTTGTGCGACGCCAATCGCTAGAAGATGGTCATTTTAAGTTCAGTGAATGTGACACACCTCCTACGAGGATGACGGTACGTCTTGCGACAGGCGCATCCGTAACCGTCATGAAGCGTATAGTGAAGATCCACTATACGCTAGAAGATACCCAATATGACGATGACTTTATCGTATTGGATTTGGATGACAAATTTGATGTCATCCTTGGAATACCGTGGCTCAGAAGGTACGAACCACGGGTAAACTGGCAACATCGGACAGTAACGATGCCTGCCGCTTGTTCATCAGATGGCCATCTGATGAACGTTTTGGAGCGTCCACAAGCGTGTGGATGTACTACGAGTGAGTGCGATGGCCTCACTTGTGATACGGTCGTTAGTACGACTGCACAAAACCTTAGTGTAACAAACGGTTACACTTTGGAGCAAAGTTCCGGCGGCTGTGAGGAAACACAGGCTGCGCCGAAGGTCCACCACTCGAATAAGTCGGGTGGACTGGGACAAAGATGTATCCCTAGCGGGGAACATCTAGAAGAGAAACAATCGATCGCTCAGGTTAAGCGAAACGATAATCCTAGATCGAATGGAGAGTCTTTCGTAGAGGATCTCGCTGTGGTTGCGCAACCCCAGCTAGAGGAAGTAAAGGGAATAAGTCCCAAGATTACAAATACGGCGGAAATAAGTTCCCCGAAACCCGCGGGAATAAGTCCCCGGGAAGCCGAAGGAATAAGTCCTTCGAAGCCTGAGGGAATAAGTCCCCAGGAAATGACAGAGACATTGAATGTTATAGTCAATAACGGATCAAGTGTAGGCGCTTATACACTTGATCTGATTGCGCCTCCGAAGTTAACTTCGGAGATCACTCAGTTTCCAACGCTCGAACATAAAAGGTTCTTGCGTGATCTGCGTAGTGGCAAAGTCAAGCAGATCTGCATACTCGTCGCTGACGACGAGTGTGTAACCGACATAAGGTCAGCAACAGTGTTCACTGAGAACGAGAGAGTTCTCAGTAGTTCATCTATGGACGAGAGTGTCCTAGATGAAAAGACACGAATTGAGCGATATGACTCCCAATCATGGGAATCGCTCAAGAAAAATCCTCTCTATGAAGATTTGGTTGAATTCAAGGATGTATTCCCTGAAACTGTTCCGTGCGAATTACCGAAGGATAAAGGTATTCGACACGAGGTCGAGCTTAAACCAGGCTCGAAGTACTGTGTCATGAAGCAGTGGCCACTGCCTCGTGAACAAGTACTTGCGATCGACAAGTTCTTTGCCGATCGTTTAGCTGCGGGCCATATGAGGGAATCAACTTCCCCACATAGCTCTCCGACCTTCTGTGTGCGAAAAGCAACAGGAGGGTGGTGGATAGTGCATGCATTTAACAAGTTGAATGCTGCAACGGTACCGGCTCAGACGCCGATACCGAGGAAGGACGTAATCATTGATGGTATGTCAAAGAGTACCATCTTTTCGTCCATGGATTTGATGGATGGCTTCTATCAAATCCTTATGCGGGAACGGGATATACCCTATACCGCAGTTAGCACACCTAGCGGCATGCTCTGGGAATGGCTAGTAATGCCACAAGGGCTTAGTAATGCCCCTGCCACGTTCAACAGATGTGTATCACATCTGTTGAGACCAGTACGAGAATTCGCGCCGAGTTATTTCGATGACGTATTCATCCATAGTCGATCTATGGATGGAAAGTCGGACGTTGAGGTTCACAGGTACCACGTCCGACAAGTTCTTACAATCATGCGAAAGCATCAATTGTATGCTAACCTCAAGAAGTGTATATTTGCAGCAAGCGAAATACCACTTCTTGGGTGCATCGTTGGTAAGAACGGTGTACGTCCTGATCCCGAAAAGATCAAGGCGATCACCGACTGGCCTGTGCCGGTTGATGTCAAAGGTCTTCGAAAATTCCTTGGGCTAGCGGCGTATTTGCATAGGTATTCACGCAATTACGCCGAGATGACTGTGCACCTCTCTCGTTTGTTGAAAAAGAACGAGAGGTGGTTATGGAACGCTGAATGTCAACGCTCCTTTGATGGTATCAAGCAGAGCTTGATACAATCCCCAGTCCTAGCAATAGCCGATCAAGACAGGCCATTTCATGTGGTCTGTGATGCCAGCGATTTCGCAATCGGCTGTGCATTAATGCAGTACGATCTTGAAGGCGTTGAACGCGTCGTCTGCTACCAGTCGCGTCAGCTGCAACCAGCTGAGCGGAACTATCCAGTGCATGACAAGGAACTCCTTGCCATGAAGTATGCACTCGCGAAGTTCAGAGTCTATCTATTAGGAGATAGACCCTTCATTGTTTACACTGACCATGCGTCGTTACGCACGGCAGTGAACAGCCCGCACCTTTCACAACGAATGGCGCGGTGGTTGTCATTCTTTGCAGAATACAACTTCTCCGTCGAGTACAAACCAGGACGACTTAATGTCGTCGCTGATGCACTCTCACGTCGTCCCGACTTTGAACCAGTCGTGAAACCCAACAGTGAGACAGTCACTGTTGCGGTTATGACGTCCTCAGTCCCATCTACAACGTTGTATGATGATGTGAGGCGGGCATACGCCCAAGATGGTGAGATTGTGAAGTTGTTGACACATCTCTCCCAACCATCCCGAGAATCGTTGAAACGATTGTCGCCTGCGTATCGATCTGCATCAGATCGATACACTACTCGTAACGGTTTACTGTATTATACAGCCGTTTCTGGTGACACACCACGTGTTGTCATTCCAGATGATACTGATCTGCGTTTGCGGATCATGTTCGAGTATCACGATGCTCCTATAGGAGGACATCGTGGCCGAGAGAAAACATATCTCACGGTAAGTCGAGACTTTTACTGGCCCCGCCAGTATCAGTTTGTGCGAAAGTATGTTCGCGCATGCGAAGTCTGTCAACGAGTGAAGTCAAGTCCTTCACTGCGTGCACCTTTACAGCCTCTACCGGTTCCGGCTGAGTGCTGGGAATCCATCTTAATGGATTTTGTCTTCGGGTTACCCAAAGACGCACGCGGGAATACGGGTATTCTCGTATTTGTTGACAGATTCAGCAAAATGGTACACCTTGTGGCTGTACCCGAGACAATCACGGCAAGTGGCTGTGCTTGTGTCTTTATTGACACCATCTTCCGACTTCATGGGTTGCCCCGTGAACTCGTATCAGACAGAGATCCACGATTCACTGCTGATTTCTGGCGTTCCGTGTTCAAATCACTCGGAACGCGCTTGAAGATGTCAACATCTGATCATCCAGAGTCAGATGGTCAGACGGAACGTGCCAATCGTGTCCTTGAAGAGATACTTCGAGGATACGTACACTCCTTTAAGAGTTGGAGTAAGTTTTTGCCAATGGTAGAGTTTGCCATCAACAACTCGGTGCATGCGTCCACGACACATACACCGTTTTACGTGAATGGCTTGCGCCATCCGCGTGTACCCACCTTACTCGAGTGTACTCTGGTTTAAGGGGGGGAGAGACTCGCGCGAGCAAAAACCGATTTGGTTCACGCTCATCACGCTCTGACGATGAGGTCATTGCGTTTGATGCCGATATCGATAACATCGATATCGAAGAAGACGATGCCAGTGAGAGTGCGGAAGCCCTCACTGAAGAAAAGGTTGATGTTGATGCAGTGCGCTCACAGCACACTGAAGCTAACGAGTCATCAGATGAATTCATACTGGCTCGTGAAACGGTAGTTCGTTTTGTGCAAGACTCCATCGCCGAAGCGGTGGATAAGCAAAAGCAAAACGCTGATAAGAATGGAAGGGCAAACACTCTTTTATTTAATAAAGGTGACTTAGTCCTACTGTCTACGGTTAATCTACCAAAGCATGTAGTGACTAACTTGGGTAGCAGTAAACTACTACCCAAGTACATCGGCCCTTTTCGTGTATTGCACCGCCTAGGCAATGCATACACGATCGAGTTGCCACGTAAGATGCGAACGCATCCCACGTTTTACGTTGGTCGGCTTAAGCCATACCATCAGTACGCTGCTTCTTCCGATGAAGAACGCCCTTGCGCTCAAGCATCTCGCAGAGAGCCTTGTGCTCCCGATGGTGGGCATCAACAAGGGTCTGAAGAGCAGCTATCTCATCCCGAGACCGATCAGCAATCCCACGAGCTACCCTTAGCTCGTCACGAAGAGATGTCAGAGATCTCTCGTTCTCGAGCTGAGCAAAGGCAAACTCAGCTCGATGCTTCAAGGCAGTGTCCGCCATTTGGAGACGCCTATTCCGCTCATGTTCGAGATCGTCGCGTAACCCTTGCGTTACGCGATCAAAGAAGCTCTCGGGAACACAAGGATCCACATGATCGTGTGGAGAGCGTCTTTCCTCCTCCTCCACCTCCATTAGAGGACTCTCGCGGTGGCCAGCGCTATCTAGTTGAGCAGCTGTTGAACCACCGCGACGTGAACGGACGTCGGACGAGTTATCTCGTCCGGTGGCGCGGCTATCCCCCGTCCTGGGATTCTTGGGAGCCCCGCTCCCAACTGATGATCGACGTACTGGGTCTGGTTGAGCAGTACGACGCGGCACATCCTGTGCCGCAGAAGGACCGCCGGAGAAAGTCTTCCCGGCACGGTCGTAAAGGGATTTCAGGCTGTCAATCCCTTCGTACATCTCAGTAGAGACACGTACGCGCCACCACGGGCTGGTAAGGAGGTAAGCCTCCTTAGGTGCTCGTGCAGAGTTGTTCACACAACATGGGCACGAGTCTCCCCAAGAGAGGCAGGGTAATCCTTTCTCCCTTGACAGACAATGCAGCTTGTAGCGTGC